CGACCGTTGTCGTTAACAGCAGACAATTAAGACACGGCTACAAGTATCGCTGCCATGGCGGCGACGCGAATCACGGCCCTTCGCTTGCGGCGCAACCGTCTGGAGAGAGTGGCAGCATATTGCAGAGCGGCCATGGGCGTCATGGGGTTTGTCCACGGGTGCCCTGGACATGGTAGACAGTGGTAGACAGTGGTAGACAACTGCCGCAGCCCATGTCTACCACGTCTACCAGTCTACCAGTCTACCACTCTCTCGCGTGGTCGGTCTACTCCACATCAGACGGCAGTCGACCGTTTACATCGCCTGAGTAACAGCCCTGAAGATTGCCCGAGTAACAGAGTTGCAACGGCGCTAGCGCCTCTCTTATTGCCTCGCTGCTCCTCATGCCTCCAAGTCTGATATTGCGCCCGCACGGATCCAGCGTACCTGCGTGTGTGCGCGCGCCCTAGGCTAGCCGCCTCCGCTGTGTGCTACCTCAGGCGGACGCATGTCTACTTTGACACACTCGTCCTCTGCTACCCCTCACCACCCATCGCGACGACGCTGCCCTCGGTGAGCGAGTCCGCCAATTGCTCTCCCTGCCACCTGTGGCAGCCAATCGTCCGCCCGGGCACCTGCCGTCTCTAACCTCTACGCGACCACCCAACCGCCGTCCACGCCTCCCTCACCGCCCCGTCGTCTCCTCCCACAACAACAGAGACACTGCTCGCTGCTCGACGGCGCATGAATCACGTCGCCACTCGATCGACACGCTGCCTCGCCCGAGCCCGCCATGGCTGCTCAGTTCGGCAACTACGTGGGTACGTGCGAGGCCAGCTCACCCAGACGGGCTGTGGGCGTTCTGACGTGCGCTCAAAGCGGCCTCTGCTCGGCAATTGCTGCCCTGCCTCGATTCGTGCTGACGACCTGCAGACTATAGTGGGGCTAAGGCTCCTGGCTCAGCGACCCACGTTCGTGACCCACGTCTGCAAATCCTGGCGGCGACGATTCCGCAGATCTTCGCCAACAAGCACATTCTCGACATCGGCTGCAATGCTGGCAGCGTTTCGATCCAACTATGTAAGTCCAGGAAGGATACCCCTGCCACTGGCTGCAACCGACTATTACCACCATCTCGTCGATATTGATCAACTGCAGCCCTCGATTTCCACGCGGCTTCCGTCACTGGCGTCGATATCGATCCCAAGCTCATTGCCCAGGCCGAGAAGCTCCTGGCCTTGCGCGCCTCCCGTGCAACACCCCCCACGAGTTGCTCGGCGCCCGTTGTCGACTACTTTCCCATGTCGGCCGTGCTCACCCATGGCTACCGGATTGAACCGCACAACAAGCCTGCCCGCACGCCTTCCGCTGCGTCAGCTGCCTGGCCGTATGTAACCTTCTTTTCTGCAGATTGGGTCCTGCCCTCTGACCAAGATGCTACCGACTCATACCATGTCATCCTGGCATTATCCGTCATTAAATGGATCCACCTCGAACATCGAGACGTTGGTCTGACGACGTTTTTCGCAAAGTGCTCATCATCTTTGAAACCTGGTGGCTACCTGGTCATCGAGCTCCAGACCTGGGACTCATATCAAAAGGCCATTCGCCCCAATCATGCTCCGCATTTCCAAGAGACCCTCAAGGAGCTGCAACTACGGCCAGAGACATCGTTTGACAGTCTCCTTGCCAATCACGGTCTGCACCTCTGCGCTTCGTCGGACGCACTCCCTCGTCGCATCAATGTCTATCAAAAGGCCTAAGAGCGGTTGGTAGACATATTGGTAGGGATTGACACTCTGCCACTAGCATCACGTTTCATGGCATTCGGGTCCCAGTCTCTAATATCGGGATTCACCATCTTGTCTCGCTCGGGAGACGTTGCAAGTCATCCATGGCATTATTCACTTTGACGAATATTTACACTCGTGCCGCTGCAGCCTCTACCGTATTTGGTCCTCACATTCTATTAATCAAGGTACATGTGTTAAATTGAACTCGCTTTCCAGGCAAGTAGAAAAGTATCCCAATCCGCGGCTAGTTACTACAAACGGTTGGTCTGCGCTCCACTTTCTTGGTCTTCTCTCCGAGGCTGTTCCCTGTCCGCCGATCTTTGGCCCTCACCATCCCAGGTTCTATCAAGCCATGCATCGTACGATTGCGGCAGCTATGCAAGTAAAGATCGGCCGAATAACCGGCTTTTCAACCTTCCGGTCTCGCTGTCCGCCTCAGTAATGAGGCATGCAGCTACAACCTAATTGTGATTGCAGCCATGGCTCCGCAAACGTCTCTGGCGGGCCACGGTAGAGTAGTGAGGTTGCGACATTTGCATTAGCCGCGTCACTACACAACCCGCCACGCTAGCCAATAGCGGCTCGGAAGCTTTTCGGCTTATGCCGGGTACCCATCCTATGGTTCTCCAGACATTAGATCACATGTCGTTCACTAATGCAAACCTTATTCCACTCCGGATCTCGTGCAGGCCGAGGTTTTCCGCTTATGCTGCTCAATAGTATATCTACTACCAGCCGTGCTATCCTCCTCGTAACGTCATTTCAGATGGCCGGCTCTAGATGTTTCGACAATTGATGATCGCTCACCGGTCCGTACATTGTGACCAAGTCTAGATGACAGGAGCGTAGGTTCGCCGACTCCGTGGCAACATGGTTTAACCTAGCCGCCACTGACCGCTTATGAGCTGTCACAGAACGTGAAATTGCCAAACTCTCGTTGACGATATGACTGCTGATGCTGTGAAAGATGAGATATGACGTTGCGTTTTCGTCAAAGAGCACCAATCTCCCCGTCCGTATCCTCTCCAAACAGGTAAATCCCTCGAATCTCACGCTTTGATCCCTGAGTATCTGAGGACGGCGCAAAGGTTCGAGCGCTTGACTTCCCTCATCAGCCGTAGATTCACATTAGCTCGCACCTTGCGAACCACGCCGACTGTTGAGGAGCTCGCTGGGAGATTATGCCACACCAAGTACAAAGCTTGATGGAGTGGCTGAGTTACCTCTGGACCGGTGCTGCACGATGCCTTGCCCGCTGGATGCCATCACATCAAGATCTCGTTCGAGAACCAGGGACAGGCCCTATGCTTTGAAAATTGAGTTACTGGGTCCCGGTTGATGCGAACTGGCGACTCGGTTGTCGATCCGTCAGAGCGGTAGGCTCATTCGACATAGTCCACAGATCTTGAGAGGTGCTCAATGTCGCAGGTGAAGTCGGCCCTCACGAAAACCCAATGCATTAGCTGGAACACAGCCAAGTCGTTAACCTGTTTTTACCGCATCTGCATGGCCGCACAGCTGCGGTAGATTGGTTCCTCTGAAAGCCGTGCCATGGAACGCCAGTGCAGTATCTGGCCAGTGTCCCGTCCACTGCAGCGATTCAAGCAGACATGATCTTGTCTTTGGTGTAGGAACAAGTCCGATGATGCGCTCCCCTGCAAATCAGGCAGACTTGCGACTACTTTTGTCAGCAAGCATAAGCCTATCGGGATGGAGCATCATTGCTTGCTCGACCGCACGACAGCCAATATAGTCACCGATTGATGCATCGGCAGTTTGTCTCTAGCCGAGAGGGTGAATCACAGTATGTACTGTCATGTCGTGCGTGAAAGCGTCGACTCTGCTAGCCAATGGCGATGCGATGCTGCCATCGTGAACGGTGTTGGAATTCGCGCTTTTGCGATCAACAGTTCATCTAATACCTACAGCGTCAAAACGATATGTAATTGCGCATGGAAGATTGACCACTATCGGGAACGCCCTGTCTAGCTATACAAGGAGGACGACCGAGGGATGTCGACTAAACGGGGCGGCCATTGACGGACAACGCATCCACGGATAGCTGCTTCGTGGACACACTACATACCGCACTGCAGCGCCTTGCACAAGTGATGCTGCCCAAGAACATGTCGTGAGCTGGCTCGAGTGACAACAAAGCTCCTGCACCCTGCGCTTATCTCCTCGATGCGATCCGCCGACAATGCTATAGAATTATAGGATATCGATGACGTCGAAGAGTCGCCATTAAAGTGCAGCATGTCGAGTAAGGCGTACTGCTGTCAGTCGTCATCACAACTTCTCATGTCGTTCCAATTTCGACGCCCTTTGCTGTTGTCATGTGTCGCCGTTCGCTCTTCCCTTCTTCGGAACACGTCTCGCAGTTGCCTCGATTACGTAGGCCAGAAAAGCCCAATGACAGCGAAGGTTCGTGCAGTTACCAGGGGCCATGCAGAACATAGTTCCTGTCGTGGAACCCTCCAGCACATCGCTCTTGCTTTGCCACGAACACTTGCATCCTGCCCCCGATACACGAAATCCACGTCGGCTAGTATTCTGGAGGAATGCGCTGCAGGGAGCTCGAAATGACCGTTACCCGCGTCACGTCGACGTGTTCAGACGAGAGCTTTTCGATGCTTCAGGTCGGCGGTGCGCGGGCCTGAGAAATAGCTTTTGGCCACCTCACCTTGCCGCATCGGAGACTTTTGTACCTTCAACAAATGCTCTTTCTCTCCTCCCCTGGACCTCGCAGGGACCGACGCAAGACGATGCTAGCGACAGGTTGATCCCCGCCTCTGGAATGCGATGGCAATGATGCGTAGCTGCTGGAGCGTCTGCAGTGGCGGCACCTCTCAGCTTGGATGGACATCCACTTGCAACTAGGCGGGAAGCCAAGCACTGCACCAGTCGGGCTATATAACCATCAAGCAGCGTCGAGGTAGGTCTGACGCGAATCTGTCGTCACTCCTGACCTGTGTACCGGGCCATGATTCAAGCAGCATAGCTTGCGCCGGAACTCCAGGCTGAGCCGAACAAAAACAACCATCTTCTTCCCTCAGCAGCGCCAGCGAGGTAAGCTCCAGAACCGCGCGTAGCATGAATGCGTCAGCACGTGTCCTGTTCACACCACAGCTGGGGAGGCGTAAACGAGCGGGCGTCGTATACGGCGCTTAGGGGCATGAAACGGTTTGGTGCTGACCGTGCGATAGGCTTCCTTGACGAGTCTCGCGCGGGCGCTTCTCACGATCCCTCATGCAGATCTCTGGCTATTTGACATCCTGCCGAAGTCAGACGTAAGCTGGATCCTTGCTTTTGCCAAAGCGAATGACCTTCCGAGCTTGGTCACACAGAGCTAGACAACACTCAACACGATTCGGCATCTTGCCGGAGCTACGGGATCCACCACCTATACATACGCCATCAAAACCACTCGTAGAACAGAGCAGAGCCACGCCGAGCGCTCATCTCCGCTGACCGACCGCGAGCGCATCGAGCGCGTCACCGACGATATGCCACCCGCGAGCTCCTCCTTCACGCCCCTCAACATTGAAGACGACGTCGTACCAGAATGGCTGGATTCCTTTACTCTGGTTGCGCCCCCAAACACAGATCTATGGAGGAGGCCATCATCGGGTGACATCTCAACCGCTCCCATCCTCTACACTGCTTTGAGCAATCCCTTCATCGTAGCAGAAGTCACGGTTACGGGAGACTGGCAGCTTGAATGGGATCAAGGAGGGCTCGTCATATTCGCAGGCGCACCGCCAGGACAGACAGCGACGGCATCAACAACCGCAACACCGACACTGGAGGTCCCTAATGTTGCGAATATTCGGTTGGACGACAGCGCGACGCCGAGCTCCGCCGTCTCACTCTCGCAAACCTCAAGTATTGACAATGTTGAGAGCTGCGACACGACAACTTCACACAGCCCGGCAGAGATGTCAGGTCCCAGCCCTCAACTAGATCGCGGGCCCCCACCACCATACGAAGTTCCTGCGCCAGCATCCAAGTGGGTGAAAGTCGGGCTTGAGTTCTGCGGCAACGTATGCCACGCTACAGCTGTAGCCGCCAATTGCGAAGGCGCTGACTGGTCACTGAGTTCGCTTCCTCCCCTTCAACAACGGCTCAAGGAACTGCGCGTCAAGATGGAGCGCATCGGTTACGCGCTGTGGGTGTCGTACGAGGAAGAACCGGGGATTTGGAGGAAGTTGAGAGAAGTCACTTGGTTCTTCTGGGGTGTAGAAGACAAGGCCGTACGCGTTGGCGTCTACGCGAGCCGACCTGCAAACTTTGGCATCACCATGTGGGATCACAGACACCGTCTGGGACTCAACAACGAACAGCGAAATTTATGCGTCGAATTTGAAGATCTGGAGATCCATTGACCACGCACGTCGCCTTGTTTATTTCTGTCGGTCTATCATTGCATTCAGCGGCTGTTCGTGAAGCCCAGGATCACGAACAGATGCTCTCTTTGCCTCGCACATCTCTATCATGTCCCTATTCGTAATCGTCTTTCTGGCATCTGCATCGTAATCAGTTTTGAGTTTCGGTTCTATGTATCTATTCGCTTTTCGCCGCTCGCGGCGTTGCTTCGGCGCCTGCCATGATCTTCAGCTCGTCGCAACGTCGCATCCATTTGTGGCGACAATATGTGCACTGCAACCCCTCGCATACCTATAAGGCTCATCTAATTGTAATCGCCTCTTGCTCTCTCGGATGACGAATCATGACGAGCGCAGATCTGTAATCCCGTTCTCAGCTCTGTCATCACATTTCAATTTTGCTTGCCATCTAGGACCTATCTATTTATATAATAACACAATTATTTGGTATCTATGTCTTTACGCTGCAACGTGGGATTCTCAATCTAACCTGGACCTCGCGTAAAAACGTGAGCCGGATGCGCCTTGCATGTGGAATGGTGATTATCGGTACTCATATGAAGCTGGCGCGTTTGGAGTCGGGTCTTCAAGGCGCCCCGGTACTCTTCACAGACGATCGACACTCAGCACGCTAGAGAATCGACGGAGCAGAAGAGTCACAGTCACGATGGACTCAAGCACTTGAATGACAGGCTCAAACGATGCATGCAGACGACAAAGCTGATGTTGAATCTCACAACTTTGAGGGACATGCTACTTTCACGCCGAGTACCACGGAAGCTCTCTTGTTCTGAGGCAATTATAGAGAATCACGAATTTGATCCAAGGCCATTCCCCACTGAGTGTTCACGGAGATTAAACCTCAATTTTCCACTCGCCTCGAGGAGCTACCTACTCGATCCTTCCCGGTGGACTGTTCTTCCGACCAGAACTCCGTAGTAGGGAACAACGATGTTACTTGTTTACGTCCTGTTGGGCCTTGTGTACCATGCCAACCCGACCAATTCAGCCGGTACTCAGACGTTCGGCTCTCAGCCATCTCAGTCCGCATTGCTGGCCAGCGTGCCGCCCACAGTTGCCTGCTGGGCGACACCGTATTGCAATTCCATTCTCGTGGACTTTTCGCACTGCTACAATCTCACTGGGACGCTGAAAAGTCCCAATGGCGATGATGGACGAAGCGAGGTCTACCAACGCTGCCTCTGTAACGACCGAGGAACTGTGTACAAAAAGTAAGCGCCCCTCGAATTGTATCCCTCGGGCCTCCTCTAATCGAATAACAGCATCCTCACGAACTATCAAGAGCAGAACACAGACAACGTAACGCAGTGCTACGCATGCATGAGGCAAGCCGGTATCGAGGTCGACAAGAACAGTGAACCCAGCCTACAGATGAGGTACAAGATCCATAATTTCTGCAACACCGCGGTTCCGAATCTATACGATTTACTCGCTCTATTCTTAGTCTGGCTCAAGTCAACCGACGAGCCCGTGGACAACAACACACAGCTAGGCAACATACCTTCGATATCTACTCTAGCCGATCGCTTCACGAAGACAGACGTGAATCAGGCTTCCACAACGGTAGCCAGCTCCGCTCAGAACACGGAGACATCATGGCCGGAAAGTACGCTTACTTCTGGCGACATGATGATACCGACGCAGTATTTACAGCAACTACCAAAGAACTGGCCGTATACAAGCTATGGCGCGGTAAGTAAGGCAGACCAGACTACCTCGTTCCGTTTGACAAACCCCAATTCGACAAGTCAAACCGTGGCATGGCTATTCCATGAGATGCTGTGGAATCCAAGGCCGCTTTTTACTCCGCCGTCAGCGAGGGGAGAGATGTATCAACCAGGGCTTCAGGACTGGACACCAGCGTATTCGAACGGTGCAGCCCTGACTGCTGTACCTTCTACTCCCGCCGCACCCGATATCTCCACGACGAACTTTGATTCGAGCACATCGGATCCCACAGCAACGCCAGCATTAGAAGGGACGATGACGCCGAGTACTTCCACGATTTCGATAACGCTGTCTACATCTACAACGACCGCTGTTCTCACAACGGCTGTCATCATGTCCACGACTACGTTGACATCCTCCTCGGTTGCGCTTCCAATAACAACAACACCGCCGACCTCTTCGTCTCCTCCATCTTCTTCTTCTTCTTCTTCTTCTTTACTTACCTCACTGGCGCTTCTTCCTAAACGTCCAGAGTACCCGCAATACCCTGTTCTGAGCAAAACACACGACGCAAGAGACGTCACGGCTGCGTCATCTCGAAAGCCACTTGTAGATGTCATGGCTGGGTCGAAGCAGCAAATTGGGAACAAAGAGGAGTCGATTGAGAAATTGTGGGGTGGGATACAGAGGGTGAAGAAAGAGATGAATCGCTGATTCTCGACCGAGAGGATGCAAGAGAGGAGAAAGTGTAACAACAAACCCATATACAGGCTATTCGTGTCATAATTACGTATTAACTATATGTACTACTTATGAACCACCTCCCAAAATGAAGGGATTTTCTAGACACGCTTTATACCTGGAACGCCAACCCATGCCCCTATATACAAGTCCTGTAAAGTGACTCCATGAAGCGTATATACATAATGCCATCTACTTCTTCTTTGCCCTCTGCCTCACTACCTCTTCACCTCCGCAACAAGGTACGGGCCAATGACGCAAATAGCGGTCCAGACCACCATCGCACTCTCAACGATAATCGTGTACGGCGTCTTCCAGATAGGCACCTCCTGCAACCTGACGTAAATCGCGTAGAACGCAACGTAGAAGAAGTGGTAAACAAGCATCCACGGACGCGTAATCAATCCCGCAAGCATACCACAGGGTTCACTGACGCTCTTTCCGCCGCGCAAAAAGTACTTGAAACAACCCTTCTTGATCAACTCGAGGTACTGGTTGTTGGCGGCGAAGAGGCTGTATAGAGCCATGGCCAGGATGTTGATGACGGAAGACCCGTCCTTACGCCGCCAGTGGAAGGTCGACATGGCGGCGAGGACGGCTGAAGTGTCTTCTAGTGTAGGTACGTTGGCGGGGGAGAGCAGGTTGGAGAGGAGGACAACGTCGTTGAACGCTACTGTCATGCCGCCGCCGGTCAGGGGATGGCGCATGTTCATTGAATCGCCGAGGAAGATGAGACCGGCTTGTTTCTGCGTCGAAGGGGGTAGGAAGCTGTTGGGCATGGAGCGCAGTTTACCCGCTTCGATTGCTTTGCGGAAAGCGGGCTGGACGCAGGTGGGGAGTTGGGGCAGCGCCACATTGAGCATGTGGTTCTTGACACCCCCGTTCTTGGGGCTCGCCGATGGCAGGTCCTTGGGTATGTCGACGAGGATGCGGGTCTCGTGCGTGCCGATTTGGTAGATGAGGATGGGGGGTGCGTCGGCGAGGATGACGTGGCCGTGGTTGGGCATGGGGAGCTCGGCGTCGATCATTTCGAGGCCCCAGAATTTGCTGCGCACTTGGGGTTGGTTGGGGATGTATTCTTTGCGGAACTTGGAGTCGTAGCCGTCGGCTACGAGGGTTACGGCGCCGAAGTAGTAGTCTTGCTCTCCGGCGGTTTTGCATGATACGCCTACGACTTGGCCCGTAAAGTCGCTCTTGACGACGGATGTGACGGTGGTTTCGACGACGGTGACGTTGGGTGTGGACTGGGCCTTTGCTCGCAGTTTGGAGATGAAGCGGCCGTGGTGGAAGGAGCGTCCTTCGGGTGCTTTCGAGGGCCCGGAGGTGATGAGGTTATCGGGGTAGGGAATGTGGACCTCCTCTTTGCCGTAGAAGATCTGGTAGCCGTGGCAGGGTATCGCATCAATGTCGTCGAGGCAATCTGGGGCTTGCTGTCAGCGTTTCACCCTCGATGTGTGCTAGAAATGTTTCAACGTACCCCTCATGCCCAGCTTCTCCAGAGCATTGACACCACCGGGCTGTAGCAGCTCTCCTACAATCCTGTCTGGCTCCTTCAGGCTCTTCTCTAGTAGTATGACGCTTCTGCCCTGCTTGCCGAATGCGACAGCAGCTGCGCACCCCACGATACCCGCGCCGATGATGACGACATCGGCTTCATGGTGCACGCGCCTTCTCTCTTCGCGGGAGTCGCATGTTTGTGTGTGTTCGATCGTGGGGACGGATTGGGTCGATGTGCCTCTGTGGCGCAGCTGGGGGGACGGCGACGCAGAAACTCCAGGCGGGAGCTCTGTAATCTTGGAACCGGAGTACATTGTGAGCATGATTGCGATTGCTGGGGGTCTGTTGAAAGACCCTGTTGAGTGAAAGGTGAAGGTGCGTTCCAAACTCAGTGGGGCGGGTGAGGCGCCGCGATAAATACTGGGCGATGTGCAGCGTGGAGAGCAGGAGTGTGTGTGTGTGTGGAGAAAGGTCAATCAGCCTCGTCGAAACGTTACACGGGCGGCGCGAGAGTAGAAATAAACTTCGCGGAACGTCAAGTCTCGTGCAGATCAAGGGTCCGGCATGCAACCGCGTCGTCTTGAGAACGAATCCGAGTGGCGACCTCACGATCTTAAGCCGCGAGATTGATTGCAGGGATCGCGCTCACCGCCATGGCCCTTTCTGCCAGGGGTATCACTCCCGCCTGGGCGATGTGGTGTGAAGATCATCTCATCTTGTCCGACTCCGATCTTGCTCGGCTTTTCCTCGAACCATGGTCTGGTGTTCGGGCGGGTCTTCGAAGAATGTATGTATTGTTCGTGAAGGGTGATTGTGGAGTGGGTCGGCAAAGGCATGCACATGCATAATATTCACATGTTGGTTACCAGGCACCCGCAGCAAACTTAGAATCGTTGCAGGCACACCACAGCGACAATCAGTCGATGCAAATCTCCCCTCTATGCGGTATATACGTTTCGCACAAACTCTATACCTTGGAAATTCAGAAAGCAACTCTGCCGAGCTGTGTATATTCAAAGCGCTGCATAGACGGCGCCGCGTACGCTACGGTACTCTAATAGAAATTACGAATAAAGCCAGTACATGGTGTGGTGTAGGTATATAGTGGTAATGAAGCAAGCATGCGTCTCGTCGTGGTGAACCCTCTGCCTTTTTGTCGTTGCCCACGCAAGTCCGATTCATCCCCGAATCGTCCAAGTCATTGTGTCGTCAACGTGTCCCAGATAATCGGCCCCAAATGAAGGAAAGATGGGAACGAAGAGCCCAGAAGCATGTGCGATTACACCTCACAGGACCAAGGAAACGTCTCGCCAATAAAGTGTCTCCGCCAGGTGTGAAAAGTGGAAGAGCCTGCCGGTGGAAGTTGTATGTACATAGGTACGAGTATACACAAGATCATAAGTGCGTCTTCGACGTGTTGCTCAAGCTTGGCAGTATTGATAGCGAAGGCGTCTAGAAGGCAGAGCCGGGGCGCTGGCTCGAAGGGAACATCGGCGATGCCATCGGGGTATCGACTTCCATGATGGTGGATTGTCGGTCAGCGAATTGTTTCTTGTCTTCGACAGGCTGGGCTGGGCCAAGGTGCGAGTTGCGGTAGTATGCCTCGTAGAACTCGCTGAGTCGAGAATCCTGCCCCTGTTGACCCGGTGCAAGCAGATTGCTTGACTGGGGACGGCGTTCCGTCTCGTCGTCAGTAGACGCAAGGATCGATGTGTGGCCGGATTCGACTGTTGAGGCGGCAGAGGCTGAGCGGCCCGCCTTGTGCTTTTGCAAAACCTGATTATGCGAATCCTTCTTTTGCGCTGCCTCCTGATAAGCTTGGTATGCTTGGAAAGTGCTTAGCCGGTTGCCACTGCTGTAGATGCTGCTCGCGTCGCTTGCGTCTCGTTCATGGTGCGGCGAGTAGGTTCGTGCCTGTAGTTGGGGTTGGGGAGCGGATGACGAAGGTTCAGAGTCTTGAAAGAAAGTTAGGGATGGCCCGATATATATCTACTAAATGCTAAAAGTACAACAGACAACGCACCAGGAAATCATATTACCTACTCGGCTCGTGGACCTGCACGCGAGGGTAGTCGTACTCTGGCGATGGAGAGCGGGACTCCTTCCGCAAAGCATGGCCGGGGATCGATGGCAACTTGGCTGTGGGTGGGTTGTGGGGCGAAAGCGGCGTCGGTGATTGACCAGGCGAGTTGTGGTAGGATCCCTGCTGTGACTTGATGGCGTTGGCATCTCCGGAGTGGTGTGATACCATGAGAGCTGGTGCGTATTGTTGGCGGTTCAAATCAGTTGGTGACATGGACCGAGGAGATGTGAAACCGTCGCTGTCGCTGTCGGAGCCACCAAAGTCAGCAGAGGTAGGACCACGCGGGTGACCAGGCGAAGGAGGAACTTGAAGAGACATATCGACAGCGCCGTTGTGATTGCGTCTTCCACTGAGCTCGGCCTCAGATGGGCGGAGTTTCATGGTAGGCGGAGATGCTCGTCGTGCGGAAGGTTCCTTGGTGGCGTTGAGGTTCAGGCTGAGCATGCTGTTGTTGTTGGACTGTCCCTTCATGAGCGGCGAGTTGACGCTTCCTCCGACCAAGGTGCTGGTGCTCATTGTTGGGTTGTCGCCCATCATAGATCCTGCTCTTGAGGTAGGTCGTGACTGGGCGACTCCGGCGTAGAATCCAGCCTCGATGGCGCGAATACCAAACAGATCACCCTCATCCTTCTCGCGTTGGTTCAGTTCAACAGTGTCCTCCTTGGGTCCAGCCTCTAGCTCGGTTTGCTTCGCTTTCTTCAACCTTTCGATCGTTAGTTCACGTCAAGGTGGTGTCAATGTTGGTACTTACTTCTGACGGTTGTACAACACCTTGATGAATCCACCGAGGATAGTAAGGACCAAAAGTGACAAGAAGACAACACTGCGCAGTGTCAGTCTTTGCGACACCTTAATTCTTCCTCATGACTTACATGTACTTGTATGCCAACTGCAAGTCGCCAAACCAGTTCGACATTATGATTAATACCTCGCGATGGCGGACAGTGATCTTGAATTATGAATGTGTTTTACTGATATCCTCGTAGGTGGTACGCTGGGTGTATAGGCTAAACTGATTACTGTCGATCCAAGTAGTGTCTATCGTCGCATAGGTAGCGAAATGAGTGTCGGGTAAAAGCTGTGGGAATCCGAATGCGGAAGGCGCAGTGCAGGACGATGCTCGGAACGAAAGGACGTGTATACAAGATACACAAGAAAGAATGACTGGGGTTGCAAGTCCTTGGAAGATCGAGGCAAAGACGAGCAGAGCTACGGGGGGATAAAGAGTAAAAGAGCGTAGCTTCAGAGGCGCGCGCTGACTGCTTCTGTAGTTTGGCGCTATCTACACGACGTCGGCACGCATGGTTGAGATCTAAAAGCGGAGGCGACAGCCTAGGTCCTAATGCCCGCCCGTGAAGCGAGCGTCGAGGCCAATCAAAGTAAGCACGGTGCCTTAAACGGAAAGCGATTCAGGTGCACTAACGGATTTAGCTGAGGGTTTGTTTGAAGGCGTTGTGACCCGGCATGCCCATGCAGAGCCAGCCCTGCCCTCGTGTCAGTGCTCTCCGAAAATTCGGAAAAGCTCTTGTTCGATGTCAGTCTGGGCGCTCGTACAGCGTAATGACCAGGTCTCTTCACTGGCATTGATCCATCCTGTGGTATTCTGCATGCAAAGTAGAGGGCGTAGCGCTGATGATGCCATGGCAATAGGAACGGCAGTAACGGCAACCGAGCAGTCAGAGCCTGTGATGGCACAGCTGTGGCGCATCAGGCGTGGAGCCCGTGTCGTGTTGACGGTTCACCTAGGCATGATTCGCTTCTCGTCCCGTCGAGCCCCTGACGGCGAGTTGGGACGGCGAGAGGAACAGGCATGGCGGCTGTTCAGGCGGCCTATTCGGTCCCACTTGGAGGAGCTTGGCAGGGGAACAGGACTCCAAGTTGGACCTGGCGCCTGCGGAACTGGCCACTGCATATGCTTTTTTCAGCACAACGTGCCTGACACCCACGCAGGGCATCCTTTTCTCGCGTTCTCGCCATGCGACGCCCATCTCCCGGAGTGCCTCCGCTTGCTGCAATTTCCCGGGAACTCGGCAATAACTGTAACATCGATTATCGATCTCGAACCTCCACTTGGAGTCGATCAGCATGTTCTGTGTAACGGTCAAGACCTCAAACACCAAGGCGCGTGTTAAGAACGCAAGAGATGCAGCAGGTGCAGGGTGCAGCTGCAGTCGGTCGCACGCTTGCTCTGAAAGATGCGTGACAGGAGTAAGACCTGTCGCACCAGGATGCAATGGGCCCATGTCCGTCGAAACGAAACGTTGACTATCCGCTTCTGACTCCTCCAGCGGCGCGGTAGCTTCTGTCACGACCGATGCATGCAGAGGTACAGAACCCTGTCCCGCGCTGTATAGCGAGTACGATGTGCCTTAGCACGCGGTTGCCGACTTCCGGACAGCGCGCTGCCTTGGGCTTCCGATGGCAGTAGACGACGACCAACAAATAGTACGCATGCATGAGATTGAGCAGAGTGGTAATGCCGCCATTGTCCGGCGTCAGAGGCATGCAATGTACTCAGCATCGCCTAGGAATACGGCGACCGTTGGCGGAAAGAGGGTTCGGCATTCGCTTGGCGGGACCTGGAGTTGAGCGGTTCCACTATTGCCAGTCCACCTCGTACTTTTTTTCGCGCCGGCGGCGCCGCCAATGCCTATAGTATGAGCTTCAGGGACAAAACCTCATCTTACCCTGTTATGCGAAAAGGAGTAGGATGCCAAGTTGGAAATTGCATCCTCTGCACATGTCGCCAGCGGGTTCAACATGACCAATCGTGGGCGCCTGGCAGAGGCTCCGTCGCGCTATCGATTGTAACTTCCAGTCCGCGACGCCATCACTCGGACAGCCATGTGTAGTGGTGTCATACAGAACTTAGGTCCCACGAACGGGACGTAGGTCATCACCCAAGGTTCCGCTCCGTCTTGTTGCAAACAGTGCCAAGATTCCACGCTTGCCTCCGTCCCCTGAACCGCACGATGGCTTCTTTTGCGTCGCGTGTCCCTAGTCTTGAGGTCCGGAGAACACACCTCCGACGTGACCGTTCGAATATAGCAATCAGTTCCAAATGGAAGGAATGACTCAAATCATAGAGGATGTCATGCGCACAGCTATTGAGTGTTCGAAGTGGGAGGTCTTGGCAGCTCGCGATGTATGGCGTCATATGCGCCCTGTCTAGTGGCTACCCTTATCAAAGGCGCCCCGCACATACCTTTCATCCTACTTAGCACAAGTCCACTGGGTAAGTTGGACTGCACAACAATCTACAGCTACAATGGCCTCGTCCCTTCAGACTTCCGATAATTCCAAAGTCGTCAAGACTGAGCCTCTAGACAACAAAGACGCCAAGTGGGCGACACTCAAAAAGTAAGTATTCGGCTGTTTTGAACGCCTCAAGCCATTCTCAAATGCCACCAATACATCCCATTCTATGGCATTCACAACGCAATCACACCGGAGCCTCATCGGATCTCTGCGTCAAATATATTAGCCGACACTTTGCTGACAGTTTCTAGAATCACCTACACTGACCCCAAAGGTGTTGAGCGCATATGGGAATCCGGAGAACGTCTCACCCGACCACCGGGATCTGATATCGACGGCGTAGGCGTTGCAGCCATCCTCCAGGACCCAGCGAAACCCAATGATGACCCTCGGATCGTGCTGCAAAAGCAATGGCGTGCGCCCGTTGATGCAACCGTCATAGAAGTTCCAGCTGGCTTGATGGATCCGAATGAGACTGCAGAGTCCTGCGCCATCCGCGAGCTCAAAGAGGAAACAGGCTATGTTGGAGAGCTCGTCCCAGATAAGACCGTAAGTAAGCCATCCGCTTGTGATGGAAGCATACACTGATAGTCTTTCTCCGATTCTAGTTTCGGGTTACTCCAATCATGTTTAATGGTAGGTAGTTATCGGCAATGGCGCCTACGACGTCATCAGCATGCCACTCCTTGAGATTTTCTTTTGCATCCGGAAAGCTTCTTCGTGATGATGCCACACAGGCAACGGCCGTGCATATTCGACATACGAGCGCCACACGTACGTTTGATCATTACGCATACTAATGTCTATCAGATCCAGGTTTCTGCAACACCAACCTCAGGATGATTCACGTCACAGTGGATATGTCCCGCCCAGAGAATCAAAACCCACAGCCGGAGCTTGAAGAGAACGAGTTTATTGAAACGTTCTCTGTCCCACTGAAAGATCTATGGAACGAATGTATTAGATTCACGGAACAAGGATACGTCATCGATGCAAGAGTCGGCACGCTGGCAGAGGGCATCGAATTCGCTAAGAGATGGAAGTTGGCATAACTAGCCGACAAACCCGCGAGGTACTCTCTGTCATGAGGTAACATTCCTTTAAATAGAAAACCACGGATGGGCATTTTCATAGGCACCTGTCAAAGAGCTGCTAGACTGCTACGGAATTTGCCGCGTATTCCTTGTATACCAAAAGGTTCCAACCAGATAGGCCACAGACGACGTCTGTCGAGGCCCCATCAATCATAGTCAGTGTTGGTCGCAGCGCCCTCCCACTCGTCCAACAGCTTCAAGGTGCTCTCGCACTTCTCTCTAATCACTTCATGCGCATCCTCCCCTAACATCAGTCTTATCGGTATCTCTTTCCCTTCAGCACAACCACTCATAGTCAACACATCAACTATAACCCGACAAGCTTTCGCAGTATCCCCTCTCTGGGTGCCATGTTTCCCTTCCAGCCATTTTCTCAGCTCTCCCACGTCGCCATCCTCATACACATCAATACGCTTCTCGCTCTGCACTTGCACCCCTTCCGCCAGAACAGCGGTACGATAGTAGCCTGGCTCGACGACGGTAACAGAGATACCCAGTGGAGCGAGCTCTGCGCGCAGAGCTTCCGTGATACCAGATACAGCCCATTTCGTTCCCGCATACAGAGCGTAGCCCGCGCCGCCCTGCCAAGATACCACCGATCCAAAGTTTGAAATGGTACGATGGTCAGATGTGGCACGTAGATGGGGTAAGAAGGCTTTGACGACGTTGAGGGTACCGAGCACGTTCGTAGTAAAGATTTTGAGATCTTGTTCCGGGCTGGATGTTGTCAATAGGTCTACTAGCCTGGAGACCAAGCTCGACGAGACACGTACGAGGTTTCCTCCACAGCGCCTACGAGCACGTAGCCTGCAACATTGGCAAGATGGGTGATGTATCCGTATGTATCGTTGGCTTCCTTTGCTACCCGCTCAAGCTCCTCCAACGGGGATGTGACATCCAAAACCACGGTATCGGCGCCTGCTTCTTTGAGTTCGGCGATGCGCGAGAGACTTCTAGCGCTGGCAATGACTCTGTGACCTCTCGCCAGGGCTTCGAGGGCTATGCATTTGCCGAAACCGCTTGAAGCTGCTGTGATGAACCAGACTGGGGTTGGAACGTTCATATTGGAGCAACTCGCTCTTGCGACAGTGTGGACAGAATTGGGGCGAGAGGCGTCAAAGTGGATGAGAAGCACGCTGTTCAGTGCAGGTTCGATGGACGGCCTTTAAACGAACTCATGGTTTGGCAGCCCCTGTACATGAAAGCTGTCATCGGTAAGAGCGATGCACATATTCTTGTTCAAGATTACGCATCATGCCCGCGGAGCGCCATCGTCCATTGAACAGCCTTCCATGTGCCCACCAGAGCGGTTCATTAAATGCTTGCAGGCGGTAGGTTAGAGTTCGCGTGGGTGCTTGCCTTGCATATGCAAAGCTGACTGAAGCAAACGGAATACCAATGTAGGAAGCTGGAGAGCCGAACAAGTAAGAGGAAAAACGATTTTGGCAACGATTGGTCAGCTCATAGAACGGCGGCGCACACCCCTGTACCAATGCAGCCTTGCAACGAACACGGATCTATCCCAAGACTGGATCTGACAACGCCGCTCGTGGATGTGATAGCCAGGTCCTCCATTGAGACCCCAAATACTTTTCGATTAGGGCAAAAATATATCGTCCGGCATCGCCGACTTGCCATAAATGTCTGCCGAAGTGTAGTAAGATGGTGTAGTAAGCAAGCACTACCAAGGCTACAGGCTGCTTCACGGCCAAGAGTCTGGTGAATCTCGGGGGAACAAGCATAGTCCACTCGCAGATCATTTGATACCGACTGATCAGTGAATCCTCGTCGCTTTGCACGGCATCAAGCCCGACTTGAAGGTAGCGCACTGCAGTTCGACATGCGTGCTTTTCCTCTTCGCTGATGCCGCCAGTATAGTCGATGAGATTGCTAACAGACGAACAATCATCGCCCTTTGGGGGCTGAGAAGTGAAGGTCCTACTCAATGAAAGTATCGGTTCGAGCTCCGACTTCATCAGTAGTGGCCACGCGGATGTAGCAATGGTATAGATACCTCTGTGCATATCTATACACTGCACGTAGTGTGTGATGAATCCTTCGATACCGGTCGAAGGACGTAATGCAAGGGTGTCCGCCAGTAGGTGCTGACCCAGCATTGAAGAGAAAAGCAGTATCGGTACACAATTGGATTGGTCCACATCTACTCTGGCCGAATTGAATAGCGAAACAGCGCGTGTCTGTAAAGTCACAGATTGGTGACGAAAGTAGGCTGACCGTTCCGGATTGACATGTGCCAGATGGCAGGCGGAAAAGGCGAGGATTTGGTGCATGAGGTATGGCGCCTGTAGAGCCGTCTCGAAACCGAGAGCGATACCAGAACGATGGAACTTCTCAAAGCCAACCGCAAAATTGTACATTTCTTCATTTAGCATAGCGTGTAGGAAAAGCTCCATGTGACCGACATTGACATGCTCTTCATAGTACGCTTGGCTGCCATTAGTCGATGGAACATCTGTCGGTCGCTCGTCACGGAGCGCAGAGGTTGCTGGAGAGGCATCGTGTCGTGTCGTTGAAGCAGTCAAGTCATACTGAACTCCTGGGCTTACGGATCGAGAGTGTGCATCTGGGGCTGAAATGGATGTGAAGCTGCACGCGCGCTCAGAAACGGTGCATAGCCGACATCGAGGGCGGTTTTCGTCGCACTAACAAGTATCGGGTTACCAACAGCTTCAAGGGAGCTTTGAATGCAAAGCTTACCTTGATATGCCGTCGTTTGCTATACGTACGTGTCAGTCAAATGAGAGGAGAGAAAGGACATTGTAAGACCAGGGGGTAAAGGACGCACCACTCCAGGCACCCGCCTTTGGACTTCCTGTGACTGCGCCGAAGCATGTTGGCTTCATGACTGTAAGAGATCAGGTAACACGCGTATTACATACGTGCAGACATTAGAAGCATGGACGAGTAACGGCGCTTGGCGGAGAAGGGGGCCTGATCTCTCGGGCAAGGCCTCCTGACTAGCGCCATCCTTTGCCGACGTAATACGCGTGTAAACCTTTTCGGGTTAAGCGCCAACCTCTCACTCATCCGCTCCGCCAACCCAACGATAATACACTGCGCTTCAAGGAGCTATCTTAGTCTGTTCTTCTTACAACAAAGAGTTGCACGGACGTAAAGACAGCATCAATTCGCAAGCTCTACTCATTTCGGTCGGCCACTTCCTTCCATGCCATGCGGCTATACATCGATCGCCGCACAGTTTTGCCCTGTGCGTATCTGAGCGTTATGGCTATTGAGACGCAGGCTCCTGGCGCTTTGCAAGGCAGGGACAAGATACCAGGAACTTCTGGGTGCACGTAAACTTTCCCTACAAGTAGCCTCCAACTGCTTTGCTTGTGCTGCTTTCGTACTCACGGTTCCTCTTCCATTCCGAAACAAACTTCTTGTTGCCAGCCTCTACAGTGCCATCATTTGAAGCATTGTTACTACCTTTGCACGCTCTTGCTCGATACCTCTTTGAGAATGCCGGCGCTTGAAACCTACAAAGGCGCCTACCTTTGGAAATACGTACCCAACTTTGCAGCAGCCATTACGTTTGGGATTCTTTTCCTCGTCTTGACTCTGGCGCATACATATAAGGCGTACAAACATCGAACATGGTACGCCATACCATTCATCACTGGTGGCCTCTGTACGTATTCCTTGACTCTGGTCTGACTGGCATGCGCACGTTGGTAGACTGACATATCCAGCTGAGCCCATGGGTTATGCATGTCGTGCAATAGCAACCTATCATACAGGCGCTCTGGTCCCCTTCCTTCTACAAGCGATCTTCCTCCTCCTTCCACCATGTCTGTTTGCAGGCACACTGTACATGGTTTATTCGCGCGTAGTGCGAGCCACGCATGGCGAACGCTTCTCCTATGTGTCACCTCGATGGTGCACTCGAATCTTCATCGCAGGCGACCTCCTTTGTCTCAACATACAATCAACTGGAGCGGGGTTCCTTCCCAAGCCTAAATTGGTAACCGCTGGAAACGGTGTTATCGTCACAGGCTTAGGATTACAAGTTCTCATCTTTGCTGGATTCATGTGGTGCTGCGTTCTTTTCCACCACAAGTTCTCACTCCACCTCCGCAATACTGGTCAAACTGTCGATGTACCTTGGGAAAGTGTGCTCTGGATGCTATACGGGACTTCTGTTCTCATCTCAATACGCAACATCTTCCGCCTAGTCGAATTCATCGCTGGACACGACGGCTACCTAAACTCGAACGAGTGGCCAGTATACGTATTCGATGGCGTCTTGATGCTCCTCGTTATGATCAGCTTTTACATTTGGTACCCGCCACAGCTACAGATTGAGGAGATTGGTACAGAGAGTATGATTGGGCTCACGAGCGAAGATAATAGTGTGCCACAAAACGAGCCGTCCAGGAAGTAGCTTGGATGATGCGTTACCAACACTCGACGACCTTGAAGCCATACTGTAGTCCTCTACACTACAGTCTCCTTCAGATCAAACATAACGGGCCTCGTCTCCGCAAACTCCTTCCTCTGGTCCAGTTCCTCAAACCACTTCGCCAGTGCCTCGTACTTGCTTTTCCATCCAGGGCTCATGCTTCCGAAATCGATAAACCCAACTGTACACACGACCGCAATATCAGCAATTGTCATCTCGTCACCAACGAGATAGGCCTTCTCTTTCTCTCTTATACTCCGGACCATTTCGTCGAAAGCCTGCATTGCGCCACCGATCTTCCGCTTCTGTCGATCGAGCCAAAGCTGCGACTGCTTGTCTTTCTCCCGACGAGCTTCAAATCGGGCTATCACGATGGCGTCCATGCAACCCACGCTCAAGACGACGATTTGTCGGATTTGTAGGTCCATGTCCATGTCGCCGGTGATTAGTTTCGGGCCTTTGTCTGCGTACTTGCGCACAATGTATTCTTGGATGTGCGCGCTATCGTAGACTGGCGGTTGACCGTCAGGGAGAAGCAAGATGGGCAGTTTCTCCAATGGATTGTATTTGGGTGTCTCTGTTGCGCTTTGCCACGGTATCTCATTCCTGAGCTCGAAGGGTATGCCTTTTAGAGTGAGCGCGATGCGGTTCATGCGTGCAAAGGGCGATGGTGTTGCTGATATGAGGGTCAGTGGCGACATTTCTGCGGTGGAGCTGGACGTTGTCGCTTTGCTCGATTTTATAATTTTATGTTTCCAAAGGTTTCAGAGCATGCGGGCTGATGTTGATGTATGAACGCGGATTACGGGGACGTGATGGGGTAAGGATAATGTACTTCTCTAGGCGGAGATAAGCCCGCATCCCTACGTCATTGCCTCACAGTGATATTTGAAATAGTTCAGTTCCTTTTATCCGAAGAATTGTCGTCCGCGAACATGATGGCAATTGTCTTCAAAGACTTCAGCTTACCCATTGGTCATCCGCTTCACAACCTTCATGCCCCATCCCGTCATTCCCCCTTCACCATCTCTCCTACTATCTCCAATATCTCTCGCATCCATCCGCCTGGCTCTCTGCACACTATCTACCAGGGCTCTAATAACGTCTTCTACCTCACCGCGCTCATTAGAACTAATCTCGACATGCCGGAAACCCTGACTTGCAGCCCATTGTTCCACCATGTCCTTCTTCACCTGCCTCTTTGATCCGTCCTCGTCGATCATGTCCTTCTTGTTTCCCACTACTACGCAACCGAACCTCTTCTTCACCCCTTGCATTCTCCCTTCTGTACCGTCTTTGGTAAATATGGTGTTGCGACAGTGGTAGATGTGTGGATACGTGTATTTGATGAGTGAATCCCAAGACCACTGGGCAGTGATGTCGTATATCAGAACGACACCATCAGCACTCCCGATGTATTCATTCAATACACGACGATATGAGGGAGACATGGAGCCCTGGAGATCTATATCCATGAAAGAAAAGCTCCAGTTGTTATCAGCATGCGAGATGGTCCTTGAAAGTAGTTCGGAGTCGACAGCGCTGTGGCGGATGAAGTGTTTCCCTTCGAGGAACTAGAGCCAGTGTCAATACTGATGCTACTGGGGGAAAAACGACAATGGATAATGTTGACAGGACGGTCGCATACCATGTCGATGAAGCATGTTTTGCCTGATTGGCCCTCACCCAAGACGACCACCTTGAGCGGGTTTGGTTCTTTGGAAAACAACATGATGAGGCCTGAAGCAAAAAAAGGAACATGCGATGTTGGGTTGAACTGATATCGCGCTGATTGTCAAGGTGTAAATCCTTCGCGACTGCCTGGTCAGGTAGCGCTAAGCTTCAAAAGGATACAAGCGGCACGCATATCCAGAGCCACGGCGCACCACCTGCATCGAAGTGGGCGCGCCTTCAACGCAGCGACTGCTCTACTTCACTGCCTAGATGCGTTGCCACGAAGTGGGATGCAGGCACGCGTGGATTACACGTGTGTACCTGAAGTAGCGGCCCACGCTCCCGCCAAGTCCGCGTGCCGGCAGTCCGGGATCGACGCTGGGGTCAGCCAGCAAGGCTAGATGGCCTCGACAAACGCGAAACAGCAGCGGCGTTCTTATGGAGGCTCCTCCTCGCCCGCCTGATCATGCCTCGATAACTTCCTGGCACACTCTACTGCATAATTGCCCCGACACTGCCTCTACCGCCACGACAGGAAGGACCTGCGCAAGAGATACCAAGCGCAAATGACCGCTCAGTCATCATAAAAAGGACTAGCATAACGCTGTCACTGCTTTCGCATTCTACATCGTTATATCCAGTGCCTGTTTTCCTCGCTGTGAATATTATCTTGAGACAATACGGCAGTGCGAGATTTCTCCCTTCGACCAGAGCATCGCGATGACGTCGTACCGTGATCACCCCTATGCGCATGCGCAAAACCGCCCACGACCCCTCATCGAGCAAATACCAGACTACCGCGACGACCTTGACGTTTCCGACGAAGAAGACGGCTTCTACGCACGCGACGACGATTTCCTGATTCCGCCAAAGTTCCAGGCGGCGATCGCACGCACAACCGACCGAATCCCTCGGAGAATTAAGCGCCACAGTGTCACGTATTTCGTGATCGCGGTTCTCTTTTTGATAAGTTGGTGGACATACTTTGGCCCTAGACGGACGGCATACAAAACGGAGTTGCATCTCATGGATAGCGCGCCGACGATGAGCTACGGCAGCAGTGTGCGGCCAGAGTTCAAGGGCATGATCCAGGTCAGCGACATGGACGAGCAGCATCTGCCTAAGAAGCACAGCAGGCTCGTGTTCGTCGGCGATGTCCATGGCTGCAGAAAGGAACTGGAGCATCTCCTCAAGAAGATCGACTTCAACCACAAGCACGACCACCTCGTCATGACCGGCGACATGATAGCCAAGGGCCCGGACTCGCCAGGCGTCATCAAGCTCGCCCAAAAGATCGGTGCTTCCTGCGTACGCGGAAACTGGGAAGACAAGCTCCTGCTCTCCATCGCCGACGCGCAAGATCGTCATGTCCTCAAATTCACCCCCGACGACTCCCCCGACGCAAAGATCGACTTTGTAGACGAAGTCAGCCAATCGCACGGAGATTACAAGCTGCGTAAGCTAGCGAAACAGTTTACCAAAAAAGAAATCGAATACCTCCGACAATGCCCCGTCATCCTACGCGTCGGCAGCGTCCCGACGCTAGGCAATCTTGTAACCGTACACGCCGGCCTCGTTCCCGACACCCCACTCGAACACCAAGACCCCTTCCACGTTATGAATATGCGGACTATCGATCTTAAGACGAGAATACCGAGTAGCAAACATGCGGGCACCCCTTGGGAGAAGTTCTGGAATCATCGCCAGGAGAAGCTGAAGCAGGAGGATCGGGCGACGGTGGTTTACGGACACAACAGGAAGAAGGGTCTCAATATACATGAGTATTCTTATGGTCTGGATACGGGATGTGTTAGTGGGGGCAAGCTGACAGCGCTTGTTGTTGATGGAGACGGCAAGACCGAGTTGGTGCATGTCAAATGCGGCAAGGAGAGCGGTTATGCTAGTGATTAAGGGGACCATGGTCTCTAAGATTGGATATATGGGCGTTTGGGAATTATAGAGTATCCGTTAGGCATTTTAGGAGTTGGTGTTGGATGCACCGTTGCCTGCACATACTTCTGTCGGCTTAGCGTTAGCGTAGCATTGTTGTAATACCACGTTAGATCGTTGTCTTTTTTCAGTAAAGTCTTAGGAAACATCAAGAACCATGAGTTGGAACTTATTTAGAGCATCCAGGTGCACCGGCACATGTATCATACGATCCACTGCGAATGAGGTTTGTATCAAGTCAGCGTGTGGAGACCTGTATTATTAGAAAGGACTTATATATGCTGTTGCTCATAGTAGATGAGCGCGTCGCTTGCCTAGACAGCGAGACTGAAACACCGCATCTACCAAGCTCAGCCTCGCGGCATCAACGACGATGCATGCAGATGATGTCAAGGAGCTGAACACCCTGAAGTGTGACCATCAGAATGTTTACCTCGCCCAAAGTACACCTCAACGCCTCCTAGACGGCGGATACGAAGCACCAGTGTCTCGGTAACTAGAACTGAAGTCCTAATCTCCCATTTCTACATCCTCAACCTTCATCACCGGAGCACCCATGCCATCACTCCTGCCCTGTACATGTTGCAGAACAGGAACATACGAAGTAATGTCGTCACCCATTCCGTATGCAGCGAACTGTGTAGGCTGAGTCGTAGCCGCACCAATCCTCTGGAAGTCCAGAAACGCCTCACGCTCGCCGCTATCGTAAGTAGGCCGGCGACCTTGCATGCCTGGGTGATGAGTCGGAAATTGGTATTTTTGCATGCGGTTTCGCGAATCGTTTGGCACAGTGGGTTCTCGAACTGATTCCAGACGGTCCATGAACGCGTTGCGCTGGACAGTTGGGCCACGTTGAATGCCGGGATGAAGGTTTGCAGCTGAATGACTGACGAAGGGGAAGGCATGAACACCACGACTAGTAGCGTGTGGGTGGCTGCTCTGCATCAATGCATTGTTGCACTTGATCATATCACCGAGCATCTGGTTCTGCCTAGCCAACGTCGTCTTCTGGCGCTGGTTCTCAGATGTCAAGGTGTTGACCTGACTACGCAACTCCATCATCTTACTCTCAACGATGCGGCTCCAGTTCGCAATAGTGCCCGCATTCTGGAAGATCGGGGTCTCTCCGTCAATGATGTCGACATTGTCTTCCGAAACCTGGGATCCAGTTGGTGATAGCGGAGTTTCGATTCCGTTGCGACCATTTTCGATCATGGCTGCGAGGCGGGACTTGGCCTTCATGATCATGATGGTGTCCATGTCTCGGAGCTTGATGTCGGGACGCTCGGGATCATGAACATCGCTGAAGGTCATGTTGTAGTCGATCTTGATGTAACGCTCTCGCACGTCATCGTCCGGGCCACCTAGGGCGTATTGGTATATGAAGACCCAGTCTATGCCGTACTGCTTGCCTCGCTGTTGACAATAGTATTCTAGACGAGGGCCGAACTTCTGCGACGCGTGGATCGTGAGAACGGAGAAGATGGGAGTGCCATTGATGTCGTATGTATTGCTATGAATACGAAGCGTCATTACGGGATCGTTCTCGTCTGCTACAGGTAGAGCAGAGCGTTGCAAAGCAATCTAAACTTGTCAGTGACTACATGTTAGAGTCAGGAAACAATCCCACTTACTGGCTGCGTGAGCTCCCGAGCTACCGGTCCCTTCATAGTCTGAGAAGCCGTATTCATTCCTTGAAGCTGCCCTTGTGTCGGCAAGTGCAAGTCGGCGGCTGGCTGAGGCGACGACTGACGAGACGGCATGCGAGATCCAGGCGCGCTTGCAAGGAACTCGTTGGGCCGAAGTTTACGACAAGCAGCTTCCTCATACACCTTGAAGTTGGCGGATTGGATGGGTCGGAAGCGCGTCAAACGAGACTGAGGGGGATGCACATGATTGAACTGGTTGCGATGATCGTCCTGTGGCTGTGACGTCGGATGAGTCGGTGTAGGCACGCGCACTCCGTTGTTGTGCCGAGTTGCCATGGCCGCGATACGTCTCTGTTGCACATGCAACTTCTTGAGCAACTCATCACCATCTATCGCAGATTGATTCAAGACCTCTCCGTTTCGCCCCACAATATATGTCATACGACCAGAACTATTGTGGATGTGTGGCCAGCGAGCTAGAGCTTGTTGCGCAGTCATGACGTCGCGACCATCGTATTGTTGACCGGGTGTTAAAGGTGGTATGGGAACCTGCTGCTGCGGAACTGGGTATCCTCGGGCTTGATCTCGCTGTACGTGCTGGGACATGAGTATCGACTGTGGGAGTAGTGTAGTTTGAACGTAATCGCGCGATTGTATGTGACCTGGCGATCTCAAGCCGCCAACCGGAGCTTTTTTCATTAGCAGTCATTCAACATAAGGAAGTTTTGGCGGCCACGTACTGTTCTCTTCGATATCCATGTGATACTGGGGCAACCCATCAAGGTCAGACTGCGACGCAAATGGAGGATACAAACAGCCAGCTTCTTGACTTGATCCAGTGACTGTGGTCTTCTCTTTCTTGGCAACAGCAGTTGCACGCTTGGCGACGGGCTTAGACTTTGGACTCGCACCTGGTGAGTCGGTGGCCTTGCGCTTATCTTTGTCGTGCTGGGCAACTGTGCCAGTGCGGCTAGATCTAGGAGCTAATATGTACGGCTGTGTGGGTGTATCTGTGAGCAACTCTGGGTTGCAGTCGGATACTTGTTCTTTATGCTTGGTACATGCAAGTCCCTGCTGCTGGCAATGTTTACAGGCGCCGTCGGTATAATAGGCGTCGCATGTAGACTTATGGGCCTTGCAACACTCATCGCAAATCTTCCAACATGAGTCTTTGATGTGTCGCTGATTTGAAGTTAGCAGTGTTTATCTGAAGAATATGGACGGACGACGAACCTCTATAGAGTACTTCTTGGACATTTGGGCATCGCACCGTGGACAAGCAAAGACGCTGCGACTCATGGTAACCCCGAAGCGCCTCTTTGCACATTTAGATCTGGTCTCCCATGTATGGCGCTACAGTTAGGTCAGTACGTGAAGATGGAATGTGCGTTTCTGATACGTACTTTGAGCTTCTCCTCGCTGACATATGTCTTGCCACAATACTGGCATGCGTATGGCTTCTTGGTGTCTGGAATTTCGTCCCCAGACTCTTCGCCGTCACCAATCACAAGCGCTTCGACGCGTCCATCGTTGCCTCGCATCGCGCTGCTTACTTCTAGAGAGGGAGTTTCGGAAACTTCTGATAAGGATGAGCTATCTGCCACTGGACACGTGTCAGATGGCTGAGTCTGGGCCGCACTTTATATTGTAAGCATTTATTTCAAAAGGTTCGCTCGTGACTACATACCCGAACTGATGTCGATCACTGTCCTGAGTCCGCTCCATAGTTAGCTGGTCTCAGGGTAGATTGTGAGTCGAAAGAGTTAGAGAAATCGATCAAGCCAGAGGAGACGATATGCGCTGTATAGCAGCAGAGATATGAAGGACGTGCAGGGAAATTAGAAGATTCGAATCATCTGACTAAAGCGTGGTGAAGTGACGAAGTTCAGCAGGCGCGTGTGATCGACGAAAGACTTCCGTTATAGGCACTGGTGAGCAGTGAGGACCGATGAAAAATGTTCAAAAAGACCCTGAAAGAAATTTGCAAACGCTCACCACTCCTATCAACGTTGCCTAGAGCAGCCAAAAACCGTCCGGAACCGTCAGTGCGTCCAGTCAGCGAGAGCCTGCCTTGGGGGGATGACGCAACGCATGATCCGCGCTTCAAAACAGAGAAGGTTGAAACGGGTTGTTCTAATCAGAAAAACCTTAAAGATTTTGTGACATATTCGTGAGTCAAAGATTGTAGAGTCATGTTGCCGGTCACTGTCTACGGGGCCTGGGTCAACAGAGCATTTCCCTATCACGATCGATATGCGAACTGTGGAGATGCGTCGTGCATGCTAGATATCATTTGTATTGGTAGGAGGATGAGGCGCGACTTGACAGGATTCTGGCAGTTGTGATACAAATTTGCTCAATCCCACTGGAACACATACGAGTATAAACCGGGCCGTGAGAAGCATGGGATAGTCTGGCATAGGGAAGCCTGAGTAGGCGACTAAGAGTACCGGAGAGTTTTGGGGCTGCTCAAAATAGCCCTGAACATACTGTAGCTCATCGGCTGAGTCTTCTTGTGGAAATAATGAAAGTGCTGAGATGACAGCCCACGTGAACTGCCATGGCGAAACAAAAGAGGTTTGTTGAGATGGAGATCAACTATCGGGTCCGCATAATCGCATCGACAGATTTGATCCGTATGATGTGTCTATTTCGTGTACGATCTGGTAGTGGTGGAGTGAGGTGAAGAGGGCACGCTTCTGGTTGACGCGAGAGATGACGCACCATGGACCCACTCTTGGCACTTACTGTATCTGCGCCCGCACGAAACAGCCATGCCTAAGCTTCTAAGAACTCCACGAGAATGCTGTTGTGAACAGCGCAAGTGTTGTACGTTACAATCGTCCATCTCACCATACAGGCAATTGGATATCCCCTGGATCTGTTTAATCAGCCCGCTCTTGGCTGATCAGGCAGCTCATCATGCAGCAGCTACCGTACACGTGATTCACTTGTAAGCACTCTGTCGCTTCCACGCTACGCTCATATTGCTTGGAAGATCCACGGCTCTTTTCTCTAGCTCGATGGCCATGGCAGCTTCAGGTAAATCGATGACCATTTCACGACTGCATAGTCACCTGACTTACATAGTATCTCAACGCCCTAACAACCGCGAGATTCGCGTATTGGACTTATTACCTGGCTGCCCCGACGAAAATATTGAGTGCCATATTCGAAACGTTAGTGTCGATGGAGATGCGAAATACGAAGCGCTATCATATGTTTGGGGTGATGCTATCGAGCAAAGAAGCCTTCAAGTGTCAGGAAGCCCCGTCAACATCTCGCCAAATCTTCACGACGCTCTTCGACGTCTACGATATCCCAACCAAATCCGCACATTGTGGGTTGACCAAATATGCATCAACCAGTGGGACATGGAAGAGAAGGCTAGCCAGGTTGCCTTGATGCGAGAAATCTACAGGAATTGCGCACATTGCATCCTATGGCTGGGTGAAATCCAATATGCCGAACATGGCATAAATGAGGCAGATACAAACGCAGTATTCGAATTTTTCGAAGCCGTGGCCAAAAGACCAGCGATTCGAAACACATCAGCAGGAGAGGCCCACGACTTGTCTAGTAAAGGCGTTGATCACGAGGATGGCCTCCCTACTCTCTTCCAAGAAGATGCTGCAGGCGTGACGGCTCGGAAGGCGTTTGCAGCCTTTGCTATGTATGGAAATATATGGTGGGAGCGCATCTGGACAATTCAAGAATCGATATTGCCCCACTCAGCTGAGTTCAGATGGGGTCCACTCTCAGTATCACGGCGCAACATACTCCTAGTGGTACAGCACCTGCGTGGCGACAACCTTCGCTCTTTCCCACCCAGGTTTCGATATCAGCGCATGATGCATACCCCACTTCTCCGTAGTCTTCTGTATCCTATTAATGGGTTTCTACATTCGACTGATGGCGAGTCCGGTTTAGATCTGTTCATGCGCTGGCGCCATCGGAAAGCTACTGATCCACGCGATAAGATCTATGGACTGCTAGGCTTGCTTGATGCGCGTCGGATTTCAGAGACTCTTCCACACGCTCAAGCACGTAGTTACTCGATACCGGCATCTTCATTATTTGCAAGGGTTACAAGCGATCTACTGCTATTCGGAGAAGGTCTTAGGCCTTTGATTGCGTCCAGCGAGATGCCGCATGTCACTCCCGATCTACCGAGTTGGTCGATCGACTTCGCATGCTCCAACCGTGTAGGCAAGCGCCAGCTGAAATGGTGGAACCACTCGCATCGATACAGGCAGTTCTCGGCAGGTGGTAGAATCGAGCGCGAACAAGAGCTCGAGAAGGAAGGCTCAGTACCTAAGGTATCAAGTGATTGGACATGTTTATCCTTGCCAGGTCTTCTAGTTGACGAGGTAGAGCAAGTCAACAGCGTATACGAGGTTTCTGATGAGGAAGACCTTGACTATCGGAAGATGCGGGACATAATGTTGGACGCAAGGCAACTAGTGGCAGGACAGGATAGCTATGGACGTGATCAGGCACAGTGGTGCGAAGCCCTGTGGCGGACCATGATCGGTGATCTCGTCATGGCTGAGTATCCTATCGAACGAGCGAAAGCAATACACGCTTCGGATTTCCTCGAGATCGAACGCTTACTCAACAATGAAGAATTCCCGCAACAAGGCCACCATTCTACTCATCCTCCATACGGAATGAACGAGCTATTTGAATCTCTCTGCGGTATGATACCAAATCATGCTTTCTTCATCACAAAGAGAGGTCACCTCGGCATGGGCCCACCTACTACTTTGCCAGGAGACCAGGTCTGGGTCTTTTACAACGGCAACGTACCGTTCGTTATGCGAAAAGAAAACACGGAGAAAAATGAGAACGGATGTCATGAGCTTCATCTCGTTGGCGACGCGTATGTACACGGCATCATGGACGGACAAGCTGTCTCAGGCGAGCACGTCACTCAAACGGCTCATATTTACTAAAGTGAAAGGTATCCGCTTCTGGTATTCGTGTAGACTAGCAGATGGGTCGTCAATGAGACTGACGGATATCGCACCGTCCACATCGGATGATCGTTGGATGGAGATCCTTCGGGGTTTCTATCGGTTTTGTAAGGGAGATGTAGGAAGTACGACTCACGGTCCATCGATAGTCAATGCAATCGTCAAGCTTCCTACTGTGCGATATATCAATAGATCAAATTGAGATCTCATTATGGGCGATTCGAACACATTCACTTGTATGCTATACCACTAGGGTAGCCACCGAACCAAACATGCGACTCCACAGGGGCCCAAGGCGTCCTAGACCGACGGCCAACTTCTCTTTCAATATTCCGGTTGTTGTACTTCCATGTGAAAACTGATCCAGCATCAAGTAAGCAGCCAACCCTGGCGCTCTCAATTGGTCCCGCGGATACCTTGTCAAGGATCGCATCCTGTAGCTCAATAGGGAGCTTGTGAAGAGGAGCCGTAAAGGCGCTGGTCTGCGTGGCTTGGAGAAGGAGTTCGATAGTTTCGTCAGAAGGAGGATGGATTCCATCAAATAGACGCATGGGCTCCGTATATTTTTCGAACTCGCTGCTTATCTGAAACAGGATAAGCTCCCGCACCGAGAGTATGAGGTAAGTGGAAGTGTTTTCTGCCGAACCGGGAGTGGACACGATCTGCTTCCCGAAATCATTTCGAATCGGCGTGATCGCATGCGGAGTATGCTGGCATATGACGATGGACGTCCCACTGACCCTAACAATGTGTCCACTTGCAAAGTCCCACTCTGGGAGATTGTCTATTCAGACCAGGTAGCGGCCAATGCCTTGGCGTGCGATCGTTGCTTCTTCGACGGTAAAGTCCAGGGTAACAATCCTGACAATAGCATTGGCAAGCCTCCGAAACGTAAAATTGTTGTAACGACCGCAGAGGACATGCCTCCACTGGAACGCAAAGTCGGCGAGTATCCTAAAGACGAAAGCCTTGCGCCGCTGTAGGCGCGGCAGGTCGACGTTCTTGCGTCTCATTTTCCAGAACGCCGCTGGGCGGCGTGCTGAGTAGATGGATTGTAAGGCGTGTTTGGCGAGTGTCGACGGTGGTTCGCAAGGCTCGAAATCGGAAATGGTTATGGAACGCTGGCGAACAAGGTTGAGAGGAACCCAAAGGTTGCGATCTCTCTGGTCCAATCGCAGAATATCGCGATCAAGGTCAAAGGTCCAGACTGCTCCAACGTGAGTCCATCGGCGGTCGTTGAAGGGTGTGAGGTCGTCCCGCTGTTGCCAATCTCGAGCAACCTGCGAGTACCAAACGTCAAAGGTGGACTCTACGTCTATGAGCACTCTTCGCCGTCCATGCCGGGCGATGATGGTACTGCGCACCTCTTGCTACACCCACAAGCCTGCTCGAATACAATTGCAGCATGGCGTCATCTTCGGCAGAACGATGTGCAGCAAAATAGAAGGTCCCTGGTATTACTTAAGAAGAAAAGGCCGTGTATAAATGTAATGTAATGGCAACGTACCTTGCAAGCTAAGGTTGATATACGCTGCCATGGCGAACGGTGGACGGGCGCGAAGCACAGGAACGGTTGAGCTCGGAGCGGGGGCAACAACAAATTCGGTGCAGTCGCTCGGCGTACGTTGGCCGGGTTGGCAAAGGGCCACGTATATAGATTGAGACGAGATAGCTGGGGAGCATCGACGGTGGGCAGAAGAAGGCGAGCCTTGGAGAGGGCAATGTTAGGAGGTCAGGAGCGTTAGTTATGGCGGCTATGTTGCTGAGTCAACCAACGATAGACTTGCTAGAAATTGCGCGTACATTTTCAGCGGATGTCGAGGCCGAGGGAAAATAGTCACTAAACTAGAAGTAATGAATTTTGTGCCATACAATGCCGCTAACCCAAACACCTTGCTAACGAAAGCAAGTTCGACAGACAGACGATACGCATACACAGAACAGCCCCCCATCATCGTACATCGGCCCCTACCAACAGCTCGCCAGCCGGATAATGCCACTCGCATCCTTGAGATCTTATCCAAACGACGATTTCTTTGCAACACCCTGATGAGTGATCAGATACATATAGTCCTCGTTCAGTTTTCTAACGGCGTCAGCACCAAGCATGAGAAGGTTAAGGTCCTGATGTTCAAGACCTAGCTTCCTCAAGCTCGAGCTCTAACTGCCTGATGCGCTCATCCTTTTCACGGTCTGAGGGCTCGGAGCTGGCAACCTTGGTCTTGAGCATCGAGACTTCGCGCAGCAGGAGTGCGATTTGATCGGTTTGGTCCGACATGACCCTGTTTTGCTGCTCAAGCTGTGACTTGATGTCGCCTAATGCATCGCGGAGAGCGGAAGCAGGACCACCGGCGCTAGGTGTGGAGGTCGTAGCGGTCGCAGTGGGCGTAGAGGAGGCAGGTGCAGCAGATGAGGCGGGTGTGGAGGATGCTGCAGGTGTGGGAGTGGGAGTGGGCTTCGCGCTCTCAGGCTCCTTGGAGATAGTAGGGCCCTTAACCTTCTCTTCCTGACGGGCAGCAGTGAAAGTGCGGCGCTCTGCTGGCTTCGGAATCTCTTCGAAGCTCGACGCGCTCTCGTTGTCCGAAGCATCCTTGTCCGCAAACTTGGAAGCTGCCGACGCCATAGAGTCCTTGTTGTCCTTCATAGATGGGGGTGGACCACGAGAAGCTACTGGTGTAGGTATGGGCTCTGGCGCAGGCTTGGGCGGCTCGGCCTTGACGGGAGATGGCTGACTGGTGGCCGGCTGGGAAGGCTTGTAGTCGTTTTCCACCTCTTTGGGGGCTTCACCCTCATAGACGCTTTCAAGTGAAATCTTGGGCGGCATTGCAGTCTTCCCGCTGAACCAATCGGCTGCTGAAACACCTGGCTTCAGACCTGTCGTAGGCGGGTAAATATCACTCTGGAACATCTCGGAACGGCGGGGGACGATGAATGATACGGGCTCGACGTAGGCATCGTTGACAGTCTTGAAGCAGCGCAGGACCTCGTTCTCGTGCAGGTTGATACCCCGCTTGGGGAGGAAGGCGATACCGCGCTGAGGGTCGCCGGACTTGTACTCGGAGAGGTACTCGAACTTGTCGTTCTCGTATTCGTAGTAGCGGATGTTGCCGTCACTGCGCAAGTTAGTATATGATCATGAGATTGGGAGGTCAGACGTACCCCTTGCCGGCGAGGTACAAGCACTGTGTACCGTCGTCCCAGAAGGGCATGCAGACACCAGAGATGGAGTCGAGGATCTGGAAGCCACCAATGGGCTCCTTGGGGTTGCGCGGATCCCAGAGACCAAGTTGGCGGTCGCTCATGCGCGAGAAACCAGTGGTCGCGATACGGTCGGTCTCACCCATCCACACAGCGCGGCTGTTCTTGGCACCAGGATGACCAGGGACCTCCTGGGCGGGCTTCTCCTGGCGCACATCCCATACGCGCAGCTTCTTGTCGCGGCTCGTGGTGACGAGGAGCGATCCGTCGGCGCTCCATGAGAGCGATTGGACAATGTCGTTATGCTTGAGCGTGAGTTGTGGCAGACCGGCCTCGACGTCCCAGAGCTTTACGGTGTAGTCGCCAGACGCACTGGCAAGGACGTTCTCGGCGGCGGTGTTGAAGAGGACATGGCCGACCTTCCTGTGGCAGTGTTAGATGCGAATTTCGAACGAGCGCGTCGGCGTACCTCATGTGGCCGCTTAGCTTGGCGACAGGAGCGACATCAGCGGGCTCCTCAGCATCGGTGTGCAGGGTAAAGTTCTCGGGCACCTTCCAGATGCCGACTTTGCCATCGTCAGAGGCCGAGGAAATGAGGGAGTCGTTGAAAGGGGACCTGGGCGCGGTTAGCGTCGTGTTCGACCATGTCATCCCATGTGCGACCATACCAGTCGGTGTCGAGGACGGCAGCAGTGTGGCCGCGGAAGAGAGGGAGCTGGTCGGGAGCCCGACCGCGCTCGTTGATGGGGATGACGGCAAAGGCGCCACCACCGCTGGCTTCCCAGTTGACCGAGATGTATTCGGGGTTGGCCTAGGGGGGTGAGCGCAAGTATGACGAGGTCGCGTGCGGGAGAGCTGACCTTGATCAGGTTGGTGTCCCAAGCATTCTTGGAGATGCGGAGGTTATCGTAGCATTGCTCCTGCAAGACTGTCAGTACGCGTGCGTGTTAGATGGCATTTGAACGAACCTTTTTGGTGCCCTTGCCAAAGACGTGGCCTGGGAGGCTTTGTTAGCATGCTGGGCTGGGCTGGCGTTGGCGTTGGACATCAACACTCACGGTACTTGGACGCTCGCACAAATCGGCCGGCCATTGTTGCGGGTGGCAGTGACGGGGGTGGTGGCGAGTGTAAGAATGACAGACTCTCCGGCCTCGGGCGTTGGGCTATAAGAAGCGCTGCGGTGGATGCGAGGGCTATGCGACGGTTTCGAGCGCGTGTTTCGAGTCCTGGGACGCAGTTGCCCCCAGCATGCCAATGCAGGCGCCTTGGCGGTGGACCCTCGATGCCCGCTCCAATCTCGCCAACGGTCCCTAGTCACTCTCGTCACTCCACCACTCCACCTGCAATCCACCAATTTGCAGCTGTTTATGCAGCCCCAGCCCAGCAACCGCATGTTCGCAGGAGGATCTCCAACTAATGACTTAGCACGAGATGCCTGAGGCCGGTCCTGAGGTCACGAGAATGCAACTTCTGTTTTCACATTTCTTCTTGTGCTGGTTTCCTTCGACTGTCCATGGTCCATACTTTGCGTCTACTACTACCAGCGAATACTCAAACCATGATCAGGCAGACCCGTCCCTAAATTTCCTCAAACACCTTCCTCTGCGCCCTTGCTTCAAGCATGCCTAGCTCTTCGCACCTTCCGCGCAGCCAAACCGCCCACTCGTCGTCGCCAGCAGCCAGAACCACATTTTCTTCCGGGTAGACGACCCACTGTATTCCCGAGAGAGCTTTATCCACACCCTTATTGAAGAGCTGCGTTTGCTCCTTGCTCCACGATCGGAACATGTCGCAGAGCTGTTCGCGGACATGATCCCTATAAGCATTCTCGACGAGGTGGGTACACCGCTCCATGTATTTGCGCCGTGGCCGTCGACTCTTGCGATCAACGGTTGCATCATTGGGGAATTTCTCCGAGCAACCATCCGTAAGACGCAAGTATGCGATATACTGATCAATCGCTTCGACGAAATCAGTCGCCCATTGTAAGGCTTTTGGCGCCTTGTTGTGGAACTCCATAGGATTTTCCAAATGGGATGATATCAACGGAACGATGTGGTACAGCATCACCCCTAACCCCATGCCCACGTCGAAGGGCTGAGCGGCCTTGCTACGGACTCTGGCAATGACCGCTGGTATCTCGAAGTCGTATCCCATCTTTCCGAGCGCGAGGGTGTCGAACGGGTGTTTTTTGGCTCGTTTGACTGCTTGCTCTGGCGCACTGGTAGTGTCAGGAGCGTACTGGTCTCCAGCTATCTGAGGGCCCCCTACCCTTTTAGCGCCCTGTATCCGTGGGATGGCCATGGCCGGCAGTGAGTGCAGAATCGAACTATGGCTTTTCAGGTGAATGATGTTTACATGCAAGATCACGACTCCCCTTGGCAGGCCACGGGTGGACGATTTGTTTTCGTAGTGTTTGCCCTGGCATTGTTGAAGTATGTCTTTGTCACAACACGTTAGCTTTGCTAATACAATGGCTTTGAGCGCCCTCATGTCCTGTGATGTCTGTCACTACATTGTGTGATATTGAACCTATTCGAGGTACTAGGGTCGGTTGGAAGCGTAGACAGGTGAACTGGGGAACATAGCCATACACCTACCCAAGTCTTGGACAACAAGGCTGGGCACATGCATGCTGCAGGCACTTACCCGCAACCGAACCAATACTGACACAGGTCAGTATGCAGTCTACTATCGCAAGTAAGCTGGCGCCGAACTTCTCGAATGAATCGAAGCTCCCCAGCCTTCCTCGAGTCACCGATCCGCCGTTCATGAGACCCACATCGATGTGTCTCACATCAACCTCATGGAGACACCACTCTACAGCACGTGCGACTGTCGCGACAGCGCACTCTCTTCTACCGCCAACGTCCTTTCCATCTTAACATTTGCTTACATTCTGATAGCTGGCACTCTGTACCAGGTAGCTGCGCTCTATCGAGTGAAAAGTGATAGCGACTGGGCTGCAGTTCAGGCGCAAGCGACACGACTACGAGACTTTGCATGGTCGATAGAACGCAGAGATGCTATCAGCACTGAGTTCTTCAAACGACTAGACGATCTGGATAAGCAGATAGCACGGAAACTTCCTGGCAATGTCGCAACAGGGAAATGGCATCTGGTATGGCGGCAGGCAAGGAGCACCTGGGACAGAGCTGAGATAGAAGAGAAGCTATACAGTCTGGCGCAGATGCGGTATGTTTTGACAGGAATCCTCCATTTTCGCACAGAGTGAGAGGGATGACAAGCTAACGCTTACTCCACAAATCAGTCTACTATTCCTCGAGAGTAGATTGAATGACGTTGAGCAAGACAACAAGCCGACGGACCAAGTGCTAGACGAAGCTCGCACCCAACTCGAAGAGTCAAAACGCCTGTTCCTCACTCAACTCAGGAGTGAACCCAAGGAGCGGCGAAGACGAACACTAGATGCGATAAAGAGCGAATCCGGGGAACGAGAGCGTGCGGCTTGGGAGGAGATTGAGGATGTGATCAAGAGGCTTGATGCAGAGGATGTGGAGCGGCGTGGAACCCGGGGGTTTGTCGAAGGTGTTTGATAGAGAGCGAGGCATAAGAGACGGGAATTCCCGATCATAACATCATGAGGACCAAGACTTGTTACCAGACGGTTCGAAGCGCGTCCATACTTGTGTGTTGCGCTCGTGTCGCATACCTCGATACCTAGGTAAGGTCCAGGGCTGCAGCGCACTCTTCATGCCTGAACCAATCTCAACGAGAAAGAGGTGACAGTCCGACGTGATGGGCTGCCTCATAGGATCAAAAAAGCAGATCCAGCGAACAAGAGACAAAGTTCCAAAAGATCGCAGTCAAAAAGCACGATGGTGTTTTGAGTGATGGCACACCGCTGGTGCCAGTGCCTCGGCTCACGGGGATAGCGGCAATGAGCTCCCCATGGCTTGCGTGCGGAGAAGCATAACCCGCGAGACGCGCCCTTTGCCTCATTCTACCCAGACTTCCTGACCTCCTGCATGCTCATCATTACATATACGGCCCAATCTCGCCATGTCTGACGAAAACGAGAAGCCCACCCAACCCGAAGCGTCCAATGTGACTGACACCCCTGACGTCAAGGAGGTGGTCGATAAGATAGCGGATGCCGCACCCAGGGCGGATCCGAGGGACCTGGACAGGACCGACTTGCTTGCAGGCGTCAAGAAAGTGGACCAAACGATCCTGAGGCTGAACAAGTAAGTCATGTCGACCGCGTGTCGTTGTGAGGGTCAGAGGCATGAGCTAATGTAGGGCAGACTCCTAGCCTCCCCAGGCGGCCTCTCCGCATTCCTCTCCACATTCAACTACTCCCTCTACATCCTCGCCTACGTGCAGACAAAATCGCCGTCCATTTCCAGCTTCGCGACAAAGCTCCTCACGCTGATACGCCCCGCTTGCGACGATGCAAAGATCTCCGCCGCAACGCTATTGAACAACGGCACGGTGCCGCCCATCGCTGCGCTTGCCGTCCTCATCTCGAAAGCGCGCACAACGCTGAGGCTGTTTGGTCTCTTCCCGCTATACGCCTGGTTGCGCTCGCTAGCCTCAGGCCCCAAAGCCGGCACAGATGTCGTTTTGCACAGGATCGCCATGCTGCAGGCGAGCAGCTACTTCTCCTACCAAGCCCTAGAGAACATCTCCCTCCTCGCCGACTCGGGCGTCATCTCGCCTCGCTTCATCTCCACCCTCAACCGCGGCGACTCGACCACTGCGCGTTTGTACCTATATGCCTACCGCTGTTGGCTAGGCGGCGTGTCGTGCGACTTCCTCCGCTTGATGCGCGAGTGGCAGCTTGAGGGTCGCAGGAGGGTGACTAGGCAGCAGATGGTTGCCGATGGCCGCGCGATCGCGGAATATCAGGACGAAGAAGACAAGAAGTTTGACAAGAGGTGGTGGACCGACTTTGTTATCGCAAGCGCGTGGTTGCCCATGGCGCTGCACTTCAGCAGCACGACTGGAGGGCTGCCAGGCTGGAATTTGGGATGGATGGGTGCCTGTGGTTTGGTGGCTGGAAGTACGAGATTCAAGGCGCTCTGGGCAAGTACAGCGTAGGAGATTTGTCACGATAGTAAGAGAGCTTACTGGGTTTCGGCACAATTTACATATATTCAAGCGTCTAGCTTTTTTGACAGTCGAGGTATCCAAGGAGTATGAGCCCGTACGCTGTCCATGTCGTTTTCCACAGTCCGGTAATGGGGACAATATGCTGTCGCGACTAGTGCTCAATAACCTAAACGTATCTCTATGCAGCGATACAAGCCGTTCGCGGAATAGATACGGAACGCATCTGCTTCTACACCACATGAGCTAGCCGTACAGGGAAAGCCCAACCGACTATCCAGAAGTGGGGAACCTTGGAAGTGACTATCTCCCGGACACGATTACGTCGGCCCATCCTGCTCTTGCCCTGGGGCCACGAACATACAATCGACAACGCTGGCGTCACCACACGCCCACAAGCACTGGGTCTCACTACCTTTTGGAACACCTTCGTTGAGCTGAGCTGTTCCTGAAACATGACAGGCAAGAATGTATGTTTGCGACCACCAACGACATGACATTGACTGACTCATTTCCGGATCTAGGGTCTTGGTCTAAATCCTCAAGACTTTAACATTGTCGAAGCCAGTATCGATGATCATCGGAAAGCTTTCGACGAACAATGTATTACCAGCGTTGATCTTGTTATCAGCTGCCTGAATCGCATTGCCAAGTTCGACACTATCCAAGGTCTGAACGCCTTTACTGTGTTCAACGAGAAGGCCCTCCAAGATGCAGCAGCTTCCGATGCTCGGCGTGCCCAAGGTCTCAAGCCTCGACCTTTGGAAGGCATACCTTATACCATCAAAGACAGCTACAAAGTTGCTGGTATGACGGTCACAGATGGCTCACCTGCTCTGAAAGGTGTCATGTCAAGCGGCGACTCTGCAATCGCTGAGAAGCTTCGAGCTGCGGGAGCGATCTTGATTGGGAAGACTAACATGCCACCGATGGCTGCGGGTGGTATGCAGAGAGGCATGTATGGTCGTGCAGAGTCGCCGTATAACTCAAAGTACCTCACCGGCGCCTTCTCATCTGGGTCGTCAAATGGTGCTGCAACGTCTGTAACGTCCAGCATGGCAGTTTTCGGCATGGGTAGCGAGACCGTCAGCAGCGGACGAAGTCCAGCGTCCAATAATGCCATCGTATGCTATACGCCATCGAAGGGACTCTTGAGCTGTCGCGGGTTGTGGCCTTTGTACATCACATGTGATGTGCCAACCCCATATGCGCGATCGGTGGACGACATATTGGAAATACTGAATGTCATTGCTACTCCAGATGAAGACACAACAGGAGACTTCATACGCGAACAAAAGCATGTGCGGATACCTCAGCCTCCCTCGATCGATTACACTACTTTACGAAGCGGCGAAGCGCTGCGAGATAAGAGGGTTGGGGTGCCGAAGATGTACATTGGCCAGAAAGACTCAGATCCGCACGCAAAGCATCCTTACGTCTCACCAGAGGTCGTCGCAATATGGCAACAGGCAGCAGAAAATATTAAGTCTATGGGGGCAGAGATCGTCTATACCGATTTCCCTCTAATAACAAATTACGAAAACGACTCCGTTTCAGGTGAAGCGAACAACGTCGATGGACGTCCCGCGAACTGGAACCTCCTCGAGCGAGGCATTCTTATCGCCCAAGCGTGGGACGCTTTTCTCGTAGAGAACGACGACCCAAAAATAAAGTGCTTAGCCGACATCAAAGATCCTGCGATGCTATTCCCAAAGCCGCCAGACTACAAGCCGGACCGCTTCCTCGAAGTGAGGAATTGGATTGACTACCCCGGTCTGCCCAAGATGGTCCAAGATGGGAGTATACACGACATACAGGGCATGGAGCAAGCTCTAAAAGCTCTCGAAGCTCAAAGGAAACGTGATCTAGAAGATTGGATGGACAAAAACGGGCTGGATGTCGTTGCATTTCCTGCGCAAGGCGACGTCGGCCTCGCAGATCTTGAATTCGACATTGACAGCACGACACATAGTCTCCAGAATGGCGTAAAATACTCCAACGGTAATCGCGCCATCAGGCATCTCGGTGTACCTACTGTGAGTGTACCTATGGGTGTCATGAGCGACAAAAACATGCCTGTGAACATCACATTCGCTGGGAAAGCCTACGAAGATACGAAGCTATTGGAGTATGCATATGCGTTTGAACAGTCGACCAAGAGACGTATACCGCCTCCTCTTACTCCGGCGTTACCCACCGATATCATTCGGAAGGCATTCTATAGGCCACCCGAAAACAAGCCTCTTATTGAGTCCGTTGCAGCTGTCTCTAACGCTATCTTGGGCCTCACTGTCCAAGTCTCCATGGTCGCCCACAGTGGCTTTGACCATCCATCACCAGCAACGTCACTGGAGGTCTTCGTAGACGGGGAGGCGATATTCCACGAAAACGCCAACAAGTTGGAGTGGAACGTTTCGTTTGCAGATAAAGCTCAGAGGCCGGAAGTCCTGGGGTGGGATCTCAAGCCGTTACAGAAGAGAGACATTATGGTCATCGTGGTTGTGAAGAGACAGTTGAATGGGGAGGGCCTGCAGAGGGAGGCAAGGGTACTTTGGGTACCTGTTGATGAGCCTGATGGAGTGTCTACTTGAATATCTGCTCAGATCTACTGCAAAGAAATGCGTTTGGCTACGCCTGCATAGCACGAAGTTGCTGGGACGATCCTGCTGTAAACCACCAAGTCGCGTAGGGCAAAGCACCTCGCATCAACTCGATCAATTCACTTTGACGAAACCCCGTGCACTCGTAGTAAAGCGATAGTTGCAAACGAGTCAGACCTTCCTAACCAATGATACAGCCACAACATCTCAACGCAACAAACTAAATCTTGATAGAGACGTGCCTCAACCAATCTGCATCCCACCCGGCAACGCCGTCAGCCAACCATCAAAGTTCTCGCCAACCATGTCCTTGACATTGCACTTATTCTGCGTCGCAATATTCTGCTTCTTCAGCGTTGGCGCCGACACATAATTATTCCCATCCATAGCCTTCTGCAGTGAGTCGTCCTTCCAGCCGAACAGGTAGTCCGCATGCGTCGAGAAACCAGTCGCGTCGCCGCTGGACCAGACAAAAGGTTGACTACCATCGCTTGGCCAGTCGGCCTTGTTGTTGAACTGTTTCGTGTCCCAGACCGTCTCTAGCAGGATCTGGGGCAGGCGGACGGGGTGTGTCGATGGACATGCGCCGGCATTTTCAAATGTGCCCGTCGCGGGATATGAGACGTGCTCACGGTGGTTTGGTGAGTCGAGGTTCACGCCATCCCAGCACTGGAAGGAGTCAGTATATACATGTAACGTACAATTACAAAGTAGGAACTCTTACGGTTGGAAACCTATGGTTGATCATGATGCCGGCCGGGCAAGGCTGCTTTGGGAACTCGAGTGTCTCAGGCTCTCGGGTACCCTCGTTTTGCATGCAGATATATGTCAACTGTCGGAAGTCGCGAGCTTCCTCGCGAGAGCGGTACGAGACGTCGCCGATCAGCATGCGGAAACCGGGCTTGAAGGCTGTTACTTTGGTGGTTTGCGAGGTGCTGAAGAGAGCGTCGGTCATGTAGTATACGACCTGCATGTATGTTAGGCGTTGGCTGTGATGGGGTGAGAAGAAGGTATGTACCATGCCGCCGTTGGTACCATCCATGCCTTGTTGCGCTCGTTGGGGTACGCGCTTGAAGGTACCGTTCTTGGCTTTGAAGTACACGACTGCGGTCCAGTAGTTGCCTACAAACATTTCATTAGCATCTCTCTATCATCTAGAACCGTGTTGTAGTCCTCACTCAAGTCTTCGGAAAACTCGCAGGTGGTGCATGTTGATTGTGTCGCCAGATTATGGCCTTTGGCTGGATCCATGGTAACGTTGAATGAGTTCTGGAGGTGTCAGTGATAGATTACTTGAAATGAGGAGAGCTTTCTTACACCTCCGATGATCTGATGAAGATGCGGCGAGGGATTCGAGCCTGGGTTAACCAACGGGTCAAGTCTCTGGACAGTCAACTGCGCGCAGCCAAAGCGCAGAAGCCCTGCCTTCGCAGTCGTGAGGAGCCCGAAGGCACTGATGCAGGTGTGTAGTCTCATCGGGTCGCGTTACTGTGATCTACAGCGTTCCGATGTTATCGACAGCTACCAAACATCAGCCTGCAGCCCATGGCAAGTTTATCCTTCATACTATGGGTGCCACGACTTGATGTCTGGAATACTACCAACTGCCGTCTTTCAAGAGCATCGATGCGAAGAGCCGAATGCCAGGCTAATGTAAGCTAATATCGCGTAGCGAATGTGAGCTCAGATGCCAAGGAAGATCGAACGTCGTCTTTCCGTGAAGGAGGTCGTTCATCTGAAGTCTTCGAATGAGCAGACGCCTGTAGAAAGTGCATTCTGAGTTTGGCGAAGAACAAGAGCTGGAAACGTGCAGGACGCGGGATGATCCGTCCGAATACCTACAGAAATTACAACTGATCCTGGGTGTAGCAATCATTCCCACGCCTTCGAAATACCGTTGGTTACATGGTACTTCCGAACATATTGTTCCAAGCAATCGGCAAGAGTTACAATCGGACACATAAGTCCGGGATGCTTAGTGCCAGTGACGTCTGGTAACAGATAGTTGAGCAGAGCAAAGCGGTACCACACAACGACAGACACTTCCCAACCAAGTACCCTCATCTTTTCAATTCTCATATACCCGCCATGGTACTCTTTCTCGCCATTCTGGCAACTCTTCTCACTCTCAGCGCCGCCCAAACATATCCAGAGTGCACTGCCGAAGTCGCACGGAGCGACGACTGCGCCGCGGTCATCAACGCAAACGCGTGCTACAACAAGTTTCGGTGGAATGCGCAGACCTTGACGTGTATAGATGGTAATGATAATGCGGTAAAGCAAAAGAAGGTAAGTCATTCAACGGCTGATAAGGGAGAATACGACGCTGACCACAGCGGTGCATGACAGGTGTGCGCTTGTTGCAGCTGCGTTGGAAAAGTCATGTGTGACTGGGCGACAAAGCAGAAGTATTGTTGAGATATTGGAGACTGGTCGGGTTACGTTGATGCGTAGGTAGTGACAGACATGTGCAATTCAGATTCAGCCCTCATACATTTGAACGCATTGACTTTCCCGTGACCGTCGTATGGTCAGCGCTCGTGGGGTAATAAGACAATAGCTCGAACCAAAACTAGGCCCCGGTCTGAGTTAAAGGCGCACCCTCATTCCGTTGAGTACAAGAGCATGAAGATTCAGCTATCGTTCCTGGCGAAATCCAAATACGGTCTGTAAGGGGTTCATATGCCTTGTGATAACTGTATCATTGCGGCACGGGAGGCTTGGCAAGGCTGACAGCCACCGTAACCAGCCGCCTCGTGATTAAGGGGGCCATGAAGCTTCCTGTTGGACCATTTTTTTGCTCCAGTATTTTCTCTTCGCCAGCTCGACGATGAAGGCGTTCTATTGCCTGTCGTACCTAGCGGCGTCTGTTTTAGCTGAGTTCACAAACCCTAACTGGATTGACGGGAAGATATTTTGGTCCAAAGGCGAGGACATAACTATCCAATGGGACGACAATTGGCCGAATTGGGGTGATGGACCCATCGGTGATGAGTCTCTCCTTGATCTCTGGATCACGGGCTATGCCAACGACGCATATGTGCGAAAACTACTTGGTACGTTGTTATCAGCGTTGTCCATCCCGGCGACCTTAGAAGCTAATCGACATTCGCAATAGAACTGGATACGACCGGCGTACGGCAAGGTGGTCAATGGAACTGGACGGTCGATGTCCCCAACGATCGTGCCAACGGCAGTAATCATGTGTTTCGGTGGAAAGAGCATCGCGACGATGATGTATGGGACAACCATTCGTGGGGATATCGAAGCAAGATGTTTGCGGTATCAAGGGCTATTGAGCCTTCTTCATTGTCATCTACAACCACATCGAACTCAGGAGCAGAGTCTACGGCTATGTCGAACAGCATGACCACTTCGGACCACGACTTATCCAACCCACCAAGTCAAACTACAAGCCCCGAGGATACACCGCCAGGCAACGATAGAGCTTCCCGCGGTACAAGTCCAGGTGTTGTTGCAGGTGCGGCAGTTGGTAGTCTGGTCGGTCTCCTGGCTATTGTCGCGGCTTTCATTCTAGGTCTAAAGAGAGGGAGGACAAGGAAGAAGGGTAAAGCAAGCATCGTTGACTCTGGCGATATGGTGCAGAATGATGCGCCTACTTCTGTGACGGCAACGCCAACACCAATTGAGCATAACAACGGGTGCTACAAGACGAGCGACTTGCCGGAATGGGTTGTACCGAGATGATTAGGGACTAAAAGTTACGCCTGTCGACATAATGATAACCACATTTGGATTTGTGCGTACATAGCCCCACTCTCAGCAAGTCTCACCAGATAGTGTATCCCCCATCCACGATAATCTCACTACCCGTGACGTAGCTGCTAGCGTCACTGACCAACCAGACGGCCGCGCCGCGGAACTCCTCTGGCTTGGCGATCCTCTTCATGGGAATATCCTTCAATCACTCTTTGCTCAGCTTCTCCATCTCTTCCCCCTCGTTCGCCTCGGTCTGGATATATCCCGGGCTCAGCGCATTAACGCGGATGCCGTGCGGCGCCCACTCTGACGCCAGTGACTTCATGAGATGGGCCGATGCAGCCTTGGAAGCGTTGTATGCCGACTGCTTCTGCGGGCGGTTGACAATGGAGCCGGACATTGACGAGACGATCAGGATGCGGCCGTCGACCTTGTTGTCAATCCACCATTTACCTGATGTGCGAGAGAACAGGAAGGTTCTAGTCAGATTGACGTCGATCATTCGTTTGAAGTCTTCGAAAGGGTAGTCCTCGGCTGGTGCGCCACCAGTAATACCAGCATTCGTAACGAGAATATCGACGGTTCCAAAGTCTTGGACAATCTTTTCCCACGTAGATTTGACGCCTTCCTCGGAAGATGTGTCGCACTCGTAGCCATGCACCTTCGGGGGTGGGAGACCCTGATTCTTAGCTTCTTCAACGAGCGCACTGGCTGATCTGTCAGCACCTTCTTGCTTAAGGTCTACAATGGCTCCATGGGCGCCCGAAAGGGCGAAGGCGGCGAGGATCTGTTGACCAAGACCTTGAGAGGCACTGCATGCCACATTAGCTTGATTGTACCTGTGTTTGGTGTCTCATAAGAGGGGCACCAGGGGTAGCTAGGACTCGTGTCGCATTCTGCTGCATACACACTAGTAAATCTTGACAAGTGAATACTTTCGAAGATGATGTATACTTCTAACTAGGAAGAATTTGCGACACGGATCGTAGCCGCCCCTGGCGCAGGTTGGTGGTCTCATACCCGGTAACTATAGCAAGTTAGTTAGCTTGTCAAAAGACTCTCTTGACTACCTACCAACAGCGACCTTGCCTTCAAGCGAGAAGTCAGGCAAAGTCCTGCGCTGTGTGTGAGCAAAGCGAACAGTAGGTCTCAGCAGATGCGAAAGCGTCTTTGAAGTCCTCAGGATAGCATCACGGGCGACATACGGGGGCATTGTGAACGTTTGCTTTTGTGATATGAGTAAGTGGGGGATGACTTCTGGTGTCTTGAAAGCGTGGAGCTCTATATTGTAAGACTTGAAGAGCCCGTGAGGCTCTTTTGATCGTTGCAACATTTACCAGGTACGCTCTTGTGATGGAGGAATTACGTCACTTTTGCGTACACCTGTGCTCAACCGAGTCATGACCGAAATGTTGTTACTTTGCGGTCAACAAAGGTACGAACAGGTAGGGAATTGATGTATCGAGGTGGTGAGGTATGGCGATAGCGTCGCAGGTCAGATGGGAGTTGATGAGGTAGTGATTCGAGAGCACAGCAATTGGGCTCAAGCCAAGAGAAAGCAGTGGCTATATTGAACGGTTTGTAGCAAGCCTGCCTATGATAATGTTCGCTCTCTGACAGCACCCAGGTATCCTTCAATAAGTCGGTCGTAGCATTGTGACTGAGTATCAGGTGTCCTCTGCACTACATGACGGTGCACCAGCAGGACTCGTCGCAACCGCAGCAGTCGCACGACTCGCCGCACTTCGGGGCTGGTGAGGGCTTGATGATAGTCGAGATAGAAGAGGCGACACTGGCAGGCATCTTGATGGTATTCGTGTGGAGGTGAAACTGGACGGTGTGTTAGTTACGTAGCTGGTAGCATACGTGGGTCACTTACTGTAATAGTCCTGTTTGATGTGAAGAGAATCGAAAGCCCAAGAGCCAAACGTGCTGTATTTGTGTGTGGGTGCGGTGGGTGAGATTCGTAGACAGCGAAGTCAAAAGGTGGTGGGAAGTGAATGTACCCCTTCGCGGATGTCTACGACCCTTTATATCACTAGGGTACAGGTCAGCAGGCGTGACAGTCTTCCCCAGCTCGATAATTCTAGGATAGTGGCTTCCGTCCTTGCGGCCTGCGCGCCTTGTCATTCGACCCTCAGGCATGCATGCCCATGTTTCAATATTTGCCAGTTGTCAGGCCTGGAACTGGTCGCTCGGCCCTGATGCACCGCCTCACCGACGCCGCTATCTCTTGAGCAAACCCCAGATGCAAGTCTGGACGGTGTGACAGATGAAAACGGCTGCGGCTGGGGTGGCTCAGCTTGCTCACAGTCAAGTCTTATGGCTTCTGATTGGTGTCACGTAGGCGTTTGTCGTAACAATCTGCATTAGAGCATGCCAACCCTTGCGAGGTGCATGCACTGATTGCGTGGCTAAGCTTGACTAAGCTTTGTGGCGCCAATAAATCCCTCACAAAAACAGGGAACAAGCTTTGCCAAGCGGCAGCTGAGAGCTTGGCTGTGAATGTGTCGTGACGGGCTTTGTGGGTCGGTCCGTCTGTAAGGCTAGACACTTGACTGTGCCACAATCGACATGGTGCGTGGTGTCGTGTTGCAGTGGCTGCGTACCCGTTCGACATGGCGCTGTGGTTCGGCTGAGGCCACGCGTCGTAGCGGTGTCTCGGGTGGTGCTTATACGCGCTCAACTTTACGGGCCGATATTAGAGACATGAAGACGCGTACAGTCATGGGAGGGTAAAACTACGAATCGGCCGTGAAGGGTAGATCGCTTCGCGAACATGGTGCGCATCGTTGCTAAGTGATCATGAGGGATTTGAGAGGTTGGTGGAGCTGCGATTGAGGCTTCCCCAGCTTCCGGCGATCACGCCGACTGGCACTAAGAGCGCCCACAGACGTTCCAAACAACTCGCCCTTTCCTTTACAACCCCATCGGCACATCCTCTCTGTCCAGCCCACACCATTCGACGCTCCTGGACCACAACGCTTGTTGCATCTCCACATCTAAGCTGTCCTGTGAGCTCTCAACTCTATTCTTCCCTTCGAAGTACCCCTCCTGCCCATCAAATCTGTCGGCTACTGCCACATCTACGAAGGCTGTTGCAGCTTGTTCGACGGTCACCAATCGAGGCTGAAAGTAGCTGATCAACGGCAACAACCAAGTCACGACTGTAGCCATGATCTGAATCGTTCGCGGAACGTGCGGCTGATGGAACGCCCGCGATGTAATCAGATCCAGAGGATCGACCGCAACCGCGCGGATGGACTCTATATCTTTCTTCTAGTGAAACAGTTAGGCTGCAAGCCAAGTAGGGTCTTCGACAACGGGAGACTTACGGCTTTGAGGCGACGATTGAGCTCGTACATTACCATGATGGAGACCAACTTGCTTACGGCATATCTTTGGAAGCCTCGTCCCAACTCCTCGCCTTCCTTGTCAGCTTCTGGATGAACCAAAAATTCCAAGTCTTTCGGGATATGAGTCGGATATCCCTTGACGAGGCTGGCTTCCTCTGGTCGATGTGCGCCGCTGCCCGAAAAGACGATGCGGCCATGTACTGGGTCCATGGCACTAATGAGCCTCCAACATAAAGCAAAATGCGCAAGATGGTTCACCGCAATCGAAATTTCGTATCCGTCTTTCGAGTACTTCGGCCCGCCGGACAAGTTCCATGTCATCGCATTACAGATAATCGACCGGATGGGTGGAAGCTGCTTGCCCTCAATCTCAGCAAGGAGCGCTTTGCTGAAGACACGAACGTTTTCCAGCGAAGAGAGGTCGAGTTTTCTTATAGACACTTGTCCGTCGGGGTGCTGGGCTACAAGTCGACGAAGTTTTAGGGTGTTTGTATCTTTCTCTGAATCGTCTCGGACGGTAAGAAGCAGGTTGAAGGATGGGTATGCTTCCAACAGGTACTTGACTGATGGTAAAGCTAGCGAACCGTTCGCGCCGGTGATTAGGACTGTGCCTGCCATAATGCGCGTAGAAACAAGCGGATGAGAGGAGTTTTCTGGATGCGAAAGACGCTTTGCAAGACGGCGCGTCGGAGGTATCTTTATTGTTCTTATCTACCCCTTGAGCGCGGTTGCTGACAAGCGTATACGCCCCGTCGCGTGCCCCGATGCAGGCCTACCGTCTCGGAGCCATCAGTATTCGTGTAGTCGTCTCGGGACGGACATCTCCTCCCCCAAACACAGCAAGCTCAACTGTTCGTGACTGTGTATGTGCAAACAGTGATTGATGAGATGTACACTACGAGTACTGTTCTCCCAACCCTCACAATCGGTGGTGGTGTGGCCCAGGTAATGTGCGTTCGCTAGTCGCGCCGCCCCTCAACGGCACCTGGGCAGCTCCATGGCGCGCATCCTTCCACTTTACACATGAGCCGCGGGCTAGGCAACACCTCTGGTCGCGGAGACGTGGCACATACAAAAGAAAAACCTGAACAGCTCTGCAGATTACACTAGAATATCGCGAGTAAACTAGAAAAGTTGGTGGTAGTGCAGGCTCCATGGTGTTCACTTTTTTCCTAGGTTGACGTGGATGTGTCGCATCACGGCCGACCCCGAGCACGAAGGATCATTATGTATGCATGGCGACAGCAATCGGCTCCACTTTACCACCCGTTCCCTCATGGATACGGCCCCGAACATCTTGCGATCTGAGCAGTGCAATCCAGGGTATTTTTCCCACAAACAAGTGTAGCCAGGCACACAGGTTGGTGATTCAGTATGCATACTCACTGATGATGCAGCAAGCTTTCTAGACATTATATTCGTGATAATTTCTACGGATTATTGGAGTCATTTCTGACCGGCGGAGCGTAGCTAGAGGAAGAGTAAAGTAATCAAGCGAAGTATTCAGATCACCCGCTATCCCAAAGGATGACACTTCCATGACATAAATACACATGATTGAGACTTTAAGAATGCGTTCATATTCTACGGCTTCACAATTCGAGGCTAGACATGAGTCAATTCTCAACAACTAAGTCACAGTGATGCTGCTACTTCCACTTGGCAGCAGCGTCCCGTTCGCAAATCCCTCCGTACAGAGAATCATATAGTCGTGACCGCCCAACCTCATTCCAGCCTTGTTCCACGCGTCATAATGTTTTTGCGTAGTGATTGTACCGCCAACCCTTTTCTCCGTTCTCACCGACCAGAACTGTGTAAAGGTACGAGTCCCCTCAATAGACGGTTTGTTTACGCGCTGGCTAGTGTACAGCTCGTAGGTGCCTTCTTCAAAAGTGAAGTTGCCTTTGCGCGTCCAAGGCTCACCTGGGGCGAGGACATCATAAGACTCGATGATGTAGTATTCGATGAGGGGATTGCGCGTCCAGCCATAGAGGGCGAGGTAACCGGGACCTTTGGCGTCGTATGTACCCGAGTATCTGACTGTCCTAGTACGATCCATTAGTACAATTCTGGAAATCGCCTTGAAACCGTTGCTGCTCTTACCTTGAACCCCCAGGCTTGAAACCTGTACCAGCAACGAAGCCACCACCAGGCTGTCCTGACCAATTACAGGTATACTTTCCGCCACCTTGTTGGTTGCAACGGAACGAGCCACCTCCTTCGGACCAAAAGGAGTAGTAGCCACCTTGACGGGCTTCGAGCTGCTTCCCGACTGTTTCATGATTGATAAGTGAGGCAATACCGCTCGGTGCCGTGAGAGCGAAAGGCAGACTGCCTAGTACGGCGGCGGCAAAGACCGCGAAAGAGACCATGATGCTGAATCTGATGAGTAGATAGGACAACGTATCTAGCCACCAGTCCCTGCGGTCTGTATCTATAATATATCTACCTTACATGTAGGGTCCTAGTATGGGAGTCTTGGTATCAAGTGCGCGTGATTCTTCACGCCTGTTTCTCATTAATCATCCATTCTTGCAAGATCGCCTGGGGCTCATTGACAGCAGCGTCTGCCAAGGACTGATCCGCCTCTTCCAGCAAGATATATACTCTGCCAAGACTGGGGTGCATCTTCGTCAATATGTCCGATACTGTCGTGCCGGCTGTTCACTACCGAGCCAGGGGTGGTGCTTTCGAGCAGCCGTAAACACCAGAATTCGATCTGCCTTGATTTAGGCTTGTTATCTGCCGGCAGCACTTGGTACGACGATGCTCAGGTGGTCGAATTGACAGGCACCTGCCACCAATCGTGGATAATGATCGTCGAGCGGACAGCTTGTTGTTAATCAAGAAAAAGAGCATGTGGGGTATGGTATGCGATGAGGATGTATCAACGGAACTTTAGCCGGGCGCCTCGACACCGTACCGACTTCGTCACGGCTCAGAACATAGCAGACCAGGAAGCCGGGCAACTTGAATACAGCGTCGGAGCGATGGGAAAGGGCACGATGCGGGGACAGGAGTGTTCAAATTGAGGTTAGCGTGTTGTCTCAGCTGATTGTCCCGGGTCACCACCCGCGAACGTGCTGCAATCTATGAACACGAACAAGACACGCCGTGCCAGCGACATCCGCGCTCTAAGCCCGGCCGCCACATATGCAAAAGACCAGATCTTTATCAGTAGGCACCGAGCTAAACCTCCATCTCGTACCCAGGCAGATGATCGAGCCACCCATCCACCTCTTCGTCAACGGAGCTTTCAACCGCGCAGGCGTTCATCTCCTCCACAGTCTGTGTTTTTAGCACACCCTGAATACCCGGACTTCCACAGTTATGGAACATGCAACTATCGTTCATTACTCGCTGCAAGCTGTCCCCCTTCCACCCAAACACGTAGTCAGCATGAGTACCGTAGCCCTTGCTATCAGAATAACTCCACACAAACGGCTGCGAACCATCGGTTGGCCACATGTCGGCGAAGGCAGTTGTATTCCACATTGTTTCGTATGCTAGTTGAGGCATCTTGACGGGATGCGACGCAGGACACGGGTCCGCCGGGCGGAAGCCACCCCGTGTGGTCGAGAACATATGGGATTGATCTAAAGATCGGTGTACGAAGTCAGTGTTTGTCTCACATACAGTTCGTACAGGGAGATTACTGACGGTCGGGAGAGTCAAGGTCGATTCCGTTCCAACAAGAGGGAAAGTGACTACACATGAACGACGTAATTAGTAGGTTTCATGCAAGAAGGAACAAGGTTTTCTTGGGAAGATTCGTGCTGCCCGCGAGTGTGTAACATCTGTTTACAAGAGCATGATAACATCGTAGGGAGACTTACTGCCATGTAGTCAGTGTCATGATCATGATGTCTGCTTAGGATCATTGCTTACCTGGATCGCCATGATACCGGCTGGGCAAGGCTCCTTCGGGAAGTCAGGAGTCTCATGACCTCTGGTGAGGATGGTTTGCAAGCACGTGTATGCCAGACCCTTCTTTGTACCGTTGAGTGTACTCGTTGACGGGTTACCAACAGTCATCCGGAAGCCCTTGACCCAATCAATCGCTTGTTCTATCGACGCCCTGGATTGCATCACTCACCGGTGGAAAGGCTCTCACGGGATTGTCGAGGTCCGAGCTTTCGAAGTCTTTCTGGGTGTAGTATATCGTCATACCTCCCTTGATGTGATCTGCATCTTGACCATCGAATCCTGGATAGATTAGCCTTTCAATGTGCTCTATTGTAGGCAGTGTCGTCGGAATACCTAGCTGAGCGTTTGGGTAAATTGGAACACGTTTGTACGAGCCGTTCTGGTGTTTGAAGTACATCGCCGCGGTCCAGTAATTGGAAAAGTCTACTTTCAATGTCAGAAGTCCTAGAGAGACCAGTTTGAGGAATGCATGTCAAACCTTCAGTGTATGCGCACGTTGTGCAGCTGCCCTGTTCCCCAATATCACCGGCCATCGTAGCGTTGAAAGCATTACCGCCTGCGGAAACATTAACGGGGGAACCAGAGGATGTATCATGAGTTCAGCCTACCGACGATTTGGTGTACCTTTGCAAATATATCAGTATATGGTCAATACTACGATCACAATACTAACATGGGACGAAGGTACACGGCCAGGCTCGACTAGCGGATCCAAGCGCTGAATGGAAACACTGCTGCAACCAAAGCGGATCGCAGCTTGCACCGCGACAGCTTGGAAAATGATCAAATGTAACTTCATGTTGTTGTAGATATCTGTGGCGTATGTTGCGATTAAAATGTCTCAGCGTCGATATACTGCGATAGAAATGGTTTGTAGTGGGTTTTGGAGGAGCATGTCTCACCAGGACAGATACATGCCGCTCTAAAAAAAACCCGTTGAGAACCTTTCGCATCGATGTATCCGAGACACAGATGAGAATGGTTCCAGCGCGACTGCCGGTGGGCAGCGCCAAGTCGTTGATGTTGCTCTTCATCTGCGCCGTCCTACCGGGTAAGGTGAATGTGGGGCATACTGATGGGACGATGCGACTGACTCTCCATGCCCGATATGTTGCCGAAACTGTTGGCAAAATATAGCAATTCATATATGAACATTTGGTCTATCATCTGAGACGGTGCAAAGGAATGAGAGCTCGGGTGATGACTTAAGGAAGGAATGGAGCTGATGTAGATTTGATCTTGGCAAATGTCGTCAAGAGTCTAATGAAGGCGTGGTATCAACTGCAAACTTGAAGATCGCAGATGGCAAGGTGACATCAGGCGTTTAAGAATACATGGGCTGGGAATCAGTTTCAAGGGTGACGAATAGCATGTTGTATGGCTCAAAAGAGTGCATGGATCAATGCATACTTGATTGATGGCGTAATGTAACTGTGAAAGACATTCAGGTCGTCTTGCATTGCCAGAGCCTCCAACGTACATACACGAGATAGTTCAGAAGTTCTTCCGGCTTTCTACTAATATGGTTCTGTAGTCTGACAACTGATCACACTGTTTAGTGAGTATTACTACGGGTGAGCTCCGTGCGTCGCTCAGCATCATCGCATAACTAGCGAGTGAAGTAGGATCTTACCTAGACGATGGCATTCCACAACACGTAAGCCCAGCTGTAGCTATGACCTCTGGCCTTCTAAGCCAATTGTCAAGCTGTCGAGCATAGGTAGCGATGCGCGATTGCGCCTCCTGTTGCCTCCTCAGCATTTTCTGCCTTCTTCGGCCCACGACTCCCTTAGTCCAGCGTCTCGCCATCCCGTTCAGCACTGAATTATCACCTTCCTCCTCCTCCACCGGCTCATAGTTACCTCCCAGAACCGGCTTCTTCTCATCCACTACCTGAGAGTTGCCTCTCGGCTTTGCTTTCTCTTTCTCCATCTCTTGCACGGGCTGAGAGTTGCCTCCGCCGGCCAGATCAAGCAAGTCTCCCACCTGCTGCACTGTTCCTTCTCCGAAATTAGCAAAGAGTGCCCAGCCAGGAAATCGCGCGGCCATCCATCTCAGGTTCTCCTCCATGATATGGATTGTCACTTCCTCCTTGGCCAATATCGCCAGCTCTTCTTCATTAAGGTTCGGAAGGGCCCGGTAATCAGCCGTTTTGACCATGTTCTTCCGTCGTACTTCGACAGTCTCATCGAATCCAATGAAGAGTTAGCAGAGGTACCGTAAGGTGGGCATGGATTGCATACGAGCTATGTTCTTCGCTGTGGGCACGCGCGCCCTAGCGTTCGCATCCTGGTTGCTGCGTTCGTCCGACATTGTTGTGGGACGCGAGTGTCAATGGCAGAACGGGAAAATTCTTCGGTTAGCGAGTGCTCTGAGTGAGAGAGTCAATATTGCTGTTCATGTTGTTGACGAACGCTCGAAATAAGTGCGTCTGAACTAGCGCACAATGCGAAGGGAAGAAGCCTTGGAGCCTGGCAAGACTGGAAGAATACCAAATATTTGATTCTTCAGTTGATGGCTTCGATGTTACATCTAAGATAGCTGTGTTCAACGAAGGGGATGTGAGCGTTGCCACGAGGCTTTCGGTTTAGTCCGGAAAGAACTTGCGCGCCAGATCCATATTGAAGAGTATATTGGGAAGGAGAATTGGGAACCAGCGATATTACTGATCGACGCATTTTATCATGGGGAGGGGACGAGGGAGTGAGAATCAAGTCGGATTATAAGCGAAAAGGGAGAATTTGTTCGGTTGCTGAAATGGTCGATATCCAGCGAGAGGTCCCCTCGAACCTGGAATGATGGCCTACTTTGGAAATACTGCGTAGGTCTACGTGTGGTAGCGCATGGCAGAGTCCAAAATCTCAGCCGCATCTAGAATCGCTCGGTATCTGCCAGAATGCAAGACAAATTCGTCGATATTCGATCACGAAGCGACCTCAGAACCAAGCCACAGCTTCCTCGTGGCCAAGCTTTTCCCTCCAGTCCTTCAATTTGTGATTGACCACCCAGGCCGGTAGTGGCGTTCTCCAATCATCCACATCATATGGCTTGACCCACAACCGACCATCAACATCTTCAGGTTTCCAAAGATGAGAGATGTAGTCTACTCCAGCCTTGCTGAACAAGTAGCAGCCATATGTTAGACACCGGTGACGACGTCGCGGACTCCGATGCTCACCTTCGGAAATCGGTTCCTGCTCGAGACGGTACCCTTCGACTCGCTGTACGAGCTGCAACGTGTCTAGATAGGGCGGTGGCACGAGCATGAACGGAGACATATCAAACCGTGCGTAGGTATTGTTGTGATGTTGTAGTAGGGTTTGGGAGCGGTATTGATACTCGATTCGGATGGTTGCTAGAAATGGAGATTTCTGTGCCAGCACAGAGACAAAACGCCGTGTAGTGTTCCACGTCCACTCATCCACGTCTTCATGGCTGTTGGGGACGAGGATCTTGACGTGCCTGATGTAATGGCTGAAAAGTGTGTCTAAAGGTAGCGTGCGACGCTTGCGAATGGGTGATTGATGTGGCCTATCTATATGGCAGGGTTGTAGACGGTCTCGATCGCAAAGTGTAACGGAAACTCCTTGTTTTTCAATGAGTTCAAGACATTCTTCTCGCAGACGAGGATGAGCATGAAGTAGCGCGAGAGTCGGCGCGTTGTGGACGCGGTACAGAAGACAGAACGTAGGGAAAAGACTGGTTTCAGACCAGTCGGGTTCTTCTTCACCTGGCAGGTGAGAATATATCAGGTTGCGCAATTCCCGGGGTAGAGTAAGAAGGGGGGAAAGTTGGGGTGCAGAGTCAGTCATGGTGATGATGGAGTATAGGTGGTGGCGGGTGCGCTCGGTGGTGTCGAAGTTGCTTTAACGTGCAGGCCTAGTATGATGCTATCGGGGAGCTTACCGAACCTTGCACGTACCTTGGAACTAGTCGCATCGTGTGCGACTTGCAACGCAGGATCGAGTGGTATTCATGCGGCGATGGAAACAGCAACTGAACGCCTCATTACATAGATGGGTATAAAGCTAAATCTGATGCGCGGGCCTATATGCTAGCATCTCGCAGTCCACACGTGTCTAATCGCGCCTGCGACTCCCACTCCTACTACGTGTCCTACTCCGTGACCGACTCCGCTCTCCTGGGCTACGACTCCTCCCGCGACCACGGCTATCGTAGCTCCGACTTCTGCTGCGGCTATGACTCCGACTGCGACTGTCGTAGCTCCGACTCCTGCTCCTGCTGTCATAGCTCCTGCTTCTGTAGCTCCGCACACTCCCATCACTCCTTCTGTCTAGCTCCTCATCCAGCTCATCGATTTCGTCACCTAATGGACTCTCCCTCGGCTCTAGCATATCCAAGTCTTCCAAGTTCGCCCGCGACGGCAACTTCCACAGACTCGTCGCGCACATGCGATCTTTTGTGAGGAGATCATCGATGAACTGGTCGACGTACGTGAGGGTAAATGCATCTTTGAGGCGTCGTTTTATCTTGCGGTAGTCGGTGAGGAGGGGTTCGAGGGTTTGGTAGATTTCGACAGGCTCCCAGGCGAGGCGAATGTAGAAGGCAGCGAGGCAGCGCAGGTATTTGAAGTCGCCGAGTTTGCCTGCGGCGTTTAGATCGAGCGCCTTCTTGGTTGTGTCCTCGTCTTCGGATGTGTGGCCGTTTTCCTCCTTCTTGGCCTCTCCGTCCTGTGCTTCATCTTCCTCATCGTCGCGAAAATTGAGGTATTCAAGAACAATCTCCTTGTCCGGAACCAGCTGCAACATCTTGAACGCTAGGCACAAGAATGGTGTAGGCTTGCCCGTAATGCCAGTCGTGCCACCGATGAACTTGAGGTCGGCCGCGCGGTCGCATAAAGTCGCAGCGTTCAGACCGAAACATTGCTCTTTCCAGTAGTATGACTCGGTGATACGCTCGCGTACACCCTTTTCGAAGAGCAGCGCTGGGTTCTGCCCTCTGATGAGGGCTCCGCGATAGCCTCGGTCATCTAGGAGCGCGCTGGCGTCTGCGCGGTCGAACTGCGGTTTTGACATGTGGGGATACCGAACGGTCGTTTCGTGGCTAGTTTGAGATCGGGATGGCCCTTGGATATCTTCGGAAATGCGCGTGTAGTATTGTGAGGCTTGGTGGTTCGGCGGTGCTGCGGAGGAAGCTCGCGTTGGTGGTTGCGATAATTTGAGCCGGGGTGTTGCTAGCAATCGATAGTTGCCTGCTCAACACCAGCGATCAACATGCAGCCCTACGAAATCTAGATCCACGGGGCACGTCACACCCGTCCACTGCATGCGCTCTCCCGCACGAACTACTCTTACCATTCTACATGCACACTTTGAACTATCATAGCATTCTTATACCCTTCGCGTCCAGCGTTTACTTGTAGCCATGGGGAGACTTCTCCTTACTTCGAGCCAGGTTTCTGTCATCCTGTCGGCAGCCATTGGTACGCATGGCCCACGACGGGCAAGCACTCGCACTCGCTGACAGCCGTCGATAGTTCTTCTCTTCACACTTGCCCTCTTCCTCTCCGGCTGGATGTTACAACAACGATACGTACATTCTCTACAAGCCGCCATAAAGCCCCGATTACCCAAGCCTTTGCCCCCGCCCAAGCCGATAGAACCTCCGACATTGGACGTAAAATGGGCAAGACCGATGGGCGGCCGTCCAGAGGTGGATGAGACATATGCGCAGTATATTGCGGGGCAGACGATGGACTGGAGCCGCCTGGGTTATGTGCAGGTGGTGAGAGAGCACGTGGAACTTTGCAGTGCCGTGATGCTGCTATCTGATCTACACAAGATGAAGAGCCCAGCCAAACGGATATTGATGTTTCCCAAACTGTGGCTGGTGGAATCTGAAGACGACAACTACGGCCCGCAAATGTCGACTACACGGCGACTGCTGAGAACAGCGGCGAGGCGGTATGGCGTCACTTTGATGCCCATGGAGCCTATTGTGGAAGGCGCAGACGGTGAGTGCTGAGCCCAGGAAGCTGCCCGCTGCAGTGACTAACAGAGCCAGACACACTGCCCTCTTCCTACTCACTAGCAAGCCTGTACTCCCTGGTAGACTACGAGCGATTACTCTACCTCCAAGGTCCGGGCGTGCTGCTCGACGCATCGGCTTTGGACTCACTGCTGGCTTTCTCCAAATCAGAGCCCATGGCAGCGTATCCCGCCACGCCAGAACGAACCGACATGTCGACATCACTCCTGATGATACATCCGTCACAACAGAGCTACAACCAGCTGAGGACACTGCGCACGACGAAGCCGACGTCGGACCTCAACATGTTCCGCAAGACATTCACGGTGCCGGACTCATTGATCTCGGAGTGGTCGCTGTCAATGGGCAACGTAGTCTACGAATCGCAGAACCTGCGCAATGTTGTTGACGACTTCAACGCGACGGCGTTCGAGCAGGCGACGACGTTCGTGAGGCTGTCGGATCCCGAAATACCAGGACCGGAGTACGACATTCCTTTTTCTGAACGCGCCAAGCTGCGGCCTCAGAACGCACAAGCGCAAGAGGCGTGGAGCAAGCTGTACGAGAGATTCCGGCAGCGGCGCATGGAAGTGTGCGGCCTTGACCTGGAGACGTACCAGCCGATCGTGGTGTCTGGTGGGGCCGATGAAACCCATGCGGTGGCTGATGAGCTTTGAAACGGCCAGGTTTTCTTTTGACGATGCAACGTGTGCCATTTGGACGCTTTCGAGTCATGTTTGTGCAATAGTCTTCTGGGGGTGTTTGTAGATGGGCCGGCGTTGGGAATAATCATGTATGTGTATGGGCGCGCATTGCTAGGAGTTGACGGGTTCGAGACGAAGCGATTCGCAGTATAGGCAGGCTGGGTATAGCAGCCGGGCTAGGACTCGGGAGCCATGATCCTCAGGGCTGGGACGACCACGGTGCATGGTACGCATGACGCAACAACAAGCGATGCTTCGCGTGCAGCCCGGACGGGCATGACACGATGTAATGAACGAATGAAGACAATTGAGTTTGGATGCATGCATGCCATTGACTGCGGGAGCAAACACGGTGCAGGCGCGTGAAACATGGTTCTTTGATGAGCCGCAGGCGTCATGTTGCCAATGCCGCCCGCTCGTGGTAGCTGCGACGCTTCTTCCCCGCGAGCGAGCGTCTACTGTCTAGCCCAACCTCCACCCATCACCTAGCCCAAAGCCTGCCTCGCCCGCCCACGCCGCAAACACTCCTACGCTGCTCTGCTGATGCCCGCGCATCTGCACACCCACTGCCCCTGAGCGCATCGCCTGCTGCCGTCTGCGCCGCGCCCCCGTCCCGAGCTCCCCGCGCATTCCTGGCCGCTGAGTGCTTGAGATCGCCCGAGCTGCGTCGAGGAACAGGCAGGGCCGCGCCGCCGCATTCCTCGCGCCGCCCCTCCAATGCCGACTCTGGGCTTCCTCAAGAAGAAGCGGACGAAGGACTCGAACGGCTCCAAGGACCTCGATTCGCCGACGTCGCCCGTTAAGGACGCCCACTCGCCCATCACGCCCACGACATCGCGCAAGTCGGGCTCCTTCCACCTGCACAAGACCAAGACCAACGAGTCGCTGACCAACACGGCGAGCAACACCAGCTCCACGGCCCCGGCCGCGCCTGCCGCCACCAGCAAGCCGTCCGACTCGATGAACCCCGCCTACGCCCAGCAGCAGCAACACCAGCCGCCGACGCCCTCGCACAATGTCCCTAGCATACAGAACCTGATACACCCGAACAACACGCCCTCGCACCCCGCCGCCCCGAAGCATGCCGGCGCTGTGCAGTTCCAGACGCAGCCCCTCAACCAGGCGCGTGTCACCAAGGGCAAGTACTCGCTGACCGACTTCACCATCCAGCGCACCCTCGGCACTGGCAGCTTCGGCCGCGTCCACCTCGTCCAGTCCAAGCACAACCAGCGCTTCTATGCCGTCAAGGTGCTCAAGAAGGCCCAGGTCGTCAAGATGAAGCAGGTCGAGCACACCAACGACGAGCGGCGCATGCTGCAGCAGGTCAAGCACCCCTTCCTCATCACCCTGTGGGGCACCTTCCAGGATTCCAAGAACCTCTACATGGTCATGGACTTTGTCGAAGGAGGCGAGCTGTTTAGTCTGCTGCGAAAGTCTCAGGTATGTCACATCCGTGCCCTGCATGTTTCGGTTGATATTAATCTTTCCAGCGCTTCCCCAACCCCGTCGCCAAGTTCTATGCTGCAGAGGTTACGCTCGCACTCGACTACCTGCACTCGCATAACATCATCTACCGCGACCTGAAGCCTGAGAACCTGCTGCTAGATCGCCATGGTCATCTCAAGATCACCGATTTTGGCTTCGCGAAAGAGGTCCCCGACATCACATGGACGCTGTGCGGTACACCTGACTACCTGGCGCCAGAGGTTGTCGCGTCAAAAGGCTACAACAAGTCCGTCGACTGGTAAGTAGCAACATCTCTTACGACTCGAGTCACACTAACAACGCCAGGTGGTCACTTGGCATTCTCATCTTCGAAATGCTCTGCGGCTTCACTCCCTTCTGGGACGGTGGCTCCCCCATGAAGATTTACGAAAATATCCTCAAGTCGAGAGTCAAGTACCCACCATACATCCACCCCGATGCCCACGACCTGCTGCAGAAGCTCATCACACCCGACCTCACCAAGCGACTGGGCAACTTGCACGGCGGCAGCAAGGACGTTATGAACCATCCCTGGTTCGCCGAAGTAACGTGGGACCGACTACAAAAGAAGGACATTGATGCACCCTACGTGCCACCTGTGCGAGCTGGCGTTGGCGATGCCAGCCAATTCGATAAGTATCCGGAGGAGACAGAGGCATACGGTCAGGCAGGAGATGACCCGTGCGTGCAGAGTCCTCCTTATACTGTAGACCACATTCTGACGTGTCCGAATAGCCACGGGCACCTATTTCCCGACTTTTAAACCCATAATCGAAAAGAGATACGATATGCCTCTCCTTCAGAATCCAACTAGGCACGGCGATCCTGGTCTAGTACCCGTCGAAAGTCCGCGCCATTCGTCCTACCGTACTTCTCTGACCTTGACCCTCTCTATGCTTTATCTTCGCGCGACCCTGATGCGCGTGGAATCCCTCATTGTCTATTACTACTCCTACCTGGTGATTGCTGGGTGCCATTGGATATGGTTCTGTGTACATTGATGGGCATGTATGACGGTGCATAATTGTTCAACAGTAACCGCCCGATCGAGCGCGGTGATTAAATTAGTAATACGGAAACCTTGGCTGGCTCTCTATCCTGAACTTTCTGTCTCGCTATGAGAGATGATGCCTGTATTAAAACGAAGAAACGACGAGCAATGCAAAACTTGAGCCGAGAATCATCCTCGTTCGCTAGCTATCGATTCCTAGGTGCCATCCACGCCTCGCTCCACGCAGTGCCCAACATTGAAGTGCCCATCTGAAATAACTTGAGACAGTTGTTTACCCACTGCTTCAGGCAACATCGAATATCCATGGAACAGTCCGAAAGTCGAGGTGAAAATGTTCAGCTCGCCGACCATGGTACTGGCCACGTTGCTCAAAGACTATGGCTCTAAGACTATGGCTCTATTCACTCAAAAATCGCTACAATCAACACTTGAGCGCAGATTAAAGAGACAGTAGAAGACAAAATAGCGGGTGAGAAAGAATAGTGCTAAAGCGCGCTGAGCAGATGTTTATGTGGATACTATGAGTCTATCATGACTGAAAATAAGCAAGGATCTGTTGCCAGCCAAGGATGCTTAGATGAGTCCTATAAGACAAGATAAGTCTTCAGAAGTACAAGAAACATGCTCAGCAGAACGACAATTGGACCTTCGCAATACAGAAACACACGGGCGAGCAAGGGCTGGTCAGATCTTACAGTCCCCAAGGATACGATATACGACAGAAAGAAGCATTTCCCATTCATTAGATACATCTTGGCCGCATCATAAGAAAATGAGAGGCGAAAGAGGTCCGCGGACTCATTGACTGCGTCACGGCCGTGCATAGCTTGGAAGCGTGGCGGCTTGGTGATTGAACTTGTGGGTGACTATTGCGTAGGGCGTGTTTTTATCGGCACAAAAGAATTAGCCATCGACTTTCAAATCACTTAACCGTTCCTGAAACCTTGAAAACATCGAGAGGTTATTCGTTGGAGTCGGCATCAGCCTCAGTTGAGCTTAGCAGTATGACATCACAGACATGCCAAGACGCTAGAGAGAAAGCGGGGACCTTGAAGGGAAGCAACCATGGCGACGGGTATGGAACAACAACGATATTGCGACATGTTCAATTCGACGCGCACAATAAGGAGACTCATAGTACGGATGAGACCCAGAACTACGATGCGTTAATAGGGTGGGATGATCTCTGTGAGTTCAACTCAACGCTACTCCCAGTGGATACTACGAATGTGGTGAACTAACGGCATCAACGCAGTGCCCTGGCAGCGAGACAACGAGTTCATACTCACATCTCATCGGTACGTTTTTCGTGTCGTAGACGGCACACGGCTTGGGGCTAATGGTCACTAGAAGAGCAACGTTCTCTTACCTTCATTCACTCAAGAGCGTCTTCCAGGTCCACAATGAGACAGTTAACATATGGTCACATATCCTGGGTACCGTTACCTTCTTTTTGGTCGCGGTCATATTCTACCTGTCTGCTCGTCGCGGTCGCCTAGATAGATACAGCAGGAGCGGCGACGATGAAGCGGTCCACGTCTACTTTGTCTCTGTCATAGTGTGTTTCTTTTTGTCTTTCTTGTAAGTACCTCTTGATATTCATCTCCGACCCTTATGACTTGAGGTTCAAGAACACATGGTACTGACACTTCACAGACACCACATCTTCCTCGATCACAGCGAGAGTGTTCGTACCTGGACAGGCCGATTCGATTACCTTGGTATTGTGATACCACTGTATGGTACGACGATTGCCAGTACGCACTTCACTTTCAATTACGAACCTGTACTACAGGAAGCCTACAGTATCTTTGCTACTGTCGTGGGCCTTGCTTGCGCAGTCGCTACTCTGCACCCCTCCTTTTCTGGTCCTCAGTCTCGTCATCTCCGCACGGCGCTTTATCTCCTTTTGGGAGCGTCTTCTTTCCTTCCAATAGCGCATGGTATCCATCTCTATGGCGTGGAAGATATGAACAGTAGGATGAGCTTGGGCTACTATCTTGGACTAGGCGTTTGTCATGGTACCGGAGCTATGTTGTACGCTGCGAGAGTGCCCGAGAGATGGTACCCTAGGCGGTGCGACGTAGTTGGGAGTAGCCATCAGCTTATGCATGTGCTGGTGGTGGGCGGCGCGGCACTCTACGGATTGGGCGTGCAGATGGCGAGGAAGTATTGGGAAACGAGGGAATGTGGTGCGTAGGAGTGCCTAACAACACAGACCCCCTTCGGTACCTGGTTCTAATCAGCAGCTACCCCTTCGAAACCCTTCGTATGACCCCAATCTTTTGACCAAGACGTTCGAAAAGTATCCAGTCAAAGTCGTGTGACGACAGAGTAACGGAGCGGCTGAGCGTCACTGTCTTAGGACGAGCGTAGGATCTCCGCGGATGAGGCTTAAAAGCTGCAGCTGAGCCCACTGTGGAGCCTACCCACACTTACACTACCAATTTTTCGATATTCCCGGAGTTGCTTCGTCTTCTTGCGCAGCATCTTAGCACTCAATGTGCCTTCTCCGGCCCTTCTTCTCCGATATCGCTGCAGTGACTGTAGCAGCCACGACACGTCAGGATCTAGGCCTTGAATCTCCGCTTGTGAGAGCCTCTGGGAGTCCGAGATGAGTCGTCACATCCAGCCAGCGTTGACCTCCAAGTATCGACGAGCCTTGGCGTTGTGGGAGTCAAATACCGAGTTTCCAAGGAGCGGATGACGTTGCACTGAACCCCAGGCACATGAAGATGATATACCCTCTCAGATCATCGATTTGCTCCAAGAGTCCCTGTGCATACTCCGTGTTCCCGGGGCGGAAGCTGCAGTCATGCGAGATAAGGCACTGAATCTTCGCTTGATTGGTTCAAGCATGTTTCACAGGCCATCAACATACATCCTGATAGGAGCTGATCGACAAAGATTTAACGATCTCAAACCCAAGCTGGGATTGTAAGAGTTGTGCAACGGCGCGAATCCACCCACATGCCTGGTATAGTTGCCGTTGCACCAAGCTCTGTGCTTATCGGGCCACGTCTCCACACGCACGCGGCAGACACACAACTCCCATCACACCAAGTTTGTGCCATCACCAGAAATCAAAAGCAAAGCTACTTTTCAGAAACAAGAGGAAGTCTAGATCTCTAGGTTTCGTTGTCGTTTGCTGCGTCACTCCCAGTCGTTCTCGTCAACGCCATTTTTTTGACACATGCAGTATGTTTGTGCTAGGAACAGGAAGCTGTTGAGGATGAAGAGTTATTGGCGACACAGATATTTTGTCAAATACTGACCGCGGAAAAGCAGCAACTCATATTATCTCCAGACGTTCTGATAAGGATCCTTGCTGGCATCAGCTACAGTGAGTCTAGTCTCTCGCCTGGCCAGCGCCAAGAGATAAGAGAACGCCCCTGCCGTCCCCCACCATCCCGCGTCAAACCTCATCCCCAGCGAACCACGACTCGTCGCATCGACATTCAGCCTTTCATGCTACATGTTAGCCAGTCGAGAAAGATTCTCAATTCGCTACAGCAGCATGTGGATCTCAAGTTGACACCCTAGCGCTCATCGCACACATCGCCTGCACCCGAGAGTGCGGGAAAGCATACTTTCTCCGAAGTATTGGGCTTGCAGCTGCTGGGTATTGCCAACGAAGATAACGAATCCGCCAATATTACTGAATACAGACACGGAGAAGTCTGATCTCACTTGGCCTGGGGAACGATTTGCGCCACAACCTTAGCCGTGCGTCACTGTGCTTCACCGCGGAAGTATCAGTTTTGGGAGTTGTGCATCAACTTATATAACCTCCAGCTTCCGTTTGGAGTCGCAACTTCAGCAAGCGACTGCCGCCAACTTCCACATTGCGTCTGTGAAGCATCGCCAGCTTTACACTCTTTCCTCAGAATTATCAGCATCGTACTAAGGCTCGACTTCTCGGGTGGTACTCATCATGCCGTTCGCTATCAACATGCTCTGGTCGGCACCAGAGATCAACCCCTACAACAAGAAGGCCACATCTATTCCCGTCCTGAACCCAATCAACAAATACGGGCGGGTGTTCTTCTTCTCGTACTTGGGCTTCTTCATTGCTTTCTGGTCATGGTATGCCGTTCCCCACATGTGGGTCATCTTCGTTGATGAGTGCTAATAATTTCCAGGTACGCGTTTCCACCTCTGGTATGGTCACCCGCAACCCACGAGACTGTCCAAATTGTACAGACTAACATCCCCACAGCTGAGTAAGAGTATCAAGGAGGACATGCATTTGTCGCAGGATCAGATTGCCAACTCCAACATCGTCGCGCTATGTGCAACACTTCTAGTCCGCTTCATTGCGGGACCCATGTGCGACCACTTTGGCCCGCGTATCACATTTGCTAGTCTGCTATTCGCCGGCGCTATCCCGACCGCCCTGGCTGGTACTGCACACAACGCCACAGGCTTATACTTCATCCGCTTCTTTGTTGGTATTCTCGGCGGTACCTTTGTACCATGCCAGGTCTGGACAACTGGATTCTACGACAGAAACGTCGTCGGAACTGCCAATGCTTTAGTCGGAGGCTGGGGTAACTCTGGTGGCGGTATCACATAGTAAGCGAACCCTACTCTATGCAGCAGCTTCCACTGACTCTTCCTCAGCTTCGTCATGCCCGCTATTTACGACTCTTTGAAAAGAGACCAGGGTCTCTCCTCGCATGTCGCATGGAGAGTTTCCTTCATCGTTCCATTCATCATGATCACTGCATGCGCTACCGGCCTCCTGCTGTTGACCGAGGATACGCCTACAGGAAAGTGGTCTGAGCGCGGTGCAACCGTGGTATCCAGCAGCGATCAGGCCAACCAAGCCTCCGTAGTCCCCACGACTGGTGCCCTCGACGACAAGCCTGTGACCACTGGATCGATTTCTTCCAACGACGAAAAGAAGCGAGAGCAACCGGCCGCTGACGTAGAGGCTGGACGTGGTGATGTTCAAGTCTTGGACGAATTCCAGCACGAAGTCGTAGTCAAGCCTACTTTGAAAGAGGGACTGAAGGTTATGTTCTCTCTCCAGACACTGATGCTCTGCGCGGGCTACTTCTGCTCCTTCGGTGGTGAACTCGCCATCAACTCTATCCTTGGTGCTTATTACCTCAAGAACTTCAAGTACCTCGGTCAAACACAATCTGGACGCTGGGCAGCTATGTTCGGCCTCTTGAACGTTGTTACCCGACCGCTCGGTGGTTTTATTGCCGATCTTATCTACAAGGTTACCGGTCGCAACCTGTGGGCAAAGAAGTTCTGGATCCACTTCGTCGGCGTCATGTCTGGTATATTGTGCATCGTCATTGGCAAGGTGGACCCCCACAACCTCAGCGAAATGATCGGCCTAATTGCGGTCATGGCGATATTCCTTGAGGCGGGTAATGGTGCGAACTTCGCGCTCGTACCTCACATTCACCCTCACGCTAATGGTAAGTCCGATCGCTTTGCTCGTTGAGAGAAGACCTACTAACATTTCCAAAGGCATCCTCTCCGGTATCGTTGGCGCGACTGGTAACTTTGGTGGTATCATCTTCGCCATCATCTTCCGCTACCACAAGACGGACTATGCGCAGGTTTTCTGGATCATTGGCATCATGATCATTGCACTCAACTGCATGTTTATGTGGGTAAGGCCTCTTCCCAAGGGCCAGATTGGCGGTCGTTAGGATTGGATCATGGCTTTTTGTTTGCTGTTTTAGCGTCGCTTCGTACATATGATACCTTTCTTAATCGCAACTTGCATCCCTTGTGCATTGGATGGTTGACTTTGATTTGATCAGTTATTAAGACGCAGCATGACGGTATGATTGCAGTGATAAGTATTGGCTCCGCCTGTTTGATCGCAAACATGGGGAGTATTCTTGCTGGCGATGTCAGCTTGGCTTACGTGACTATAACGAAATGGCGTGCAGTGCTCCTGCAACTGACACAAAAGCCTTTTCTGTTGTACTCGTGATGATGACCTTTTCGCTGCGATTTCTGATACTACCAGAATACGCCTAGGTACATACACCTCAAGAATGAATCTTACTGCAGCCTACGATGGTATGAAAGACGGTAATCTGCATAAAATGAAAACTTTGTAGACTTCTCCGCACTCAATCAGATATGCAATCTGCTTCTTACGCGTTATTGTATTCGACAGGGTAAGAAGGAGCTTGGGGATATGAGCGATTTCGATGCAAGGGCGCCAAGCCGAGGCTTGAGGCTGTGCCACGTACACTAAACTCAATTTGCGTTGGACTCAGTGCACGCCACCTAATCGATACGAAGCCTTGGAATTGCACTTTCGCGTTCCGTAAGCTGAACTAAGGCCTACTTTTGCACACCGCGTTCCTTCGTGCATGTTGTTATAACCACGACATGTCTCCAGGATCGCACAATGACTTCTCTGGTACCGGTTCTAATACCGCATCTAGTGTCGATACTAGAGTCTCATAGGCTCTTTCCTCTATCCTGGCTAGCTACCGGCGCACGGTCTTGAGGCCGCACCTTCGCACTCCTGCTGTGCTTGACCAGTGTCTATTGCCCACCGAAGGTGCAATACCAGGCCTGTGGGCCGCAGTATATAAGGATGACGAAAGACTGGGAGTTGGTGCAGGATGAGATCAAGGAGCTTTCTTTCGTCCAGAAGAAGCCTCTAGAAGAGGTCAAGGAGCTCATGGAGCGCAAACACAAATTCCGGGCTTCGTGAGTATTTGCAAAGATGGTGATCTATCGTCTCTCCATAGCTGATGAGTGATACAGGACACGAGCATATCGAATGAGGTTGAAAGAGTGGGGTATCATGAGGCACAAACCGCGAAGAGCCACGAGATCGCGTCACAAAGCGAGGCTACCTAGCGAGCAGAGCTCCCATGGCAACGCTGGGAACGACAACGAGTCAAGCGAATTCGCAGAACCCATTTCGATTGACTCAACTTCCAGAGAGCATTGTACAAAGACTGGTGGCTGGCAGGTTGTAGCTAGTCTACCCACTCTTATCGCCGATGAAGCCGGGACGGTCGCAGAGCCAACTTTCCTGGGTTTATTGAATCAGCCACAAGAGTATGCAATTCTGTAATCATCCCATAATTGCGCTCAGTGTGTATTGACCATATCCTAGTCTCCGGCCATCCTTCGAAGAGACATCGTCGCAAGATTCTAGGCAAGCTTCCGACATAGTACTAGACATGGTCGGTGCAGTCCTGGACAGCGATTTGCAAAAGTTGGAAAAGCTTATTGTCGACAATGTCGATCACATCAACCATCCCATTGGTCTGCCTTTCGATGAAGCAGATGCACGATTCGTTGGCCACTCCGCTTTGAGCGAGATGGTTATCTTGCAGCATCCAAATCAGACCGTATTCGATATTGCGTGCGGTATGCCTTGCGGACCGATCATCTGGGTCTTACTTGCCTACGGCGCAAGAGGTTCCAAACATCCACTTGGAACAGACTTGGCCTTGCATAATGCCATCAAAAATGGGCGAACTTACACCGTTCAAGCACTACTCCAACCAGGCCGTTCAGAGGTCAATGGACTTCCGGGTTCAAGCTGGACTCCTTTACGTCAAGCAGTCTTCTGGAATGTTCCTGACATCGTCCGCATCCTTCTCAATCGAGGGGCCAACATCGAAGATGCTGGCCCGTCGCCTGAGAGGCCCGGCGTTCACACCGCATTGCAACTATGCCTATCACATCGGATGAATATTTACACGGACCCGGCGGCACGCAAGAACTGCCACAAGATTCTGGAAATGCTTCTTAGTGCTGGGGCAAATGTTCACCGCAAGCCTCCAGAACTTCTTGCCCAGTCAAACTTTGGCATGTTCGTCATTCCATTGCAGAATCGCCCTTATTGGGCGCCTGAGCTTTCTTCAGACGAGCTTGAATGCCTCCAGCTGTTTGTATGCAAGGGCGCTAGGTTCCCTCCGTTCTTTGGAGGTTATCCTTGCAAGTCTCTATATCGGGACAAGTTTGAGCACCAAGCGCTGTGGCATTCGACTCCAACTTTTGCGCGATGGTTCATTGACACCTTTGTACCAACGCCTACCAACGATGGTACCTCGCTCCTATTCGAAGTTCTCGGCTGCTGTCCGGACGCAAAACGACATCCCACCGAAACGCTACGCGACATTGAAGTGCTTCTTGGGAAGGGTGTCGATCCGAATAGCGCAGCTCATGATGCCCTTAGTCCTTTGCGGAAGTGCATCGCGGATTGCCCAGCTGTTGATATCGTTCCACGTCTCCGAATGCTTCTCGATGGTGGCGCCGACCCAGAACGCGAAGACGCGGACGGTGTTCAGCCATACGTCCGAGCGGCGGAATCTTTCGAAGAGCCGCTTCGTACCGAGGTCATGTCAGTTTTGGTTGCTAAGATCTCAGGTAGACATGTGAAGCGCGTCAATGATGCCTCCCACACATGGGCTACAGGCATTTTCCCCATCTCGGAGACGCAGACTTATGATCAAGTCATGGGGTGCACGCGTCAAACGGGCGAGTTCATGCTCAATATGCGTAACATGGTACCAGAACACGTTCAAAGCGTTTTTCAAAGAGCCTATTTCACTGTTATCAGCGAGCACTTCCTGAACACGATGACCAGAGTCGCAAAGACGAAGATGCTAAGCTCAAAAGAGAAAGATGAAATCGTCTGGATTGTTTCTATGCGAGATGGCGTCGATCTACCCAAGTACAGCTTCGACCAGAAACTTGTCATCGCGTTGCTAGACCCACAACCACTACCAAGTATGATGCTTGCACGAGATGATGATAATTCTCCAGGAGACACGATGCAATGCGATACGGTCGATGTTGCTGCGGCTTCTCCAGCGTCTAGTGCCACAATCACGGGGACGGCGATGGCGACCGGGGCTGCGACGGACCTTCAGCCCCATGCTCCCTTCCAATTCAATTCCAACCGCGAGGCAACTTCGAACAATGCACCGTCACCACCTAGGTCTCCACAATGGCTCGATGAATTTTTCGTAGCATCTACAACCCAAATTCGATGGCGCGATCCCTGCGCACCACCCAAGCCAGGCGACGCCCAGAAGGCTTTGGCGGCTGTACTAATACAAAAATGCGCGACTTGCAATGACAACAGGCTGCTCACGAAGAGGGAACTGGAGAGACACGATACCGAACATGAGCACACTGTAGATTGTGATATTATCGGTTGTAAGAGGCGCTTCTGTGCTGAGAAACGAACCAAGGAACATATTGGAGGATGTCAGGATCATCTATTCAGTCATTGAGGGCCAAATTGCCGAGTCCATCCCTATCAGCCTCACTATATTTGCCAACATCGGTACAAGAATCCTGGTTCCCGTCTGCACTGGACTCATATGCCTCTGACTGCTTTCCTTCTTCCAGAATACGTTCGTGCGTTATTTGTCTCACCTCCATATCAGCCGCTCGATGCCGCCAATGTTCGAAGTAACCTCGCATCTCTAGAGGTTCTAGCTGCCTGAGCACATGATAGGAGCGATAACCGGTCTCTATCATGTTCAACCGACAGAAGTAACGCATATAATTTGGACCGTTGTGTTTTAACGTTGCTGTTATTCCGACATCTTGGAGTATTTGGATATGCGCAGCGGTCTGATCTGATCGCGCACGATTGGGATACTTTTCGCGGTCATCTCCCATACGCTCCTGCCTCACTTGCTGAGTGTACACGATGAGGCTGCGCAACCTCGGCAATATTCCAGTGGCTTTCTGTGCGACGAGATGAGTCAGGAGACGGTCAAAGTCCCAGCACGTGCCTCCGAGAGTAAGATGGGTTAATGTCTCCGGCAGTACGCCAAGTTCGTAGTCAGGCTCGGATCCCCATGCCATCCACTTAGGCGTCATCAATTCATTGACGCATGTGGTCACGTGTGTGAGTTGGGTGTACTCGCTCAAATCGAAAGTCCGATGCCCGTTGGCAGAGTCCCATAGCCTATCGAAAGGGATCTCCAGATTGTTTAAACGCGTTTTGAGTCGCTTTCTGATAATCTCTCTCAGATAGAGCCGACAGCGGTGGGCATCCGAATGAGCTAGACCTGCAGTGAAAGTCGAGGTGTTGAAGAACACTGGATCGAGGAAGGGGATATCATTATGCGATAATCCTCCTAGCAACAAGTGCTGTATGTTGGGGATCTGTAGCAGGAAAAGAGCCATGTCTGCCTGGACGTTCTTTCGACGCAAGTCGTACTTTAGCATCCGCTGGAGGCGCCTTGTGATGCCGGACGACCTCATGATAGGCATATAGATACCCAGTTTCTTCACTTGAGACCTGCGATCGGAAGTGCGCTCGTCGTGAGTGTCGGCATCCCGGAAAAGGTCAATGCTCCTGACTAGTTGCGCGAGCCTGGGTCGGGCGGCATACAAAGAGACGAGTTTGTGTACTTTAGCTATGTCGACGTAGACATTTTGATGGAGAACATCTACTATGATATCATCTACAGCGCGTAAGAAAGCCGACAAACTGAATGTCATTCCAGCATCCACTTACAAAAGCGCTTACACACTATTGCCAGCGAGACGAGTTCCGCGCGTCGGTCCCGAGGTAGACGAGGCAGATGGTCCGTAATATCGAGCAACAACTCCTTAGGTAGTGCAAGGAGATATGCCGTCATTACGAAATAAGAGGTGCACTATTGCGCGAGGTTGGTTACCTGTACAGCGAGGTAAGGGTTGCTGGAAGGTTTGCTCCAGCGATCCATGATGTGAGCCATGTGGTGGGACTGCACGACCGTTTACGAATGAAGAAGCGACACTTGCCGCTCATATGAGTCCTTGTGAGTGGTGAGGCGCTGAAGTGACTGTGACTTCCCGAACTGTGAATGGGAAGGCTCGGCTCGCTTGATGACAACCACGACTGACACACAATGGTCATACCTCGACGAAGGAGCGCGCGCCACTCTGAAGGTTGTGTAAGATGTCTACCTGGATCTTTGCATGCATCTAGAACAAACAGAGACAAGTCACGTACATCTCAACAGCTTCCGTGCTGCCGACTACGCTTCTTCAAGACGTCTACGCACCCGGACCGTAACATTAATTGTTAGTCTATGACAAGCCTCACATGACGAGACTATTCTTGGAATGATCACTGATACTCTACAACCTCGGCGCAATCGTCACTACAAGCTTGTCACGCTCGGTGCGGCGAACAAGCGGATCGGCGGTATCGCGATCAATCAACTACACTTCAGTGTGTCTGAAGATGCAGGAAACTAAACTACTTATAAGAACCGGTTAACAGTTTGGACGAAAAAGTATACGCTAAACGGAACGTTCGACGACACTCCAGGTTCACACTGTCACTTGAATTTGCCGAAACACGGCTGGGTTGACACCAAGGTAGACAGGAATATCAACATCATAACGAATTCAATCATATCTTTACAAATACACCGCCGATCGCTACAACCAATCTGATCCCTTACAACCCACTAAGCCCCAGCGCCAACGCACCGAGCACACTGTTCAACAACGCAATAACACCCACGAGCACAACATTAATCACCAACTGAACCGCGAGAATCAAAAGACTCAACGCACTTGTCAACGGGTTGATGAATACCAAAAGTCCAGCGAGACCCAAAATCGCCACCGCGGCGGTAATTGTAGCAAAGATCTCAACAATGATGAGCGCAAGAAGGGCACCAGCAACGATCAACTGACGCTTCTCCTTGGGCTGGGAGACGTCGATGAGATCGGTAGAGGTAGAACGCTTCTGGTTGTCTTCGGCTGGGACCATGGGTTGCGTAGCGTTTGCAGGAGCAAGATCGCGGATCTGCGTTGTCGAAGCCGTGATGGCGGCGGTGATCTTGTTGAGTTGCTCGCCTACTTTGGGGATTGCGGCGGTCTTCTCGAGGAGAGACGAGGATGCGGAGAGAGGCGCAAGGGTAGCATCTAGGATGGATTTGTTAGTATAATGCAGTTGATGGACCTTTTGGCTGGCGGGTCAAAAGAGGAGGTGGCGTACTGATGGCTCCGGTGTAGACTTGCACCGTGGCGAAGAGGTCGGTGAGTAGGGATTCTACGCTGCTCGTTTCCTGGCGCTTTTGCTGGACAACGGGGCTCGCGAGCGATAGGCCGCTTAGGGCGAAGACGGCGAGGTGGGAGAAACGCATTTTGGTGTGTTGGTGGTGATGACTACTATGAAGATAGTGGGAGAGGTAAAGTATACACAGGAACGAAACTGAGCGAGTGAATCGTAGTAGAGACTGGTCAATTACAACGAGAACATGAACCCTCTTATACGCCCTGTGGTTTTACCTGTAGTACCGTCCCAAGTACAAACTTGTTTACAGCATGACAAGAAATCTCAACGACTAGTTTCGCATGAGGGAATGCTCGTCATCGTCATTTCCTACATTGGTACATGTTCCGGGTATGCGGTTCGGAGTGTTATCTCGATGCGGCCAGGAGTGATCGTCATAGGCGGACCTGGATCTATTGATAATATGCATCCTTGCTGTATATCGCTTCTACCCGCTTTTGTTCCTGCAACAGGAAACCTCGATCTGTTCAGGAACGCCATGGGCTTTCTGTGTTGGTAAGTATGCGAGGATTCCTGTGTTGCGACTGGAAATTGGGCTTCTAGAGGATATGATGCGATTGCCTTTCGTACAGCGCGTCGTTGCCTGCCGTGGAGGGCAGGTACGTGCCTCCGATTTTGCGTTTCACATCGTCTATCAACCGCCCCATTCAAGAAGAGAACCGTTGTGTACCATCACGCTTGTAGCCGGTATGCCGCACGCCATTATCTGCTATAGCGCTGTATACACCGTTTATACCTACTCCGCGGACCCTGTACCATGCCCGCCGCGTTCGCTAGGCTGTAAAGGAAAAGGAGAAACAGCGTCATGGTAGGAATAGAACGTCAATGTCAAGGCTGGCAAACCTACAAGCCTCAAACACCGGTGGTAGAAACCCCTGGAATCAATCGCTCATTGGCTGCGCGCAACTCCATTAGTGCTTCCTGATATCCGGCATCCCTGTCTTCGCTCTTGCTCTACGCGAGGTGATGGATGGGTCTGTGCGGTTCATGCGATGATGGCGTGGCTGGTGTTGTTCGGACTGAGTAGTGCGCGGTGTGAGAGGCTCAATCTCAAGAGACTGTATAGTATGGTGAATGATGCAAGATCTTCATTGATACGCCTACGAATGCTATGTTTGCAAAACGCCCTGAGGATAATAACCCTCACCCACCTTTGATATCCCGTCCAGTTCATCAGCGTTCGTCATGTACAACCCTTCCATACTATCCTCCTTTTGTTCATCAGTCATGTTCATCTAATCTAACGAGAGCCTTTTCATCTCCCAAGCCTATGATCGCGACCTATACACTCAAACAAAAGATACAATGATTTGCCATTCGGGGGAACACGTATCCTCCTGCGTATTGTAGGTGTTTCGTCTGCTCAGTCTTCGCCAACGAGCCTAATCTCGGCAACTTCATCATCTTGCTGCGCGACGGGTGTGCCGACACCACCCCAACCATTCTTGACAGGGCCATCGTCAGCAAAGTCTTCCATCCTATCGCTCATCTCTCCATCACCTACGGAACCTATCGCTCCGGTATCAGACGCAGCGCCGTCATCATCCGAGTCATTATGGCGACCCATGTTCGCGCTGCCAAGGCCGCTGAAGCTCCAAGCTGGTTGATCAGCATCCATTTCCCAAGGAGTGGACGTGTAAGGACCGTCGTCAGCGTAGCCCTCATCGTCGCCATAGGATGGTAGCTCATCATCGTCACTCAGGCTCCCGGCTGCGACTCCGTTCTTTGGACGGTTCGCGGCTGCTGAGCGCTGATAACCACCCCCGCGCAGGGCTACGGCTCCCGCTGCGACTGCGCCAGCGCTCGACGACCCATTGCGGGACGAATCGTCGAGGCGCAAGCCGTTTCCCGCCGGTGACCGAGAGCGAAGTTGTTGGTCGTCTGCATCTTCATCAGAGTTTGGGTTGCTGTTGTCGCCGGCTACGATTTGCTGAAGGGAGGGAGGGCCTAAAGGGATGGGGGAACGGCGGCGGTAGAACAAAAGGTAGGCGTTTCTCGATACGGCCCTGCGACCAGATTCACACCGGGACACTATGGAGTCTAGTGAAGTTAGCATCAATGTGACTGTGTGTGAAGGATACGCGGTAAAGCCTACCATTGTAGTCATACCACTGCTTGTCGAAGAAGTTCTGAGCAGTGGCCGTGTAATGTCCGCCTCCAAGCCCACCGTAGTGATTGTCGACTGCGAAGAGATCGTAGGTGAGATCCTTGCCTTCAGGGAAACCGACTTTGCCAGACAGATCTAGTCCCTCTACAGGAAAGTCAACTAGATCTTCGATCTTGTCTCTGAGGTTTCTCGCCCCGCTAAAGCGCTTCAGATGGATAATCAAAATGTCAGGAACTGTCCAGATTTCGAGTGTCTTTGTCGCCCTGCGCCTCTCCTTGCAACGGCTGCAATACCACGCGTTGTCTTCGGAAAGTACCTCGCTCTTGGAAGATTCGACAAAACATTCATCAAGGTTGATGCCGTTTTTACGACGAGCTGCGCGCCGCTCTTTCTTCTCGCGAAGCTCTGTGTCATCGAGAACCTCTATGGACTTCATGATGTCCGCGCCTCTGTCATCGTCCGTCGTAGAGGCCCCAAATAGAGCATCATAGGCCTCGGCGTTCCAATCAAGGACAAGGGCCTCGCCCATTCGGAGCAGTCTCTCATCCGACTCGTCGTCAGGATCGTCAGGGTAATTCGGTAGGTCCGACACCTTGCCTGCTTTCTTACTCTTGAAGTTCTTGTTGTTTTTGTGCTTTCGCTCCATTTTGCGCTCATGCTTCCGCGCTTTCTTGCTCTTCTTCTTGTTCTGACGGCCAGAACGGGCAAACTCCGGTGCTGCCGGCTCGACTGATTGCATTTCCTCGTCGCTGCTGACGTTGGCGGCATCAATCGCTGCGTCGGCATCAACAATCGTGGACTGTGATACATCCTCGTCTTCGTCGCTAGATGTAGTTTCGCTTCCGGCAGCGGACGATTGTACAGATTCTTCTCGAGCTGGTGGTATCCTGACTCGTTTGGTGATAGGCTCAAGTGGCTTTGAATAATCGACGGTACTCCAGCCTGTAGTAACAATCTCTGAGCTCTTTCGTGTGTGCTTCATCTCGAAAAGTGCCCTATTCTACATTAGTATCTTGCTGCACGAATCCAAGGTCGGTCCCGAAGCCGCGAACTTGCGTTACAGGCTTGGCCTGGAACTAGCTTGTACATACCTGAACTCCGGATGAATGTAGCTGCCCGGCCGAAGTACTTCCGGAACCTCGTTAGCCTCATCGACTTGAGCTAAACGCGTATCCTTCGCATCCGTCATCGTCACCTCCACAATGTCCTCGCCCTCAACAGAGCCGTCGTTCACTTGTGGATCGTTTGGCGACGCATCTTCTTCTGTTGTCAGTACAACATCAGACCCAGGGCGCGATTGTTCTGGCCCGCTGAGCTCACTAAGAATCTTGCGGCTAGTCATTCCAGCGACTCTAGCCAGAACCTTCCTCAGGATTGCGTCGTAATCTTTGGCTTCCTCACGAGTAAGAACAATAAAGCTGGGCCAGAGCGCCATAGACTGTCCTGTGGCTCTATACGAGGATGTGCTTGGGATGCGGTGGAACAATGGAAACATGACGCGATCGTGGAGTGGTGAAACAGTCTCCGGAATCTCCTCGTCGGAAGATTGCGAAAGCGTCATCCGGTACTTGGCGCCCTTCTTCTTAGGTGCAGGCCAATTACTTGGAGCCATTTCTAACTCATAGAAATATATTTCGTCCCGTGCGCCAATATTCGACTCCGCTATCGACGATGCATCGTCCAAGTGTCGATAGTATTTGTGACTATACACCTCGGATGCCATAATGCGGTTGGCTGGAACGCCGCCGCAGCGCTTGCCGACAAATTCCTTCAAGGCTTTAATTGGGGCATTTTTGTCAAAGTCAAGCTCGATTCGACAGGGCTTCCCGTACAAGGGCACGTATATGACGGTATGAGACCAAGACTGCTCTACCGGCAGCTGCAATGTAAGCTGGCTGTATGGATCGAACGTGATGCTGACTTTCTCACAATCCGGACAAACCATGGTGTTCTTGTAGAATCCGCTAAACAGGTCCATGGCTACAGAGTCGTTTCGAGCCCGGTGGTTCTCCCGATAGATCTCGCCGAGTCGCTTGACTGCCTCGGGGTCCCGGAAGGTATTGTCATCGGAATCAGGGTTCTCTCGGTACGGCTTCTTGTGTATACGGTTCAGATCTTCGTGGAGCGCATCGACTAGCCAGCTGACGAATTCTTGAGAGTCCTGTTGGCCATAACCAGAAAACATGGGATTCGCCCTACCAAGCTTGAGTTTGAAGTCTTTGGGCGAGACAGATGAGCTGTTGTCGAAGCCATAGATGGAGCTCAAAAGACCAGCGTACGACTTGGCAATTACACCTTTGAAGCCTATGGGGTTGTCGATGTTGACCTCGTCTTTCCATTTATTATTCAGAAAGTACATGCTCAATTCTTCGACACTCCGTAGACATTGGAGAGCGGAATTCATGTAACAGGTGTTGCCAAGGTTCGTAAGTCCCACGTGGCCACGAACTTTGCCATTTTGTTTTCTTCCGCGCGTCATGGGGCCTCCCGTTGGAGTGCTCCTACCACTGTTGGGGTTGCTCTGCAGGCCCTTGCCAGCCAGGGCACCGGCCTTGTTCTTGGAAGCTGTTTTGGTGGTGTCGGCAATGTATTCACCCTTGTCGTCGTGCTCCTCAAGTACAATGATCTGGTCCTGGGTCAGACCAGCGTCAGCCAGCGTCAGAGACGCGTTGAACGTCTCGTTGGCCGTCTCGTCTTTGCCTGTGACCAGCTCGCGCTCTGATCCAAAGGCAAGAGCATTGAAACTGTCGACCGCCATAACGAGTGTAGGGCGTTGGGCGGGTGCGGGCGCTACAGGAGATCCGTTCTGGGGAGACGCGTCGGGTGTTAATATGCCGGATGGCTGCGATGCCGATGGCTGGTCTGTAGGCGCGGGCGTGAGAATGCGCCAAATGCGAACTTTGTTGTTGGGGTCGACGCCTGCAGCTTTCTTTGCAGCTTCGACAAAGGCTACAAAGCTTTCGTAGCGGCTCGCGACGAACCTTGCGGCTGGTTTCGTGCTGTCAGCGGCGTTGTGAGTTTTCTGCACTTTTCGAATGGTAAAGATGGGAGGGTGCAGCTCGTAAGAAATATCTTCGCTGACTTGGCCCGGTACCGTATTGTGGGCGTAGCGGCGTATGACGGGACTCGACTTCTGAAGCCCGTACCAGCTGAGGACCAGATCCCACGCTTTGCGGGGCACAATCTCGAAATCTTGGCCCAGCGTTGTCTCCTTGCTGAGCGCGACGAAGTCATCGCCATGCTGGTCGACCAAGTTCTCGTGCGCTAGTTCCGGGTCGACGAGGTGCGAGTTGTCGACAGGGCCCACTGGACCCAAGGTCGCGTCCCTGCTGAAGTCGTTGGGTCTGCCTTTGTTCTCTGACGTCCTTGCCCATACGCGCTCTAGCCACTGTTCGGAAATAATGTAACCCTCTTGCCCGTCTACAAGAGCCTCGGTCGACATCATGCCCATGACGCGAGTCACCTGCTCGTCGATGTCTGGGAGACCCTGTTGCTCAGGGGCGTCATCGTCGCCGTCGCCGTTGAGGCTGCTGCCAGTGGGCGCGTCAGCCATCTCTACGGAAGTCGCGCGTGCACTGCGCTGTGGTGTGCTTGTAGGCAGGGGCTTGCTGGCGCGGGCGCCCGACGGCGCGTCGCTGGTGCGCGTGCCGTGTGCGTCGGCCTTGTCGTCCATGTCGGAGTGGAGGCGCTTAGCGGGTGAGGATGCCCGTGGAGGGGGCCTTTGGGGATGTGCTTCGGTGGTGCGTGTGCGGTCCAGGTCGGTGACGGAGCCCTCGCGGCTGTCGAGGGTGAGGTTGGCGTAGGCTTCGCTGGGGGAGCTGGCCCCGGTGTAGTTGTCTCGCGCGGAGAGAGTACCTGGGTCGGGCGTGTCGACCAAGACTTCGTCGTGCAGGTGCGGTGGCAGATAGCGTGGCGGCGATGCTGAGGGTTGCGGGGAGGAGCGAGGGGACCCTACACCGACGCTGCCCACATTCGGTGAATGCGTTCCGTCGCCGTTGGACGAGTCTCGTGCGGGGACCACGATCTTCCGCTTCTTGCTATTAGTGGCGGCCGTTTTGAAGCTGATTGCCTACCGTGAAGCCCGCGAAGAGCTTCAGGGCAGACGGTGCAGAGGGCGGACGAGGGAGGGTGAAAGGGCAAGCAAAAGGCGGACAAGGACTATGCAGCGGGCCGCAGTACCTGGGCAATGGCGCCTCTTCTTCACAAACACAGTAGCACGGCGGTGAACAAACGAGGGGTAACAGCGCAACGTCCGCAAAAATCAGAGCAGCGCCGTAACATGGGCCGTCGTCACTATCGCTGTCCGACCGCTCAGCCTTGCGGACACTACCTAGGTAAGCGAGCTTGGCGACGCGGTGAAAGCTTCCCCCTGTCGCGTGTCCGAAGCTGCCAGAATACCATCTGTTTATATTTAATACATGTCACGATCGCCCAGACAACACCATGGGACACCACAGTACATTTATGTGTAGCATTCATGACGCCATATCAACAGTCTGTATTCTGTCCGGTGTTTGGTGTTACGTATGATACAAAGACAGCATCGCGTTTCATTTTGACCCGCCGCTGTTCAGCCATGCGAAAGCAGAGGCACCGCCCACTGGGTTCGCCGATCGAGGCTTCGACAGGCCAGGCATGTTCTCCCTTGCTTTGTCCCCAGACACACTCCTCTTCACTGGAAGAGTCGCCAGAGGGTTGTTCGCTTCGCCCTCGCCTCTGCGCTTTCCATCATCAAAGAAGCGTGACTGCCCTGTCACAGGTGATGAGTTTGACGTCGACAGAGTACGCGTGGATTTAGACGGTTTCAATACTTTGATGCCTGTATCACGTCGCTGGTAGCTAGGATTCGAGCTGGTGGTTTTACCCACGTTGGCCCAATCCAGAGAGCCCGTGTTTGTCTTCTCCGCTTGGTCACGGCGCCAGTTGCTCCAGATGGCTTGCGGTGCTCCTGGTTGTGGAGCTCCGCTTACAGAGCCCGGCTCCTGAGTATCCTTGTCAGAGCGACTCGACGTTGAGAGTCCTAGTTGCGGACGCTGTTCCAGACTCCTCCGGCCACTTGACCCGCCATCCTCAGAGTTACTCACTGGGTCTGTGCCATTCGATTTCTCCATGGACGAATACGTCTCGCGGGTCGGTGAAGTGCTAGACATCTCAGTTGTGTGATGCGCATGCGCTGAAGCAAGAGCCGAAGTAGTGCGGTTCGGATTTGTCGTGGAGGCACCGCTAGCGTGCAAGCACTTGAACGCGCGATCATCTTCAGGACGCACGAGTGGTACCTGAAGCTTGTTACGGTCATCATCATACAGAGTGAGTTGGTTGCAAGAAAGAAGGAGGTCGGCATTATGTGCTCGAAGCATGTCGCTACCAAGGAAAATCTGAATGGCTTTTGGATTCACCTCAGCGTCATGCTCCTCGATGACGGTGAAATTCACGCCTACCGAAGGCAGCTGCGGCGCTGGGCTGTCGGATCGTGAAGATGCTGAAACAGGCACAGCCTCTGGAAGGTAGACGGACAGCTTAATCTTGCGAACACTGTCCTCGTCCAGAATGACCCGATCCTGAAAGCCCAGGTGCTCAATTGTGTACCAGTCCAGATAGGAGGTGTACGAACCTGAGCAGACTGCTGCATACAGCAAGGTGTCGTGTTTGAAGTTGGTGTTGAGCCAGCAACGTATTATGGCAGGAACGGAGCCGAGAATGAACAAGCCAGGAGCCAGCCCTGGTACGTCTTGAGGCGTTGTCGGACCAAAGCTAGTGAGACTGTTGGCACGACCCGAAGCCATAGAATGCACCGACTGGCCGGCAGAACTTTGCCTTCCGTCTGACTTGTGGGAGTAGCTACGCTCGCTCATGACATGCCCGCCCATGCTGCTACCAGTGCGGGGTATCAAATCCAACGACGATCTCGATGCATGCGCCCAGTGACCGTGATTGGCAGTCTCATCGAAGCGGACGCTATTCGCGCGAGATGTGGCCCCTACACGGCGGGGTTCCTCGTCGGCGTCAAGTTGGAGATTGCCGATGAGATTGCTGGACTGGTCGTCGAAGTTCGTGAAGTGTTCGGCGGTTGGCTGCTGCAAGGGAACTAACAGTTTTCAGCTAGATATGCATAGATTCAGGGGAAGCGTCTTACCCTGTTGGGGTGTTCCCCCCAGCACCGAAGGAAAGGGCGATGAAGTCCCCCAGACGTTCTTCAGACGCGAGTCGTCTTCCTGCTTGCGCTCCAGGCGGGCGACGCGATCGGCGAGTTCGGCTTGGTGCTCCTGCACACGTAGCATTTCGCTTTGAAAACGCCAGAAATCGTCGCGCGGCTGGAAGGCTACGCTCTGAGGATCCATGCCCGTGAATCTCTCATCCCTTGGTGACGTGCTCAACAAAGAGACACCAGCCTTCCCGTGAGAACTCCCCTACCGTCAACACCGAGCGACCGCTGCCCAGTAGCCCAGTCCTTTTGTGGCCCTCTCTCTTGGTTGGTGGAGTAGGCGTTTGCGGTGTGCGCGGGTCTGGGTCGTCGGTTGTGAGGGATCGGAATGAATGCGTTTGAAGCCGACTATCAAGGTATGGTGTGGGCAATCTGGAGGTAAAAGGAAGATCTGCAAAGAGATGGCGGCCGTGCTACTATCTCAGAGAGCAGGCGTTGGGTGCTGGGCGGTGTGATTAGTTGGACTTTTGAAGCAGAAGGTACGATGGTCGCAACAGCGGTCTTTGCCGAAGATCAGGCGGTTCCCGAGACGGCGCTACTTAGGTAGAGAAGAAGCGAGATAATGTACAGTAGCTCAGAAAAGGTTGAACAGGAAAGAAAATAGGAACAGGAAAACCCGACTGCTGGTGTATTCTTGCGTCCTGTTGTCGCGATGCTGAGCTGAGGTTCGTCGAATGACGCTGCTAACCACAAGCTGCCGGAGTTATGCACCCTCGCCCGATTGGACACGACTTCCCCAGAGCCCCGCTTGATCGCGCAGCTGAAATCAAGCTTGCCCACATCCACCATGTCTACCACTTTCGCGCTAAATCGAAGAAGACTGAGCACTCTCCCATTGTTTCCACGCTTCTTGATCGTTCCACGGCGGCAGAACCATAGGCAGCTTCTCAGGCGACTGCAGAGGTGGAGGCACGAAGTTAGTATCTGCCGCATGTGCATTTCATACAGTCAGAACTTACCTGATCCGGCCACTGCTCAGCAATTACCTTGATCAACTCCTGGTAGAAAATCTCGTACCCTGCTGGGTTCAAGTGAAGTCCTGCAACGCCCAGTTAGCATGGTGAGAAAAGAGGAAGGTTTTGCGAAACTCTTACCATCGTACATGAGCTCCACCAAGGCGTCATTCTGCGAGACGTCTAAAGAGCCGGGTAGATCATCGCCCAGCTTCCAAATATCTGCGTTGAAGTCCGTCTTCGCCATAAAGGCTTTCCAGAGATTTACGACAGGCAGGTCAAGCTCGGCGCCAAGTTGAACGACTGCATCGGCATATGTTTTGGTCGCACCCGCCAGGCGCGTCACGCTAGCATATCCGTTCGACTGGTCTCTTGGCCACCACAGATGCTCATTGATTGGGGGAGGAGCCACTAGGATGATACGAGGGTCGTGGGCTTTGATCTGCGGATGGAACATGATGTCCCTTAGATTCTTGATGAATTCGTCAAGAGAAATATGCTGCTTGTTTGGCGCATCCGGTAGCGATGAGTCGTTGGCGCCGAAGAAGATGGTCTGCATGGTCAGCCAGGGTTGCTTCTAGCATGGACAAGTCTTACCATGAACCGAATCTTAGCCTGATCCGGCGGGGGCACGATGGCGGGGAGTATCTGGAGAGCTTGGCGGGTGTTGTACCCACTGTCATGGTGTTAGCTGTAGGTGCGACCGTAAGGGTAGGACGTCATGACCTAAAGCCGCGATTGACTACATCCAGTCGCCTGATGTATGCTGTTGGAATCATTAGTGTCTTTCACAGTGGCCCGAGCCAATGGCCGCCATGGAAGCTTCACGAAGAAATGTTCTGCATGGGATAGTGATCGGGAGACATGATGATATTTGGACTGACCAGCTTGAAGGGCTGCAGAGAAGCCAAAGCCTCGCTCCTGGGAGAAGGAGTCTTGGGTTATGCTATCTCCGAAGAGGAAGAATTGTTCATAGAGAGCAGGCTACAGTCATCAGCACGTAGTCCCCAATGGCACTCAATGTCCAGCAGGACTCACCATCTTGAATGCTTTTAGAGAGATGTAGGCACGATCGTCGTCGGACCTTCCGGAATGTTTGCTAGTACCTTGGATATCTCGCTCGGCGAAATCCCGGTGTTCCGAAACCGGCTTTCCCGAGTTGCGTCCTTTGTATCTTCAGATCAGCGGCTCAGCAGCAGATGGATGCACGGGCGGATAAGAAACGACAGATTGGCAGCCTCTACCCCCCAATTCTCCCAACCGCGAGACGCACGTCAGTGTGTAGTGGTGGGGCTGCGGGCTGCGATTGGCGGCTACGGCATCGCGCCTTCTCCGTGTAGGGTTAGCACCTTCCGTTTGCCCTGCATTCCGTCACCATCGCGTCCACGGGTGCACCCCAATAATCACATGGGACGCGCCTACCGCCATTTGCGTTGGTGAGACACCTGAGGTCAGCCTCCGAGGGCTGCGCACCGTTGCCTGCTGGAGTTGCTGGAACAGCTGCTTTTGCTGCTTTTGCTGCTTTGCTCGCCTGGCCGTCATGCACACGCAAGCCGTTCTGAAACAGTTGGCTGACCCGCGGCGGAGCCTATCTCGCCCCGGACACAGGACAACAACGCATCCTGGAGGGATCCGCGGCATAGTGGGGATGAGCCATGGTGCCCAGCCATAACATATCCATCGTGACACCGCCATCGTTTTCCGGATGACCATGATAGCGGCCTCTGCTCGGCGACATGTCTCTGCCTGCCCTCGACACTAATAGACCGCTCTTGCCCCGATTGTAGCTGCTGCCTCCCTACCCACCGCCCTCGCCATGCCCAAGTCGATGCAGTCGTACCACAGCGTCGACGACTACGACGCCGACGACGACTATGCCGCCGAACAGCGCGAGCGCGACGACACCTTCAGCAGCACCACGCCCACGTCGCCCACGCTCACCTTCAGCGCCCAGCGCCCGATGCGTGCCTCGGACACGGACCTCACGAGGTCGACGGGCAGCGTCAACGAGCGGACCGCCCTGCTAGGAGTGCCACATCTGCGGGGTGCCAGGTCCTACAAGAGCCTGCCCACCACCACTCCGGGCACGCCTCGCCCGGGCATGACGCGCAACAACAGCCAGCTGCCCACCAGCTCGCGCATGCGGAGCCGCCGAGGCTCCCTCACCGGCGGCCACACGTTCAGCCAGCGCCTAGTGAATGCCCTGGGCGAGCGAGGGGCGGGCCTGGAGCAGAGCATGCACTCCGCAAAGGCGTCCTTCTTCCAAGACAACCGCGTGTGGTACGATCAATTCACGTCGACCGACTGGGTCCACGACAACATCGCCGACGCCTATCGCGTCAAAGCCCTGCGGAGCCGAAAGGACATCAGGGGCCGCCTAGCCGCATGGTTCGACGGTGCTCAGGGCTGGATCCTGGTAGCTCTAATCGGCGTCCTCACTGCCGTGTGCGCCTACTTCGTCAACACCACCGAGACCACGCTGTTCGATCTGAAGCAGGGCTATTGTACTACTGGCTGGAATAAGAGCCGCAAGACGTGCTGCCAAGGTGCCTCGATATGCGACAACTGGCTCAAGTGGTCTGAGGCGGTCCGCAATGACAGGCTGGATGTCGTCCAGACCCAATATGGCTTTTTCGTCCTCTCCGTCATCTTGCTCTCCATGGCCTCGTGTCTGCTTACGCTCACCACCAAAACAGTCATCCCTTCAGCCATCTCACTGTCCACACTCGACGAAAACTTGGGCGCAGAAGTCCGGAGATACTCTGATCAGGCAGATGAAGAAGACCGCAAGCGCAGTATCAGCCCAGAGTCAAGGTTCCAGGAAGTCCAGGCACGGCCACCCATGGTCTACTACTCCGCTGCTGGCAGTGGTGTAGCCGAAGTTAAGGTTATCCTCAGTGGCTTCGTTCTCCACGGTTATCTGGGTGTACGGACACTGCTCGTCAAGACGCTGGCTCTGATCCTCAGTGTTGCATCGGGTCTCAGTCTCGGTAAGGAGGGCCCATACGTGCACATTGCGACTTGCATAGGAAACATCGCGTGTCGTATATTCTCAAAGTATAGCAACAACGACGGGAAACGCAGGGAGATTCTCAGCGCTAGTGCCGCTAGTGGTGTTGCCGTAGCTTTCGGCGCTCCGATTGGCGGAGTGCTCTTCAGTTTGGAGGAAGTGAGCTACTACTTTCCGTCCAAGACGCTGTTTAGAACCTTCTTTTGCTGCATCGTAAGTCGCTAGTCTCTCCTCTCGACCTTGCTAATCGCTTACAGGCGGCTGCGTTATCTCTCAAATTCTTGGATCCATACGGCACCAAGAAGATTGTCCTCTTCGAGGTTCGTTATCATCTAGACTGGAAGTTTTTTGAACTGGCGACCTTTGTCTTCACCGGCGCTGTGGGCGGTGTTCTCGGCGCACTGTTCATCAAAGCATCTCGCATCTGGGCACGAACATTCCGTCGCATACCCATCATCAAGAAACATCCGCTCCTTGAGGTCTTCCTGGTTGCGCTTGTGACTGGTCTGATCAGTTTCTGGAACCGATATACCAAGCTTCCCGTCACCGAACTTTTGTTCGAACTGGCAAGTCCGTGCGACACGTACACAGACACCGGCGACGGTCTTTGTCCGACTCTGGAGCATATCCCGAGTGTACTCAAAACTTTGTTCTTCGCATTCGTCATCAAAGCTCTTCTGACTGTCGTCACCTTTGGTATCAAGGTCCCAGCTGGTATCTATGTCCCTTCCATGGTCGTAGGCGGTCTCGCCGGGCGCTTCATCGGCCACACTGTTCAACTTGCTGCTCTACGCTTCAATCATCTGGGCGTCTTCGGAGAGTGTTCGCCTGATGGTCCACCAGGCTCATGCGTTGTCCCTGGAGTGTACGCGCTGGTGGCTGCTGGAGCAACAATGACCGGCGTCACTCGTCTCAGTATCACACTAGCAGTCATCTTATTCGAGCTCACTGGTAGTCTGGATCACGTACTCCCTTTCTCTCTCGGTATTCTGGTCGCCAAATGGGTGGCGGATGCCATCGAACCGCTCAGTATCTACGACCTGCTCACAGACATGAACTCGTACCCATTCCTCGATAACAAAGTTCGGCCTATCTTCACATCCGAGCTTGGCGACATCACCACTGGGAAGAGACAGGATCACATTATCGACATTTCAGAAGACGCGCTCATCCCTGCAGTCGAGCTGCGTGCAAAGCAACGTGGACTACAACTGATAGGTGAACTAGATGGCGGTCTGTCCATCATCAAAAACGGCGTTCTTGTTGGCCTCATTCCTGCACCAGATCTAGAGTTTGCGCTCGATAAGCTGGAGAACGAAGAGAACACGCTTTGCCTGATGTCACCACGAGTCGATTGGGCTGCAGGACGTGAGCCGCAAGACGAAGAAGAGCAAGAAGCCTATGATCCAAGCGATTTCACTCCATATATTGACCCAGCACCTGTTGCATTGGATGTTCACTCACCGATGGACTTGGTATACGAATGCTTTGTAAAGCTTGGACTACGATATATATGCGTGCTCAGAGATGGCAAGTACGCTGGTCTGGTACGTACCACGTAAGAAGTTGAAACTGAGCAACACTAACTGCGAGTAGGTTCACAAGAAGACTTTCGTCAAGTACGTCAAAGAATTGGAGCATCAGGAAAAGAAAGGACGTGAGATCTGAGTCTTAGCGGCGTTACATTTCCCTTCTTTGTTTCTTGCATAGCGTCATACCCTCATTATCATTCAGCGGTCATTCCTTTCACTTTCATATCATTATCCCGAGCATATACTGCATTTAGACTGGCGTTGCGTGGCATGTCTTCCTAGACGACGCGGCATTACATGACAAGCGTAGAGCATACATGGAATCATTTCTTCAAAATGTCCACAGGATTTGTTTACAGCCTTCATCATTGCACCCGGTGTTTCCTTTATCAACATAGCTACGTGAAGGCCGACTACTTACCCTAGAACATTTCACGCACTTTACCATTTGAGGTCTTACTCCCCGATCTTGCCATGCGATGTGTTGGTGCAACCGTTCGCACGGTCCCCAATGTGTGCGTACGCGATTGCATCAACGTTCTATCTGACATCACGGTTTGAGAAGGTTTCTTACGCAGCTGCGGATTCACTTCTTGTGGAGTCGTGACCCCAGCGTCTACGTTGAATCATATCTCTAGTCGACTGAAAGATAAACAAGAATCAACCTGACAATTACTACCATTACCACAACAAATAGAAACGATCTCACCTGCTCGCCTACCAAGAACTCAGCGCAATGCGCCTGGTCTTGCCATTCCTCCTGTTCCAAGGGTTTTTGACATTGCTACTGGCCTCCATAGATCGGTACTGTCGAACCGGATCCGAAACTGACGCCCTCGATCCTGGCTCTCCCGGCTCCCAAGAGGGTAACATGAATTACTTCAGATTTAGTATCGCGTAGCCTTGGCCTCCCATCAGCATCCCTAAGAAGGGCCAGATTCGCCTCATTCGATATTGCTTTGCGACCGCCAATGCCAAAGCGGAACTTGATTGTCCATTCCAGAAGGGTTCCAAGATATGAGCAGAAGCCATCAAGATACCAGCCAGTGCTGTGAGCGGCCATTGCCTCGGGCGGATTGAGATCCATGACAGTAACGAGGATGAAAATGAGAGAACGTATCCGACCTGCTACCTCGATGACTACAAGAACAAGAAAGAGCCTGGAACGTGGAACCCAAAAAAATTACGGGTCGTGGCAAGACTGGACGATGAGAATACCGTCCAATGCCTGCTGTAAAAGATGCCGTTGTAGCTGCAGGGGTTGAGAAAGACTGTTCCTGTTGTTTGTGGTTGCCGAAGATCCTGCTTTTCATGTTGTCGCGCTAGCAATAGAAAGATGAAGACGTATTATCTAAGTGCAGGGGCCCCACTTTGCCCCTCCACTGAGCACCACCACAATGCAGCAAAAAAGAACATTGTCCCTGACAGAACCTTAAGACGAAACGAGCAAAAAGGAATGGTGTGTGCCTTCCGCCAGAATTGAACCTTAACCGCAAGTCAGCTTTTGTCTTCTATGCAATTCGAATATGGGTGTTACTCACTGACGACCTCGTCATTACTAGTGACGCGCTCTACCACTGAGCTAGGAAGGCGTTGCTAATTGGATGGCAACACTCTCAAATCTATGCTATATAATCTAAATCACCATCTTGTTTGCAAACGGCATCTATCACCTACATCTATACACCGGTCCTTGCCATTCGCCGTGATCGGCCGCCAAAATGTGGTGTCGTGTCTAGCGGGGTAAAACCATTAGGGTCTAATCACAGAGCGGTACAAGCGAGTACATATATGATCTCCGCAGCTCAATTTGCGCTAGTTGCAATCAATGCTTATTTCCTCCCTCCAATGCTACCCCTCCACTTCCCTCTCCCCAATTTGTCAGTTCCCTTCTTCTCTGCACCCGCGCCATTGAAGACAACACTTCTCCCATCGCCCCTCGGCAAGACAACCTCCAGGTCTTGCCAATGTGGGACGAAGCCATCTTGCAATTTCTCCTCGTATTGCATCAGTACCTGCGTGGCCGTTGACTCGAAAGAAATTGTAAAGACGGAGACCCTAGCTGGCGGCGGCGAAACACCATCGTCTTCATACCAAGTAGACGTGTAGACTTTACCGTTAGAAGAAGCCTTTGGAGGGAAGATCTCCACCCCACGGTAGTCGTCCAGGGGTAGGTCCGCCGGGTTGTTTGTTTCGCCCAAAGAGAGGACTTGTTCCGCCCGTCCAACAGGTATCGCACTTCCGACTTTCGCTAAAACAGGAATGCTAGACTGCCAGTGCGATGGGATATCCACCCATTGGCCCGCGCTGTAATACGTTTGTGGTTTGTTATTCAGGTCCAGAAACGCGGCATTAGGGTCTGAAGCGTCCTTGGGAAGATACATGGTAGCAGTTTCGGCACCAGGAGTGAAGACACCACCGACCAGTAGTGCATCACCAAGCCAGTACTGTGTTTCACCATCGGTAAGTATCTTGTTGGTCCAAATCTCCGGATCGCTCTCATATCCCCAACCAGTCCAACGCTGCGGCGGCGTGGCAGTCATGTGAGAATGCAGCGCTAGCGAGTAGAGATAGGGAATGAGTTCGTAGCGGCGCTTGATAGTGTCGCGTATTATGCTAGTCACCTCGGGATACATCCAAGGCTCGATAACATCGCCGACGCTGTTGTCTTTGCCCGTTTTGAAGCAGTTGATAGCGAAACGCGGACTGTAGATGCCTTGCTGGCACCAGCGGACGAGAAGCTCGGGACTGGGCTGTGGGCCTTCGAAACCACCTATGTCGTGGCCGTAGCATTGCATTAGACACACGCCCGCCGTGAGGGATAGAGCGTTGGCGCCTTTCATGCCTGGCCAAGAGGTGACATTGTCTCCGCTCCACGCACTTGCACAGTAGCGAAGCGTTCCTGCTGTGGCGCTTCGGGTCAAGATGAAAGGACGCTGGGTAGGTTCCATCTCCAAGGCCGCATCGTGCGAAGATTTTCCCATCAGTTCAGTGTTGAGTGCGCGACCCCAGAATCCGATGCTGTTGCCGTAGTCGCCGCTCTTGGGCTCTTGGGCAACTGCTGGCTCATCCAGAGCGCACTGCCAGCCATCGTGCGGGATAGTGTATTCGTTGTTATCGTTCCAAATACAGTCGATGCCGACACGCTTCAGCTCGCGGATGCCGTCGTACCACCACTGGTACCCGGCCTTGGAAGTGAAGTCGATGTGACCACCAATACCACTCTCACCTCCACCTGCGCTCCATAGTCTCGCTTCAGCCGATGCGAGTGTCAGCGAATCTGTAAAGAATGCGCCAGCGTCTTTGAGCTTTTGATACTCGGGATGGCTGCCCAATACATACGGCTTCACGTTTGCAATGAGCCGAATACCTTCCCTATGATAAGCGTCAATCCAGCCTTTCGGATCAGGAAACCGGTGCTTGTTCCACGTAAACACATTGCGCGTCTTCGGTTCTGTCTCCGCAACTGTATAGCCAGACGACATCTGCATGCCGGAGCAGGGGATGTCGTATTCTTTGAGCTTGGCAGCAAATTCCATCATGCTCTGATTGGCGGGTGGATCGTCCGTCATGGAGTACTTCATACCGCCGGCCAGGTAACCGAACGCCCACCGCGGCACTAGAAGTGGATAACCAACGAGATCAGCGTAGATGCGCACGATATCCGGTAGTGTCTTTCCGACCAGGAGATACTCTTCAAGGCCGCCGTAGTCTTGACGATAGACTTTGAAGCGTCCCCACATCCCATCCATCTCAGAGCCGACCTGGCAAAAGAAGTCAGTATATGCTTAAATCTCAGTTCGTACAGCGGAATCCCTTACAGAATAGAAGCCACGGGCATGTGACGTTGAGAATATACCAACGCAGCCATTTTCCGTGCAGTTGATTAGGAGAGGAATGTGCTTGTAAAGCGGGTCTGTGCGATACACGTCGTAGCCGAAGGAGTCGGTGGCGGAGAGAACGAAGTGGCGATTCGACAAATCCATGGGTGCTGGCTTCTCGCCAAGTCCAAGATGAAGAGTACCATTGTTGTAGCGTGTGTAATGCGAAACTCCAGGCCCGTCAGCAACATAAGAGCGATTGGGCAGATCGGTATGAATGGGTGTCTTTTGACCAGGAAGCGTAAGTGATACTATGGGTACACCGCCTTCCCAATCCACATTGGCAGCGACACCATCGACGGCTAATGCTTTTGAGGTGGTGCTTGATGATACCAGTGACGCATTCGTGTTGTCTAGGGTCTTGCTCGGTACTGCTGTGGCTCGGTGTGGCGGCAACAAGTGCTTTGGCGACGTGAAAGTTGTTCGGAAAAGTCCTGGTCGTAAGGCGTCAAATGTGAAGACAAAGCCTGAGTTTGACTGCAACTCAACGCTCGTATTAGATGATGCCGTCGCGGCAGCAGCTTTGTAGCCGCTAGGGACGTGCTCAAGCATCGGCATGATGAATGTAGAATGGGTTTCAACAGTTAGCAATGCCTGTCTGCTTGCCAAGTATCATGACCATCATGAATCATACTGTACTTATAGCAAGGCAGGCCATTGAACCTCGCCCGAAAGTACCATCGGAGAATACCCAAGGAGCGTACCCTCGTCACGAGGCTAAAGGCATCCATCCTTGGCCGTCGGTTTCTTCGGCCGTATCTACGTGACCTAGCCCGAAAAGAGACAAGATCAGCGTCTGGGGTCCCCGTGGGGATGCGTATAAGTGCAGTCTGGCCATATTGACCTACTACTGCAGCATTATCTCAGACTCTTTCTGGGTTGATTCCAGCAATTTTTGTTGAACATGTCGAAACCGGAGGTGACCGACGACGTCGCCGCGTCCAAGCCCAACGTCGAAACCACGGAGTCGCTTTACAAGCCAACAAATGCGACAGAAGGAAAAGGCAAAGACAAAGCCGCCGCCCTCCTCGCCTCGAATGAACGCATCGTCGTCACATCCGCCGAGAACAAACGCGTTCTGAAGAAGATTGATCTTGTCATCTTGCCCATCCTACTCAGCGTCTACTTCCTCCAGTCACTCGACAAGACCACGTTATCCTACGCTTCCGTCTTTGGCCTCATCGAAGATGCAAACCTGGATCCCAACAGTCAGCAATACTCATGGCTTGGGAGTATCGTGTATATTGCGCAGTTAGTAGCGCAGCCGCTGGTGGCTGTGTTGCTGGTCAAGCTCAGGATGGGGAAGTTCATGGGTGTAATGGTGTTCACCTGGGGTTGCATATTGTGCGGAATGGCGGGTGCCAGTAGCTTCGCCGGACTGATGGCCACGCGATTCCTGTTGGGAGCTTTCGAAGCTGCCGTCGGTAAGCGAACTCTTCAAGCCGTCTCGAAGAATCACGTTAACGCATCCAGCTCCTGCTTTCATCGCCGTCGTACAGATGTGGTATAAGCGCGGCGAGCAAACGAACCGAAACGCAGCTTGGTATGCCATGTTGGGCATGGTTAACATCATCGGCAGTCTACTCTGCTACGGTCTGGGCCACATTCAGTCCAATCTTCTGTACTCATACCAGATCATCTTTCTCTTCTGTGGTCTCCTCACAGTTGTTGTTTCGGTCTTTGTATGGCTGTTTATGCCCGACTCACCCATGGAGGCAAGTGGTTTCCCTGTACGAGCTGATGTGAGAAATGTACTGACTTCGTGCACCAATCTTTAGGCCAAGTTCTTCAACGATCACGAAAAGCTTGTGGCTGTCGAACGTCTGCGCATGAACCAGATGGGTGTTGCATCTCGTGTCTGGAAGTGGGACCATGTACTGGAGGCATTCATGGATCCCAAGACGTGGCTTTGGTTTTCCATGTTGACAGCGATCAGCATTCCGAGTGGTGGTATCAGTGCTTTCGGGCCTCTAATCATCCAGAGTGAGTACAACGTCCGTGCGAACTGCACGTCTGAACTGTACTGATTGCTTGAACTTCAGGTTTTGGATTTGGGCCGTTCGCTACGATCCTCTTCAACATGCCTTTCGGCGTCATCCAGATTATAGCTACCTGCGGTGGAGCTTGGCTAGCCACACGGCTAAAACGCAAGTCACCCGTCCTGATACTCTTATGTATACCGCCAATTGCTGGAATTGTCATTCTCATGGTCGTTGGCCGCGGCGACTCAAATCGAGGTGTACTTCTTCTCGGATACTACGTAAGTCTTGGCAACGCGAAACATGTAATCTACTAACCCCGTGCTTCCAGCTAACATCATTCTATCCCGGCATTTCGCCTTTAATTTATAGCTGGTCAGGTCAGAATACTGGAGGCGACACGAAGCGCAAAGTGACGACAAGTATCCTCTTCGTTGGCGCCAGCGCAGGCAACATCATCGGCCCACAGCTCTTCAAACCGTCGGAAAAACCACACTACTACCGAGGTCTCCGAGCCAACCTCGCTCTCTTCATCGCGATCGTTGTCCTGATCCTGCTTGCAATGTTTTGGATCAAGCTTTTGAACCGGAAGCATGCGGCAACAAGAGAGAGCATGGGAAAGTCAGCCATCGTTGTCGATACCAGCATGGGTTCTGCGCGCGAGGGTGACGCAGAAGGAGCTGAGAACGCACAAGCCAGCGGCGTGGGTGATAAGGCGTTTGATGATGTGACCGACATGAAGAACGAAGACTTCATCTATGTGTATTGATCAATGGGTTGACGCCTGGAAGACAAGCTTCTATAGTAGTAGCTTAGCTACAATGTGTACAGAATGTACATACACCGTATGTTTCATTGGTATCTGGTTGTAAACACTATTGATGCTTGTGGATATGCTTGACCATCGGATCGATCCACCATGCACGGCTCTTGTATTGCAGCCTACTTTCCGAGCATGCCTTTGACCTAGAACAAGCTGTCGATATTGACAAAGAGGTCTTGCCATCCGAGCGGCATATGTTTCAGGTTGAGCCCAGGAAAGTCTGCAGAGGTGGACGTACGAAGTCAGTATAGGTCTCACAAGCGTTCTTACAGTCAGAACTTACCCCATTCGAATACGAACTCGCTGGGTACGTAACCTTGGAACTCGTCTTCAGCTACACTGCTCCTCGCCTCCGCCATCGAAGAGTCCTGGTCGGTTATTTGTTCTGCAGCATACTCTCGGAGAGCAGCCTCACACTTCTCAATGCTGGTTTGCAAAATCTGAAAATATGCGATGTGACCCACAGTTACAGTCTTTAGCTCTTCCAGTACGCGATGCGCATCGCTGAGCAGCGCCATGACCGAAGGTACCGGGTCGCGGAGGAGAATGGCCAACTTGAGGACCAGCAAGACTGAGACGGCGCACTTGGCCCAGACATAATCGAGTGTCCAGCGAAAGGTGCTGAGGTACGTTGAGCCAGAGGTCGAAGCATGAGACACCGGCGACGAGGTTGGTGTTGATGATGACTGAAGCATGTAATGGAGATGTCGATTCGCTGCCTCCTTGGCTTTGCGTATGAAATCGCGCTGAAAGTCAGTCATGATCGCAATGTTCTCGATCCCTGAAGAGCCTACCGCCTTGAGGTACATAGTCATCGTCGCCCAAGCTTGCTGTATACACAAGTTCTGCAACGCAAGAGTTCGTTGATGTGGCGCTGGTTCGGTCAGAGCAATGTTGGTCCATTCATCGAGCCACAGTGACAGCTCAACACAAGCCTCCTCTACCGTAGTCCGAAGTTGATCCTCGCTGTGTTGACCCATATAGTCATTATTCTGGCCCATGATCTTTGTATAAGCTTCCGTGCGGATGATGTTGAGCTCCACTTGCGAGAGAAGGCGGATGTCCGTAGATGTACGTTCTGGGTGAGCCAATAGACATCTGATCTTTCGAGATGACATTTGAAGAGACAGACCCGGCAGTTTACCGCCATCGAGCGAGAAACTTGGATATCTTTAGCGGCCATCTCCGATCGGGCTGACAAGATACTCACAAGAGCTCAAGGTTGCAGATTCCAAGCCAAACTCTAGATAGACGGTAAAGCTCTTGCTCATCGGCGGTCACGATCCCGGATCGTGCGTGACTTTTGGCGATAAGCTGATCGACAACATGAGGTAGCCCAAGTTGAATGGCGAAGCGAAGGGCCATAGCCACCAGAACGAACGCGTTCTCCGAGTACGCAGCCACCAGTGCGATGGCCTGTATATCCTCTACTGTAGGGGTATTTGTGTTGATAAACATGTCGGTAAATTGATCACGGACTCGAGTCTGGAGGCGGCCTAGAAATTAGTGTAAAACGTCAGCATTTGTCTCACATACAGCCCATACCGGAATATTACTGACGATAGATCCTGGTGTTGAAACCTTCGGCGACTCGACATCCAATACTGACTATGGCGTCGAAAAGAATTGGGCTCCGTGAAGCCAATGATGCGATGTTATCATGTCTCTCGCAAAAGATGGGCACAAGGTATTGCTATGGCTTTTAGTATGGTTCACCCGGTGAATTGGGGCTTTCATACACTGCCCGAGAAGAAACTTTGTAGAATCAGTGATGTGGGCTCGAGAATTGCAGTGGGTTTGTCTACCTTTGATACCAGTGTACAGCCTGTTCCCATGTAATGAGGCCTGCGTCAACGGCCGTGGCGTTGCACTTGGGCAGAGACCGGAGTGCGACTTCTGGCACTGTCACAGTCGCATTCTCCATGGGTAACTGCATTCATGATCATGGTCAGCTAGTCTCCTGCTTGTTCACGCAGGCTGCCACCTCAACCAAGGAGGGCACAGAACACCGTGGAGCCTACATTGGCGACAGATGTTCTGATTTGCCTCTTTCATCCTAGTGTTATCTTCAGGCCTACGTACGCTCTTGTCTGGATGCCGCTGGATACGCATGTGTTCACGAAGAGCAGCCATCTCATTTTCGAGCCTTTCGATCCGCAACACATTTTCGTCCTTTACGGCGTCAAAGTATTGGCAGGTTGCGCCATTCCGGTCACATCGTTGGCAAGGGCGGTTCCCGTCGCATCGTACTTTGGAGGTTCGGCAACTGACGCATGCATTGATGGCACGGCGTTTGCGTGGTCGCGGCGAATCCATTGTCATCGGGAATTTCGCACGTACTGGATGGCCCGGTTTTTTTAAAGTCGGGGGTGGGCCTAATGGAGATGCGGGGAAGCTACACATGAGTCGTGGTTCTGCGGCGGAATCTACAATCGGCAACGGAGGACGCGACAGTCGTCCCGCGGCAGACTTTGAAGCCTTCAGATGTCCAGCCAGGGAACCCTGTATCGTTAGTGACCGTGAGTCGCACGTGGAACTAAGGATGAATATCATGCGTATCATTCGTCGACACGACCTAATGCCGTCTCATAGGAAAGTAAGGCTATGATCAGAATCCTGTTCAGAGTCATGACTAGTCTGCTGCAATGGAGGTCGCCTCGGAAGAGGGCACACCACAATCATACCTTTCATCTCTTTCCAGACTCAGTTTGGCGCAACATATTCGTTGATTGTAGGCGCAGTGTTGAGATCAAGATCAATGCCGAATTGCCCTGTAGCCAGCCCGTAGCTAGCCTTGACAGCCTCTGTTGCGTATTTTCGCATCTCTTTTTCATATGCTTCTGTGACACCCGTCCATCTATCGCCATCGCCTCTCTCCCAGGCTTCGGCTATCAATCGACCGAGCAGAGCCGAGTCGCGCACAGCTGTGTTTGCGCCGTTGCCTCCTGCTGGCGTCATAGCATGTACTGCATCACCGACTAGAGTGACTCGAGGGTCGTTGGGCCACTTCGGTACACCTTCTGGTGACGAACATGTTATCTTCCAGAAAGCTGCTTCCGACTCTGCCATGTTATCGAAGAGTGGCTTGACACGATCATGCCAGTGCGATGTGAGTGCCTTTGCTATCTTTGCAGCAGGCGGCCCAGTAATCGTGTAATTGTCGTTCGGCGCTTTGATGACGCCTGGAGAGCCGATCATGGTCCAGCCGAAGTTGACATCGGGCTTGTCCATGTCGCCTGCGCGCACATTTGTGATGACGAAGACCTTGCCACCGTTCGGCTGCGATGTATCGTCGACAAGGCGGAAGACGCCTTCGCCCAGGGCCTTGAAGGCGGCTGTCGGGGCTTGCCCATGTATGCCTCTGGAACCGAGATCATAGACCTTGATCGCGCCGCCGGAGAGCTGGCCAGCTACTGCGCTCTTGACACCCTCACCCCCGATCAGCATAGAGCCCTCCTCGGACTTGGTACCATCGGCGAAAACTAGTCGCACACCATTGTCCGTCCTCTCGTAGGCTGCGACCTGATGTTTCCAAACGACACGATCCTCGATACCGTCCATGAACAGCTTGCGCATATCACCGCGCGACACTCCAACAACCTTGCCGTCTCTGCTAGTCAAAGGTTCGCTCTTGACGCTCGGAGTATCTCCACCTATTGTCTCGCCTGTCAGCGGGTTCACTGCCGCGAATCCAGCCCCGCCAGTTTTGCCGCAAGCATCGTAGAACGTCTTGAATCCTGCCGGACCGAGCACTTGCTCAATGGCGTCCAGACCCTGCGCCGAGAGCCTCAACCTATAGCCCTGGGCTCTGAAGACGATGGACGCGTCGCGTTCGAAGACGAGGAACGGGATCTTGGAACGGTGCAGCGAGCGGGCGAGGAGGAGCGAGGCGAGGCCGGCGCCGGAGATGAGAATTGGCTTCGGGGCGCTCATGGTGGACGGTGGATTGATATGGGGGGCAGAGGACGTCTGGAAAGGCGTGGCATGGCTGCTGTTATAGCAGTCGCGCTTGCAGGTGAGGCAGGCGCGACGCAGTGCGTCAAGTGCATCGTTGGGCAAGTGGGGGCCGCGTCGGATCTCCTGGGCCTCCGAAGCAGCGTGATTTCTAAGCTACCACGCTCAAATGCCCGTAAGCGACTATGGCCACTTTCCGCACAGCGACATTTATAATACCAGACTCTACCATGCCGCTAAGCCATGATGATGATGTTCTAGTCTTACGCAGCACTCGAGGATGCAGCTGTGTTGGAGACCACGTGAAGACGCGTCAAAGCCCTGGGCATAGTGATGACACCCACGCAATCTTTGACTCGTCAATCATTGTTGAAATCCGTTGATTTGGTAGCATACTCTATGGATTCATGCGCTTTCCCTGAGGCCCCCATTGTCGCTGGAATATGGAGCTACCCTGCCACCGAACTTGCCCACGCGGGTTGAGCTGACCGATCCATATGAGGCCTGGCTCTTAGTCCAAGGCTGTGGAAGTCGACGTCTTGTTGTATGGCAACGATATGCTGGTCGTCGTCGTAAATTTCGTGATAACATAACGACGCGAACGTGCTGTGTTGCGCAGTGACAACTACAATGTTGGTGCTATGATGCCATGTAATCCATGATGTAGTCGATCTTCGGCTTCATGAGCAGCAAGTAATGCTCTTCCGGCATAAGTTCCATTGGTTTCCGAGCCATGAAGACAGCCCAACTAGACTCTTTGTCAAAGCTCCACTCCCAACATGTAGACTCGAAATTGGGGGCGTTCGGGGCATCGTATCTCTGGAAATGGTCTTCTTTGAGCAGCTCGCCGAGTAATCTGATGTATCCATAGGGTTCTTTTGCAAGACGATGATTCGGGAAGAGGAGCTTAACTTGTTTGACGTTGCGCAAACGTCTGAACAGACCCACGAGGGCTGTCCGGTTGGCAGAGTCGTCGAGTGGCATTACAAACTGTAGCTCATCGAGATGCATACATCGTCTGTTAAACGGGTACTCGTACCATTTTCTGATGGCATCATGGTCGCAGTGAATTCTTAACTTCTTTACATCTTGTAGAAGCTCTTCGGATTGCTGACCGGCAACTCGTGTGGAGTTCCTGGAGAGCACAAAGAGGGTATTCTGGATGGCAAGGCGACGGAACTCAGCGTTGAACTGGCGGCAAACCAGCCGTATCGCAAGGTTGGTATTAGGCTTGTACCTCTCATCTATCATAGAACAAGTTCTTCCCTCATTGGACTCGTGGACTTTCGTGAGCCCCGCGTCAGATTGTTCCAGCGCGTGTGCGACAATCTCTAGGCGGAGCTCGATAGGTAAAGAGAGGAAGGTCGCCTCTGAGGCGGTGTGAGACATGACGTGGCACCACAGGTGGGTAAGACAGCGAGTACGACTGCTGCGTAAACTTTGTTCTCACAAACATTGGCCGTCTACAAGCTCGAAGCAACAACCCAGCTGACGCGAGAGAAGCGCGCCTAATGCCAGCGCGGGCCCGTGCACAGACATCTGATAAGATTTCACGACCCCGCCAATCTCCGACTCCGAGCTTGCGTCGCCCCATCTTGTACCTCATCGCGTCCACTCATGCGCACTTCATCGATCTCCATCATTCTGTACACTCTTACAGGTGTATCACATGCTTTGTACTCGGGGAAGTACTGCCCTTTAGCGTGCGAGACCGGCGTCAACTATGTAACCTTCAACGACACTGATCCTTCGCTTTCGAGCAAGATCCGAGGATGCCGAAGTGAGTTACGCGTCACATCACTGTATCTGTGCTTCGACGAGTTCTGCATACAGGACGGCCAAACAGAACAATGGATTGAGAACCAGAGACCCTGGTGTGAAGCACACGCGAATATCACGTTACCTGCCTTTCGCGATATTTTGGACCGATGGGCCCCTGACGGCAAGGCTAGAGTAACGCGACTGGCGGCTGAAAAGGCACTGAGGTTTCCGACCATTGATGAAGTTGTGATACCAAGTGATGAGCTTGTAAGGCGAGCTTTCACCACCATGGTACGTTACCGCCTATTACGCCCAAGAAGAACATGGGGTGCTAAATGTGGCGTACAGGAAGCGGCATTCTGGGAATACGAGATCCATCTCGTGTATGGGTAAGTCGAGCCTGTACCAATTTAGGCGCGACTTCGCTAACACAAGACTTACAGCTGGTACATGTACTACTTCTGGCTAGTAGTAGTGGTTGTTGGCGTAATGACGCGTATCCTGTCACTTCTACGCAGTGAACAGCGCCACAAGTCATACAGAATAGTTCCAGAAGTCGAATCCGGCGGGATGTCTGGATCTCGAAGTCCTGTGGTTTCCCTTCGGACATGGCTCAGGCGATACGCTACCACACCTGCCGCTTTTGGTGATCGTTGTTCTCGACCGTACGGCTGGTGTACCATCCCACCACGGATCCAGTCGCTTACCATCTTTCTTTTTGTCGTACTCAACGTTGTTCTCTGCAGCTGCTCCTACCGTCTTACCGAAGGCAACCTTTATTGGCCGAAGAAGTCGGTGCAATTTCTCCGTTTTGTATCGGATCGTACGGGGATCATCTCGCTTGCCAACTTCCCACTTGTTTGGCTCTTTGGTATGCGCAATGATCTTTTGATCTGGGTGACTGGATGGGGATTCGGTACCTACAACGCTTTCCATCGGTGGGTTGCAAGGGTTGCTACAGTACAAGCCGTAGTGCACAGTCTGGGATACACGCTGATGATACTGGAGCGCGGAGGATGGCCATCTTTTCTAAATTACTGGACGAAACACTACTTTTGGAACGGCGAACTGTCAACTATCGCCATGTGCGGTCTTTTGGCGTTCTCGTTCTACGGTATCCGCCGTGCGCACTACGAGTTCTTCCTCGTCACGCACATAGCGCTCTCGATCGCAACCCTCTGGACTATGTACTACCATGTTGAGATTTTCACTAATGGCGAGTGGAACATATTCATCTGGCCATGCGTTGGTGTCTGGGTCTTTGATCGGATTATGCGCCTCTCACGAATCTTAGCTTTCAACCGGAGCCCGCTGAGTACCAAGGCTCGGGTTACTTATGACCCCAGCAGTAATCTCGTACGTATGGAAGTCGATGGTAGTAAGAGCTTCGTAGCTCCAAGACCCGGCTCTTACTACTACATTCATGTGTTGGATGATTTGTTCTATGCACATCAGAGCCATCCGTTCACGTTGGCATATATTTCAAAAGATACGGACAATCCTCCATCTACGCCACTATCGCCACTTTCGTCGAGGCCGGAACACTCGCGTACTTCATCAGCCTCAACCACAGAGTCGGATGCACTTCTTTCGTCTAAAGCCTCAGATGCCTCATCAAACATGGTGTTCCTTGTTCGACCTTACGACGGCTTCACATCCCGATTGAAGTCACATTGTCTCTTGCATCCCAAAAGGCTCCGTGTCCTTGTGGAAGGCCCTTATGGGCACACTGTTCCTCTCCGCAGTTCACACAACATTTTGTTCGTGGTCGGTGGAACGGGTATCGCGGTCCCGCTATCACACCTAGCCCACGTCCTTTCCAGTACGTCACGCGTACGGAGCGTGAAGATTGTATGGGCAGTACGCGAGTACGCGTTCCTCACTTCTGTTCTCCGCGACTTTAGAGGCCTGTTGAGCGATGAGAGAGTCGAGATGGAAGTGCATATCACTCGGGATGATGAGGCGAAAGACGATGTAATGGGCGAAGACTTGAAGAGCGTAAGAGTCATGGCACACAGACCTGACGTGCATGAAACAGTTCATGAGGCTGCTAGAGATGCGGGCCAGCAACGTCTAGCGATTGTGGCTTGTGGGCCAGCTTTGATGGCGGATCAAGCTAGGAAAGCGAGTGTCCAGATGTTGGGTAAGGGTTATAGAGGGGTTGAGTACTTTGAAGAAAGCTTCAAGTGGTAGGGCGTTTGACATTAGATTGGTTCGATGGATTCGAATCGTCCCCAACATCGTCCCAGCTTACACATCTGCTTTCTCCTCTGTTCTCCTTAGTTCAATATACCACTCCGCGACCTCTTTCACGCTATCCTCTAACCCCCTGATCTTGTCACCATTCAGCAGCATCTTCTCCGTCATGCTTGATTCGACGCGAAATGGCATGTTGATAGGCACCTTCTGGCGTCCCACTCTAAACGCCCCAGTCTTGACCTCCTTCGCAAAGTCTCGCTCAATCATGTCCGCTACAGAGTTCCAGAGTTTGTCCCCATCTGACCCCTCCTCCACCGTCCCAGCAGCAACATACCACTTGGGCAGATTCTCGCTTTGAATCCTCCCATCTAGCGCCTCGATATGAATGCGAGCGCAGTCTTGCACATGCACGAAGCCAAACGCATACCGTGGTGCCATATCATCGAACAGCAATGCCTTGCTCTGTCGATCCATATGCGCACGCGCTTGCTCAGATGTCGTGCAGAATTCCGAAGGGCCGATGACGGTACCGGGTATGATTTGCGCAATAGAGAAAGGGAGCTCGTGGGAAGCTTGGAGATCGTCGAGGTAGGTCATACATTGGGCTTTTGCGGAGCAGTACGCGTTGTGAGGGGATTTGAGACGGGGTCGATATGCGAGGGATGTTTGCGAAACTTGAACTGCCTCTGTATCGGTCAGTAAGATGCATGGATTGAGGCGCGAGGGCAGAAGTAAATAGACGTACCGTTCAAGACGCGTTCCATACGCGTACCGAGTGTATCGCCGTCTTCCGAGTCAACAAGCCCCGCTCCGGCCTGCGTGAATACCATCCTCTTCACTGTACCAGACTTTCGCCCTGCTTCTATCAAGCCCTTCGTCGACCTGATGTACGGATGGTAGATGTCGTTATCAGGATCTAGATGTAGCATCGGCCATGCTCCTGCTATGTGCACAACATAGTCGACACCCGCAACAGCTTCATCGTATGCTCCTTCGACCGCATTGTCTGGCACGGCGACATATTCGAGTAGGTCGAGGTAGGGCTGCACAGAGGGCCCGGATTTGATCGTTTCGATGGCGGAGGAGCGGCGCACGATGCAACGAACTCGATAGCCAGTTTGCAGCGCGTAGACCACGCAGGCATAACCTATTGTACCATTTGCGCCTGTTATCTAGATACCCCGTCAGTCCTGTTGTGCTGAGGATGTAGGGTTGACCTACAGCGACAAGGCCTCGAGCTCCGCGATCGGCTGTCATGCTTCAGTTCCGCGACAGTAGAATTTCCCAATCTCGCGAATACTTCAGGCTTGAGTCAGAAGCTTGGAAATACATGGTTGATATAGGGAAACATTCGAGTCTTACTAAAATTCTTGCGGATGGAGTGCAGCTTAGATGAATGGGAGGGCAAGTCGGGCCAAGCCGTTCCGAGCAGCGTTCCGACATCCCTCGGCATTCAGCGATGTTGAGCTTGTCGTCATCGGATCTTCCTCCACCAACACTCCTAATCCACGCGATCATTGCGCGAAGGAGGCTTTATTAAGCCTAACTTGCCTTCTTTTCATATGACAGATGACTCGGATATTGGCTGAAGATACTCATATTGGAACACGGCAACACGCAATCGCAAAGATGTCCTCATGTCACCATGAGAAGCTCAACATCATCATCGTACGCTCCCGAACCCACGCGCGTTTTGTATCACGAGCATAAACTGGCACCGCTAGACAGGCTGGAGCTTCTTCAGCCGGCATTGCCACAGTCCTCGCTCTCAGAGCACCTCCCACACGCGCGCACAATGCCACGCTCCTCGAACGGAACTCGACCGCACTCGTCCACAACCAAGGTGCTGGTATCGTTGCAGGAGGCGATAAGCGCATATCATTTAAGCATTATAATAGATGTAATCGCGGCTTGGCTGTTGCCACGACTCGAAGGCAGCAGTTGAACAAAATGGCGAGGTTATCTATTAAGAGGACATGGAGCAAAACATGACAAGTTGGCATATGGCATGCTACATGCCCATACAACGGCAAGCAGTATTAAGGCACGCTTTCATGCTATAAGTTTGGCGGATACGATCGACGGTACAGTAAGCCGCAGGGAGCGGAGGTAGGACACATAGCAGAGGGAAGCATGAACTTCGGCAGTTCTAATTAGCATCAACATTTGCCGCTGGACGCCCATACATATACATCGAGAAGAGATGTTCCCAGCATGGCCAATCGATAAGCTGAAGTGGCCACAATAATAACGCGGCATTTTGCAAGCTTTCCCTCTTTTAGGACCAGTCGCCTTCGTCCTCCACCACTTCGCCACGTTCCGAGGCCCCCAGCAGCTCGCGGACGGTCCAAGGTCTGTACTTGTATCCCGGCGGTGTGTTCGTGTTCAAGAACTCGACACCCGTGTCTAGATGTTCCGCACACTTGTGATAGTTGTCGTAAACATACTTCTCGGGGTTGTGATAGACCAACCAATCTCCGACCATCTTGTGCTGCTTTTTCGGCGCCGTCTTCTCGTCTTTCCAGTCGGTGTTGTGAAAGACCTCACGATTCTTGAATCCTAGCTTCTGCGCGCAGGACACTCGCTCGAACCTACAATTTTGAGGTTAGTCGTTGATGTTTCCCCGCGATCCATATCGGCATACCTTAGCTTGTTATGCACCTTGGTCGCAAGCGCAACGTTTTGCTTCCCGGCAACATGTAGACAGGCTGCTAGCGAGTACGCGTCTTCCATCGCCATCGTGCCGCCACTGAACGACGTAGGCAAGAAGGGATGGGCTGCATCGCCCAGCTGCACGACATGACCACCTTTCGATACCCACTGCGGCTGTGGATCACGCCACATCAGCTTCCAGTCGAGCACCTGATTGTTCGGTGTCGCCCTGATCACCTCCGTAATAAGAGGATCCCAATCCTTTACAACATCCAAAATCTTATCCGTGGACGTGGTTTTCGACCAGCTCTCTGTTGCCGTACCGTTTTCATCCTAACAGACGTTAGCAACGATCAATAAGGAAGGGCAATGAAGCAGCGACTACAAACCTTGCAAGTCAATAGATAGCACAACTCGCCCTTGTCACAGGAAAGAACCATATGCGCGCCTGGACCAATATACATGAAACCACGGTGATCGTGACCCAGAAACTCCCTCGCAACGAGGGGATACTTGTCTATGGCCGGCCCAGCAGGAAAAGAAGTCCGGTAGACAACAAAGCCAGAACTAATCGGCTTGTCTCTATTCCCGTCGATGATCTCGCGGGACCTAGAGCCTACGCCATCTGCAGCTACAACCACATCTGCAGTTATCCTCTGACCGCTTTTGAGAACAACACCGCCTGATGTGTTTGACTCGAAGTATGCATCCACTTTCGCTTCGTACGTTATGGGTATACCGAGCTCTTTGACGTAGGTATTCAGTAAATTGTGCAGTCTCTTCCGGTAGATGTTCAAAGACGGATTTGCAGAGTCGCCAGGAGCATGGTGTTGGATAAATGTGCCATCGTATTTGCGCAGGTCAAAGGTTGGTGGCGATGCGAGGGCTCTGACACGTTCTGAGAACCCTGGCCATTCCTTAGGCGTTTCGAGTGCTGAACTGGTGATCATAATAATTTCACCTGTTTTGTGTTATGTCGATTCGTCGAGAGGTCGATGGTGAGTGGAATGAAAAACTACATACCCGAGTATTGACCTTCATTATTCCGTTCAAGAACGCGCACATTGTGTCCTTTGCGGTAGGCCTCGATTGCAAAGCTGAGTCCACCGATGCCGCCTCCTACTACGAGAACGTCGATACCCGTTCGTGGTTCTCGTTCCATTTGGGGTTTCTGGATGCCTGACATGTTGGATGCTATTGTCTTGTTTGATGTGGCATTTTCTTCGCATGGATATACTTATACAGTTCTCACACGCCTCAAGATTTTCATCGTAAACGGCACAACAGCATACCGGCGGGCGAAAGACTACGGACGGTTGAGGCGGATAGGCCCGACAAAAAGTTGTTGACAGGTGAGCGTTGATCGACCGGCGGGCCCTGCCTGTCCAGAAGAGTGCGGTATTGTATTCGTTCGCAAATGTCCCTTCCGGCGTCCCGAAGCTAGCTTCTCTTAAGCTTCTTAGGCATATGGCTATGCGCATGAATCAAGGCCAAGTACGAATATCTCCAGTAATGGCGGCGAACATGTCTACGTTGGGTGCCAAGAGATGTTGTACATCATGTCCGATGGTTTGTACAAACGCGGGCCCACATGGTAGTGGCAACATCGGACTCTTCTGCACACGGTCATGCGAGCAGAGATTGTGGGATGAGTATCAGCGCAACTCTAATTGAAACCAACATCAGACCAGTATGTGATGTCGACAGTTGTGACTGACAAAGCCGATACCGCGAAGACATTCCTCACATCGGGTCTACTGGGAAATGAACTACGTTTGCATCTGTTTCTGCATCTCCTGTACGACGACCGCTTGAACCTCGCGCATGTGCTTACCCACTATCGCGCCGCCGTATCCACCTTCCAGATCATCGAGAATGTCTTCGCTACCCTTGGGGAAGATGCCTACGCTTCTTCCACACAACTCTTGAACCGAAGCAAGCCTCATCACAGCATCCACAACTCTGTCCATGGATACAAATCCTACGATGTTAAGAACAGCGCCGTTGTCCTCTACGAAGTCAGCTTGCTTGGCGATGCCGGTATCCACGTACCAGGGCGCAACAAGATTGATGCGGATCGAAGAGTGCATGGCGCGCTCGCGCAGGCTGTACAGAAGTCCTCGAACACCGAACTTGGACATGCTGTATGCAGTGCTATATGGATATCCAATGTAGGCTGCGAGCGAGGCGATCAGAACGATGCTGGGCTTGAAAGCTGTTGCTGCTGCGCGCGGGAGGCGGAAGTAATGTAGTGCTAGATAGCAGGTATTGTATACTGCCTGAAGGTTGACGGACACGCAAGCAAAGCTTGGAGGAGGTGGTGATACATCTCCTGGGTTGGGCAACGTGGCAGGCACCATGTCGAAGAGGTTCTTTTCGGCAAGGATACCAGCATTTGGGATCACCACGTCAATCTGCCCATTTCCAAAGTGTGTTGCAGACTGGAACATGGAGGCTTGGTCTTCGTAGGATGTAACGTTGCATTGTACAAACTGCACCCTGAGCCCTCGAATGTTTAGATCTGTAGAGGTGGAAGTGCCAAGTCAGTATGTGCCTCACGTGCTATTCACAAAGCCAGAACTTACCCTGGATGACGCCCCCAGCCATATCGTGTAGATCAGCCATGGTGACCATTGCGCCTGCTTCAGCCATCTTTATCGCGCAGGCTAAACCAATGCCAGATGCTGCGCCAGTGATAAGCACTGAACGATCTTTTAGGTTGGATGTATCCAGTACACTGTTAAAGTCGATGGGAGTGGCCATCGTTGGAGTAGCGGTGTTCGCCATGTTGATCAAAGAGTGGCACGTAGAAGGTTATAGGCGTGAAGAATGATGCGATCCGTCGAACGATATCGCCTGGTAGATGAGTGGAGAATCGACGGCGCGCAAACGCTACGCAGCAGAATGCAAAAGTGGATAGCGAGAGGCTACAAAGCGGGGAAGGCGGCCAAGCAACCAGTGACGCTGGGCATAGCTGAGGACCCCCATCGTTTCCCAAAGAGACACATGCGAGCAAATGGGGGCAAAGTTCAACATCTCGATGGGGGCTGCAGGAGGAGGCGGGGTTTGCCAAGATACAGTATGTCATGCGGGGAAGGGGCTACTCCATCTCCAAACACACCCTGCCCGGGCAATTATTATATTCCCGTTGAGTGAGCATCGATCACGAGCGAGTCGATGAGTATTCTTTTACAGCGGATGTGTCCGATGCAAGATGCGCGAGCGAGGTTTTAAGCCGGAACGTAGGCATGGCATTCCGCCAGAGCGTTGTGTTTGATCGGAGCAAAACGTGCTTCTGAGGAGAGTTGCATCGGGATCGCATCAACCCAAAGTAAACGACCAGTTCCACTCTCTTACCACCTCTTCCCAGTCCCTTCTTTGACCACCTTCAAGCTTCGGTCGCCACACTTCTTTCAGCACCTTTTGAACACATTCAACGTTCTCGTAGCGATTCCTATTCTGGATATCCTCTAGCCTTTGGAAGCACTTCTCGATGGCCGCTTCATCGTCTAGCTCGGCTCCAGCGAGGAAGATTGGGTAGAGTAAACTTGACTCTGCGGCGCTTCCCGGTGGTATGCGAGCAATAAACTCCATCGCGCGTGAGGCACAGCCCGCGATATTGGCAGAATGGCTTGGCGAGGTGCGGTAGAGCTGAATGAGAGCTGCTAAACGATAGGCTTCTGCAAGGGCGATGAGGTCGAGAGCTATGGGAGTATCGACGCCAAGTGCAAACGGGTTGTCGTAAGCCCAATTCTGTATACCCTTCTCGATCACGTTGAAAGACGCTTCGGTAGCGAGAGGAAACGCGGAACTCGAAGAGGTGACATACTGTATCCGTGAAATCAGGTCGCATAGCTGGTATGAGATGCCCATGAGCGGGTCGATTGTGCCTGGCATTAGGGCGGCGCTGATTGGTATCAAGCCCTGCTCTGCCGAACAGGCCTTTCCGGCGTTTGACACCCGCGCCATGAGCGAAGCAGAGGCGAAGTGGTAAGTGAAGTGTCGATGCAGAGAATCAACTTCGACACAGTCCATGATGCTCTGTTCCGGAGTGAGCGCACTAAGTATCCGTTGCACACTCTTCAATTGCGATATCCATCTCGTAGTTTTGACACCGTTGAGTGCTTCTAGTCCTACCAGGATGAGGATCACCGCGGTAACCTGGTAGGTATCCTCTGGCAATCCACCCGACGGGTTCAAGCGCTCCTTGATGAACTGATAGCATTTCCTCTCGTGGCGGGAGGATACGGCGCGAAGATGTTTGGCGCGGTCTGCGTCCTGGCTTCGCCTCGCCAACTGAGCAGAAGATATAGCCAGGATAGCGTCAAGCATACCTTCGATCTGGAAAGACCAAGGCATGTAGAGGCTGGTGTAGAAACTCGTTGCAATAGGTGCTACTTGGACACTGGGTACAAACGCCTCGATGTAATACTGCAATAGATGCATCCTCTCCGCTCCTTCGTCGCCCGGTAGTGCATCCCATGGATCAAGAGACGAGCGCAGTGGGACTGTAATCTGGCGCTCCGGACTCTTTGAGCTTGACTGGGACGAAGACGATTCCGAAACGATGCTTCGTGGAGTTTGCCATTCGCATAACAGGTTGAGGCGTTTGCAGTTGGCACACTGAGGCTGGGCGCTATCGCACCTCTTCCGCCGGGTTCGGCATGTAAGGCAGCCCGTCCGTGACCTTGGCGCGAATTTGCGTTGACGCGGCTTCGATTCAGCCATGATCTGATGGATAGAAGTGCTGAGAAGAGCTTGATTCGGATAGTCACCGAGGGGGCATGGAGACGTGCATCGTTACGGGTGTGTTATTGGCAAAGATAGCTGAAGATTGAGTCAGTCAGATGCCGCGATCGCGGGTGCGGTATCGATAAGGCATGACTAATCGGAGCATGCACCTCCGAAGGGCGACACATGCATGGTCATCTACTGCTATCAACCCACATCAACCGCAGTTCACGCGAAGCTCGGGTCAAAACCATCGTATTTTGGATGCGCGAAGGATCGCATCCTACAATGGAGTTCCTTGGCCGCTGTGGCAGACCGCGCCTCCATGCGAAGAGACCACCCACGTCGTCGATGGTCCCACGTGCAGCTGGTTCCTGAGCATCCTTACCGCCTTAGGAAGCATCGCCAGAACTCATCTCCGAGGCTAAAGCAGGTGCTGAACTTGACAACACCACGATCAATCCAGATGTCGGGTATAAAGATGATAGGTGTGCGCTCTATTCCTATCTGCAGTTCGGAGCGTACTTCATTTCTTAACGATAACCATGAAGCTTCTTGCTCTTTCTCTCGCCGCTAGCAGTGCTGCTGTTGCAGCTCAAGACAACTTCGATGTCTTCCAGCATATCGGTGGCAACGGACAATGGTTCCCCGGCGAAGAGGTGACGGGCATTTCGTCCGATATACCCACAGGATGCAAGGTCGATTTGGCCGGTAGGGCAGCTTGATTTCGCGACTGAGGAATGCCAGACTAAGAACATATAGCTTTCTTCTCCCGTCACGGCTCGCGGTTCCCAGACCGGTAACTACTGCACGCGCTGCACATGAGGCATAGGCTGATTTTGTTTCTTTACCTTTATAGTGGCGCCTACAATGGGTGGGTCGAATTCGCCGATTACATCCAAGCCGCCGGAGACATCACCATCACCGACGAGAAACTCGCATTCCTCGCATCCTGGAAGCCGGTCCTCTCAGACCCGGACGCTCAAATCGCCAATCTGAGCCCGACCGGTTGGAAGGAGCTACACGAGATGGGTACAACGTGGCGCCTTCGTTACCCCGACCTGTACAAGTACAACACCGCCTTTACTATGTGGGCAAACTACTATACGTCTGGTCCACGCGTTCGGGACAGCGCACGCTTGTTCGCTCAAGGTTTCGTGGGGCCCAACGCAACAGACCTCACTACCATCTATGCTCTCAACGCGAGCGACCCTGCCAGTTGGGGCAACACTCTTGCTCCCAGCGATCTGTGCAAGGCCTACAATGACGCGGGTGGAGGTCCTGCCAAGGAGACGTGGGACTCTATATACCTTCCTCCGATTACCGCCAGGCTCAACGGGAAGATCCAAGGCCTGAACCTTACAACGAGTCAAGTCGACCAGATACCCTACTTGTGTGGATTCGAGACCCAGATCACCGGCCGTCGAAGCCCCTTCTGCGACATCTTCACGGAGGAAGAGATCTTGCAGTACGAGTATGCGCAGGATTTGCGTTATTGGTACGGCACCGGTCTGGGATCCGATATCGAGAAATACCAGATGTTGCCTATCGTTGACATGACTGTGCAACGCTTTGTCGATGGTCCAGACGCAACCTACAAGACGGGCAATGGTACTTTTGTCCCTCCAAAGATCATGGCCAACTTCGCAAATGATGGTCAAATCAACCAGCTGGCCGCTGCGATCGGTGTTTTCGACAACCAACAGCAGCTTCCTGGTAACATGTCGTTACCGGACCGGCTCTTCCGCTCCTCACAGGTCGTGAAGATGCGCGGAACTGTTGCATTCGAACGTCTCTCCTGTCCTGCTGCTGCCCACAATAGCACATACGGCTCTGGCTATGCAACCAACTACAATGGCACCGCCACTGAAGAAACTTTCATGCGCATCCGCATCAACGAGGTTGTCTACCCTGTTGTTGACTGCACCAGTGGTCCTGGCTCATCTTGCCCGCTGTCTCAGTACCAGGATATTATCAAGGCGAAGCGTGCAGAGGCCGGTGACGTGACCAAGCTGTGCAACATGACGGGCGAAGGCCTTGCTACACAGCCAAAAGCAACATTTTTCTTCGACAATACCCTTCCGTGGCAGACAGTTGTTAAGCCCTAGATACAAATTCAGGTGTTTGATCGCCCAGGATGATGAAATCCATCGCTGATGTTCCTACGTATGCTTCCGTGCCGCTTGATGTGTTTTTGTGCCGCAACCAGGTTGTTGTCAACGTTGTGCAATTGACGTGGGCCGCACTCTCTATTACAAGCAGGGTCGAGTTGCTGAGATCGCAGGACTCAACGTGCCTCGCATTCATAGAGCGGCTTCGGCCACCGACGATTGACATGTACAGGGCGCGCGCATTCGTCACTAGGACGCGCCAACCCCACTTTCCAACCATGAATCGCGCCTGTGCACAGGGCGCACGCCCTACACCCAAACGTCCCTCTTCCGCTCTTCACGCAAGCCAACCTGCACATCATGCAAGACAGATCACCAACAAGAGCTTCAGAATCGTACGGCGCGATCCTGCGGCGTCGTTGGCATGTGTCGATGTGACCTGGCTCTCGTACAATCAGCCTTTTATACCCGTGCCTCAGGAGTACAACGCTCGCACCGCGCATCTGTTGCTACCCGTCGGGAAGTTCACATGCACTAGCGTCTTCTGGGAGAAAGTGGCTTCAGCGCAAGTCTCTCATTGGACCCGTCTGGCGCAATGCTGGCGTCAAACTGTCTCCACATTGCGCCTCTCAGGCGTATGGTCATGTTTTCGACAAGCAAAGCCGCTGAAACAAGCCTCCCACGCCTTTCAGGTCAATTACCGAAACAGTCAGCACCGCGACGGCAAAGTCATGTTGGTCCATGGAGTCATAGAGTGTGCGATTCTCGGATGTCTGAATCGGTACAGTGGCCTGAGCTGCAGGGCGAGTATAAAGATGGTGATGTACGCAGCTGAAGTGATCTAGACATTACCAGCACATTCTTCTTCTTCTTACAAAGTGGGCTCAAACAAACCGACAGACTTGGTACCGGTCCCACAGAAACGAAAAAGCACCCTGATCCACTGTAATCAAACGAGTACGTTTGCCATCATTCTCGAGACGCAAGCTTCAAGTCGGCATCGAAAGCGGCGTATTCAGCAAGGCTCACATACACACCACTACACCGCCTCTATAGCCATCTGAATCATAAGAAACACGCTCAAGTTCTTACATATTGAAGATGTCAGGCTCTTCCGCAACGACTCCTCGCACCTCTTTCGAATACATCAAGACATCAGCCAAGGCATCTTCATCATCAACATCTGTTGTTTCGTCATCAGCATCTACACTGAAGGAATCGAGCAAAGCTCGGGGCCTCTGGAACTCCATCAAGCGGCACGCGAAAGATCACCATGAGGGCATGAACGCAGCATACGCTGCATACTATGGCTCAGGCGCGAACGCGAACGGACGAGGGCAGGAAGTCTGGGAATATCGAAGAGGAAGCAACCAGGGAACGACAGATATGAAGCGGTAACAGTGATAGGTGTTTTGGCATGGTTCCGCGTTTCCGGGTCGGATACAGCAGCCTCGGCATGCTGCAAGAGGCCCATGTGCTTCGATTTTGTTTACTAGGGCGGGTATTCAGCATTGGAGTTGATGCGCATATACCTATTCTCTTCCTTGATGTACTATGTTTAGTCGAATTGTATGATGGCTCTTAGTCACTTTATGTTGTGACCTCGCTGAACAAAACAGCGGTATGTGACTCGGCTCACAGGTGAAGTGCTGATGTAAGACTTCCAGCTCAGGACAACCCGTCAGTCAGTATGACGACATCATGCAATCGTGGCCTTTCCTTAGACCCTCTTTGTGTTCGCCTTGGAGAGCGTGCTATGGATTATCCTTGTGCTTCATCGGTGCATAGGCGTTGAAACTATTATTACTACGCAGACCAGCGGATACAAAAGATACAGCCGCCTCCAACTTGCAACTATTTTATCTACTCCTGGCTCCCTTCTACTAAATCTTCGATCCCAGTCCTAACTCCCTCGATGATATCCCGCATGAGCTGCTCTTCCACAGCATCCTCAGCCCAGCAAAAGTTCAACGTCGCGTTTCCATCGCCACCTGTTACAACATTGAGTTTTAAAGCATTGGCCACAACATTGGGAGATTGGCTGAACACCATTCGACCGACGGTCCATACCCCTGCACTCTGTGTATGCTTCCATACTCCTGCACTGGACAGTTCTGCTGCAGAATTGCGAGGCTTATTTAATTTGTCGAGGAAGTGCTGCTGCATAGAAGAGATGTATCTCAGCAGCGCAACGGGGTTGTCGGTGCCAGACTTGGCGACTTCTGTGGATATTATGGATTTCACCGCGCGTGCAGTGTCCCATGAGAATTGCTGTAAGACACCATGTCCTGCTGAATCTTTGAGTTTAGATTCTCGAATTGCGACGCGCTCGTGAAGGTACGCATATTCGGCAATTGTCATGGTCATCTGCTGTTCTTCCACGTTCAAGAATCTCTTTATCGATATCGGGCCTTCAATCTGAAGCCTCTCACAGTCTTCTGCTGGGAGGCAGGTGAAGAGTGACGCGGCGAGAAGGCATTGCAGCGTTGCTGTTACGCTTGTCTTTTCGGATCGGCTAACCTGAGCCAGCTTATCTGTAGTCGCTTTCGACAAGACGAGCGTGCGATAGCGCGGTGGCGGAATCGGCGTAGCGTTCGGCTGTATAGGGTTGCCCGCCCATAGTTTCGGAGGTCGCTTTGCGAATACTGAAGGTAACAAGGCACCAAGAATGGCCTTAATGAAGTAAGGCCACGTTATTGTCATTGGATGCAAGTCCTCTAATTGCGGCGCTAGATCCGCAGATGAAGACTTGACAATCGTATCTGCGATGCCTTCCGGAGTGTTGAGGCCAGCCAGGAATGATCTGTGAAATGAGAAGGCTGACGTTCCGTCTGCTAGCGCATGGTGCCAAATCCACGTCGCCGTGAACTTGGATATGTCGTGTGGTGAAGTCAAGACCAGTAACCGCCAGAAAGGCTTCGAACCTAGGTCGTCCTTGAAATCGCGGCTATGCTGCTGTACTAGGTATCGATCGAGCTCTTCGTCCGCCTCGCCATCGTTTGGGAATGCTGTCTTTCGCTCGTATATCTCTACGCAGGTGCGTAGATCGATCTCAGGGAGTTGCGCGAAATATACGTTGGGATAGGATTGATCTTCATTCAGCGTAACAGTTGTCAGGACCGGGTGCTGAGCAATAACTTTTCGGAGCGCAGTATAGATTCGCACTTCGAGCGATGATTGAGGGTTCTTTGATGCCACATATTCTGCGGTAAAGCCAACGTTCTTGTAGAAACCGAGATGGTGTCGCGCGGTGCTGTATGTTTCTAGTCTGCCGCATGGGCGCAGCTTCTTGAGGTTGGGAAGGTCGGCCATTCTGTACAGGCACGAGCGGCTCTGAGGCAATAGGAAAACTCATGGGCATCGCAGCATCCTATAGACAACATGTAGATCTGTAAATGCCTCACACTCGCAAGGGACGCCGCAAGGGGAATGGAGGGATTGCCAATGCGAGTACTGACTCGTGTCGCAACTCAACAGAGGACAGCACGGCGAGAGCTCTTACTCCATCATGGAGAGTCGGACGTGCATCGCTGGGAAATTCGACCTACCAGTCTCGTATACCTGTGGCTAGTGATACCGATGGTGTAGTGTTGATGCATTTGTTGTGGCATCGAACGCCGCCAAGATCAGGCAGGTGCTCTTAGCTTCTTGACGGAATCATTCCCGGTTTTCCTACCTAGGTACGTTCGTGCATCGTAAAACACGACCAACACGAGCAACCCCCATGACGACAGAGTCGCGATGCGCGCCTGACAATCCAACGGAGGGCTTCTTGGCTAGCTTTTATCCTCCTACCACAGGGCTGAAGGGATCAATTCAACCCCAAAGATGGGGACACGACTTGCGCAAGCATGCACCAACGGCGTGGGCTCAACATTAACCGGGGGCCAAAAGGACTGATGGGGCAAGCACCATACCTTTAGCGGCATGACACCACATCAACGGGATCTAGAAGGTCCTCGTATCTGAGAAGGCCCTCTAACCGGTAGGATGAGTTCCCCAATCACGGCAGTCCTCCAGAAAATGTATGCCTCCCGGCTTCAGCCTCGGATCGCCATAGCTCCAGTCACAGGCAGGCCGTGACTTTGATATAGAGAGAGCGATACGAGTAATGCTTCACACGGCGAGTGCATCGCTGTCCCGCCTTTACTGGCCACCATGGCTCCCTACCCGACGCCTCTAAAGGCAACATTTACGCTGGATGCACGACAGGACTGGAACCTGGAGCCACGATCAACAGACAATGAGTCACCACCGTCCAAGAGTCCAACAGAAGAAAGAGCTGCTGCCTCGATGTTCATTGGTATATGTCTGGCCGTTACTTTTGTACTCGCAGCGCCCATAGTATGGGTATGGCTTGCGGATCGAATCAGAAGGCGGAAACTCGATCCCTTCAGGAAACTTAGGGATCTGGAGCGCGAAGGGAAACGCCCCGGAATTGATCCACCTCCTTATGTCAAAGCACCGCCCAAGGATTCGATATGGGCGAGGCAGGAGAAGTATGCAACCAAGAAACCGCCGAGAGCCATCACGGCCGACCAGATTCTAGGCATCGACAAGCGATCCTACCTGCGACGCATCATCCCTCAGAGTGGTTGGTCAGCTCCCTGATTTGTCTTGGAGCGTCCACTGATATGTAGCTATAGAAGGATCGTCACAACTACTCACCGTAGCGCCTGCACACTTTGGCTGGGCTAGACAAGCCGCCACTTCTTCTGGGGACGAGCAATACATCAGCCCATGGGACGCAGAACATACCCCAAATCCAGTCATCTTTCCATGGCTCCAGAAGAAACGACCATTCCAAAATGATATCAACAGCGCAAGTTCGGAGAGACTGCAGGTCATGGCCATGAGCAATACCTCATCACCACTTTTAGTCTCACCAGCGGGGTCCTCGGCATATGCTCAAACTGACAACCCCTTCCTTGACTCCCCTACAGACTACACAAGCTCTCCACCTGATAGTGAGAAATCTTACGAACCTTCAGAACCGGCTCCAAAAGAGCGTCCGGCGTCCAACCAAATGAGCGATCAAGCGCAAAACTCCGATGGGTCTTTGAGCTTTTACAGATGTGACACATGTCAAACGACATACCATTCGCAAGGGCAGTTGAAGTAAGTCGCCAGCCTGGCATTTCACTCGCAAAAGTTGAAAGGTCTAGAGCTAACACACCCTTAGTGTACACTTGAACCGCAAGCACCGACGGCGGTATCGATGCAGGCATTGCGATTCAGCTTTCGCACTTAAAGCTGATCTTAAAAGACATGAGCGCGGCGTTCATAAGGACATGTACGCAACGCAAACGTTTTATTGTCCAAATCCCACGTGTGCAATTCCCGAAAAGAAGTTTACGCGTAGGGATAATTTCGAAAGGCATGTGCGAAGATGTCGTAGTCGCGAGACTTGATGGGTAGAAATGATTAAGATATGAGTAGTATTCCGAAATGCCTTCATTATCCGGTCGCAGTACAACTGCATACATTACAGCATCTCGGCGGACATGCTACGGCACGCATTGTGAGTAATGCTCGCTGCTTACTTTACATGTCCCTTGCGCACAGGTTGTTGGACCAGTCCATGTGGTGCCACCACACTGCGCGTATAGTGCGGCTCCCGTAGCCGGCGCTTCTGGTGCTGGAGCTGGTGTGGAGCCACTGCCACCATCTTGCCCAGCCGCACAGGTTAACGGCGCAGGCCCTGGAATGGAATAGGCCTTGCCACCCATGTAGGGCTTCCCAGTGGTGTCATAGATACTGATTTGGATACCGGGGTCGTTGGCTTTGTAAGCACCAGGGAAAGAGACGAAGTTGGAGCCCTTGTTTGTGCCACTACCCGAGACGCGGATCTGTGCGCATTCCATGTAGAATTGGGCGCCGCCTGTTGGAAATCAGCAGTTTGATAGTATGATGGCCTAGACTCATTACCTTGGGTCGAAGCGCTGTGGAGGGCGATGAGCTCGACACGCAGCAAATAGTCGCCCGGAGCAACGCAAGTAGGCATGTTGAAGTAATGCCAACCTCCGTTCGCAATCATGGTGTCCACAGCCCATTTTCCGTTACTCAGACCGTCTTGTGCAACCTTGAACCATTGAAGGCCCGTGGTACCAGTAGTTGCGGCATTGTCTACCTTGGCAAGGTAGTATTGTATCGGCCCTGCAGTGGATACATTAGCTATCTGCTTCTACATAACCGAGAGAGTTATCATAACGCGCCATCTACCTTTGTGGCTCGCAGCAATAGGATTATCGGGATCGTTAGCACCCTGCTTCCCACCTATAACGTGTCCCCACCTGTTCATCGAAGTCAGTGTACGTCTCCAATACAGTCCGTATATCGGAGTTCCCACCATGCGCCGACTTTTGCTCCAGCCGGAATGCTTATCACAGTGCTATCTGTATGCTTGATGTCTTTGTTGCAAGCGAAAGCCGCGTCGTTGACATTTGTGATAGGGTAGTCAGAATCTGGGGCGCGGACGCCCTTCAGTTGACCCTGTTCCACACCGTTGACAGAGACTTTCTGAAAAATGGTATGGGCCGAGACAACACTTGCCAGCGCGATGAGCAGAAGGTTCTTCATGTTAGAAGAGTGGATTGTGGTAGGGGCTTAAGACTTGCTAGAGTGGATGGGAGCGCAGTGAAGTATCATCCAAGATAATGATAGTCATCATGTGTTATCATGGATTATATGAGCTAAAGAAAATGGGGCGCGTGGCCTAAGCTGGTAGAAATGACTGATAATACGAATCTCAATAATGCGAGCCATGTGCTGTGGTCGTAAATTGCCGTACCAATCTTTGGGCGAGTCTTTGTAATCGTACACTATACATTAGATTATGTATGGCTGAAATAGCCTTATATGCTGATCGGCCTGGGTGCTCCGCGCCTAATTGGACTAGGATTAGATGCCCCATAGTATGTCAAGTCATATACAATATGTCGCTCGCGCAAGATCTGGCCGGGATGCGGACACTCATGCTATGACTGGTCGGGGTTGGTAACGCTCATGACGGGTTCTGTAAGTCTGACGATACAGCAATGAGATATAAGTTTTCTATTGTGACCATTTAGAGGGCAAACCTATTTAGACTACTGGCGCCTACTGGTACATTGTCGCCGAGAATGCAGCATCAATTAAGCAATGCAAAAGGACATTGGATTGATGCGTCCATCTTGTCGTCGAAGTACTGGCCAACCGCGCTCAGACAATGAAACAAGGCTCCATGGACTATTTCCTGTGTTTGCTAGCAGACATGCCACCGACCGCTTCAGAGAGAACACATGGTTGGGCCTGAGCAACGGAGGAGCACTTGCCCACCGTATCATAACACCACAGTTTGTCCCTCCATGCGGTCCGTCGGTTCTCTTCTGTCTCACATGAAAGACACGAGTGTATACGCAACCAGCGGGTTGCAAGTCTGCGAGGTGAATGTAATGACGGAGCGCTGCGGGTAGCGGGTTGCGCGCCGTGAAGCAATGAGGCACGCTATAGAGCTAACGTAAGTTTTGACGTGAAACAGAACACTGCCTTTGACGAGGTTAGCAAAGTAGCTTGTGCAAATGTAGTAGGTGAATTAACCTTTATGAACGATTGAGTCGTTATAGTGTGTGATCGCTTCCACTTCGTCCAGATTTGCCGTGTTATACACATGACAGATTTGATATCATTTCTTCTTCCGAGCCATCATGTTGGTTCATGTATCATCAGGATCGCGGGTGTTATCCTGGTCTTGACCCCGTCCAGTATGACGATCGCAGGTATCAGTAACAGAAAAGGTGTCGCTCAGTCCCTCATTACTCCAGAAGCGAGTGTCACGTTCCGAAAAGAGAGTGACGCGACGCTGCGTGAATAAAAGATCTGTGGACGTTCTGCGACCTGTTTCGTCCTTGGATATGATGGAGAGTCTCTACTCTTTCGATATCGGCACCGAGAGTTGAGTCGAGGTTCTCGACACGGAAGGTCGCGAAGCAGGCTCCTGTCGTGCCGGTGTTGTATCTCTCTTTAGCATTGACTGCCATTTCGATGTGGTAATCTTGAGTAGATCTTGAAACAATGTTTGGTCGGAAGGAGCCGGATTGCCGTCTAGGTGGTACATTATGGGCGACGTAAACGACAGTGGAGAACAATCTTGAGGAGACGTGTAATGTAAAAAATGGATGAACGAGTACGGGGACCCCGCAGCTGGTAAATACTTCGGAGCAGATTCCGATTTCGCACTACTCGTGCCTGGTGCCGCCTGCAGGACGCGTCTTACATTTCCCAGCGGCACAGTCCAGCCCCGCGATTTTACGACGATCATCTGCAACCCCACGGTTGGGAGTTGGGGCTAGGCCGTGTCGCTGTTCGGGACGTTGTTTAGTGGTAGTCACACCAATCAGTTCTGCGTTCGACTATTGGTTGCCAGGCTTCCCGTGAGTCGAGGCGCCAAAACGAAATCCAGTCCACGATGGTCGCCTTTGAGCCGTCGGTCTTGGTCACACGTCAGTTGCGATTTGGCGACACCGACAAATGGTGCCCGCGTAATTACCTTACTGGTTGAGCGACTCACCGCCACCGAAGCCTCAGGACGAAAAAAGAAAAAGTCCTTTCTGCAGTATGCAAGAGGAATCCGTAAGCGACATGGCAATCGCACGCTCATTCCAAAGTGAGGCTGCAGCAGAGACAACGACGGAGACTCCATCGGCGTAGCGCCGTAGTTCCCAATTGTGCGACTTGCGCGCAATTACCATGATTCAGCCATATTTCCAGAGGGAAGTTGTATTACATTCGTGTTTAATCTGATCGACTTTCACGTTTCCTTGAAAGAGCGGAGAATGCTGTCCCAGCGCTGCCCGACGAAGCGGTGAAAAACAGCAAACAGGACATGCAGGTACGCGTGTGCTGAAAAAGTACCTTTTGGAACGTGACGAGGGCCAAAGCTACAGGATCCCAGTTGGAGTGGTTGGGAAGTATCCTGGCCCCGCGCAAGAGCCAGCTGACGTAATCGGCGGCGTGGAAGCTTGGGCGTGCCTCTCCCCGTAGGCTGACCAAGGCACTTCCATCATACCATCGTATAGATCATTTTCTCTGTCCCAGCGTCTTCACTATAATCCCACGTCGAAGGCAAAATCGCACAATATGAGAGCACGAGACGGCATAGGCTGATAAATTCGACGGGTGGCACTGTGCGGTGTTGGACCATCTGCACCTGCCCGGCTCATGACCAGAGACCGGACGCTTGCATGCGAAAGAGAAGCTGCTCTTTGAGCCTCTGCGGATTCCTTCCTCACAGAGAGCAGGCCCCTGTAGAAATACCGGAAACGTGAAGGTGTATAGGTGAGAAAACGGGGAAACCGGCACCTATGGCTACACCCATTTGTACACCCATTTGTAAATGGGGTCAGAAGACATTTCCAATTTCTGGAGTCCCCACATGCGACTCCAGATTCTGTTCCGGAGTTCTGGAGAAGAGCCTTGGCATCGCGCGCGCGGCGAACGCAGCCATGGCTTCACGACTCGGGCACCTGTCTCTGCACCTGGTACCCGGGTCCTCATTGTCTGGCACTGAATCCACAATCCGGTCCTTTATAACTTCACTTCATCCAAAAGAGCTCTTCCTGAAACTTGGCACGCGGCAGCGATAAGAGTGCAACGTAGGCGTCACCACTTTGTAGAACAGCTGCCTAACCAACATTTGTGGATGTTGTATCAATGCGTGCTGTTGGATGACAGTAACCGCGCCCCATGAATCGAACACTCACTTACTTTTGAAGTATGGCAAACCCACTGATGACTTTTTGGTGTACAAACCCAGAAGGGTAGCACACCAAAACGCCGATCAAACAACTGCTGAGCATTCAAGACGCGATTACGTCTGCATGCCTCCTTCCCGCACGGGCAGCCGCACTAGCAGGAATCGACAGCTGGAGAACGTTTTCACCGCAACATTGGTAGGCATTGAGTAAGGTAACTGCAGGTCGACAGCAACTCACTGGTTATTGGCCTCTCGCACTTGTCGCTACCGCCGAACTTTCATTTCCTCGCTCTCCGTGGGTCGCTTTACTAGCACATAACAGGCTCTTCACTTCTAGCCCGGCTTGGTCAATTCTCAGGCAAATTCACAATCTCTTCCCATTATCTTATCAAACCAACGGTGGGCGAACGCAGTGCTCTGGCATTGGAGCGAACCGCAACCATGAACGGGCAAGTCCTCAATCAACACAATGATAACCACCAGCACTGACCCTGAAGGCAGTACACCAAACAGCCCAGTATCACAGGCGTTGAGTGCGAGTGACACAAAGTCTGAGCATAATGTTTCTGGACTGCGGCGTGTCAGAGGTAGTATACCATGGCAGCTTTGGATCGTTGCTATCATTGGATTCTGGGAGAGGGCAGCTTTCTGGGGACGTGAGTGTTTTGACCACACGGCAACATCATCACCGAACCAGCACTGACTATGTTGTGGACAGTCACAGCCCCCTGGCGTATGTCGTTGCCAGTACCTTGTCTCCATCAACTGTTCTGACTAGTTTGGCACAGAAAACTACATGGAACATCCCCGGCATCACGATATGGAGCATACCCCTGGTGCGCTTAATCTTGGCCAGACAACAGCAACACGCATTTACTGTGGATTTTTCATAGTCTACTTCACAAGTCCCGTGTTCATAGCGCCGTTGGCAGACAATCATCTGGGCCAATACAAAACTTTGCTGATCAGCTTGACAGTATATGCCCTGGGATGCCTTGCACTGGTCGTCAGCTCGCTACCCTCCATGCTTGACCGAGGTGCGGGTCTGCCTGGTTTGATCATTGCAATGGTCCTGATAGCCCTTGGTGGGGGTGGTGTAAGTATAGCAATCGACAACCTTTTATACGCGTACTGACTTTCTTAGACCCAGGCCATCATGAGGTCTTTCATCGCCAACCAGTACACAGATAGAGCTCCTCGGGAAATGACGCTTTGCGGAACGCAGAACCGCTTGCTTAGATGGCTGAGGAGACACGTGGCGCGAACATGTCTTTCGAAGTACTTACCAGCATCGTCGAAAGGCGAACGGGTCGTCGTTGACAGCGCAATCACTCTCAAGTTCATTTACAATCTATACTTCTGGATTGGTAACATAGGAGCTTTGTCGGCATTTCCATGTGTCTACATTGAGAGGCACCATGACTTCGCTCCTTCGTATGCGCTGGGTCTTGGCTGTATCATCATCGCCCTTGGGATGCTGGTCTTCGCAAGGAAGTGTTTCGGTAAGCATCACTCACTCATTTGGTACGCCTCATGCTAAGATATCACAGTCAATCCACCTCAGGAGGCAGATGTCATTGTACCCGCTGCGAAAGTTCTCAGCTGCGCCGTGCGCAACGGGTGCCGGATGGACCGCGCAGACCCTTCGTACCAGCGCATGGAGAAATTCAAGGAGGTTCCATGGAGTAGCCAGTTTGTCGATGAGCTGACACGTGTGTTAGGCGCTTGTCGCGTGCTGTAAGTACTACCATTCTTGTTTCTTAAGCATACTAACATGTAGCTTAGCCTGGCATTCATCGTCTTCTACATCTGCTTCGACCAAATGCAGAACAACTTAATTTCTCAAGCGAGCGATATGGAGACTGGTAGTACACCCAACGATGTTCTGCCCGGCATGAATCAAGTGGCTTGCATTATAGTCAGTCCGTTTGTGGAGTACGTCCTCAACCCCATTCTGGCCAAGCGGCGCATATATCTGAAGCCAGTCACTCGCATTGCCATTGGCTTTTGCTTCGTCGTACTCTCGATGCTGCACGCAACTCTAGTGCAGCATTATATCTACACATCCCCGCCCTGCTTCGACCGCCTAACAGACTGCGGAGACCGCCAATCTGTCGCACAAGACCGGCCTAATGTCTGGGTACAAGCGCCGCTTTATTTTCTTATCGCGACGGGCGAGGTTTTCGCCATGACGACAGCCATGGAATACGCAGAGAAGCACGCGCTCAAGGAGATGAAAGTTCTCGTACAGGCTATCAACATGCTCATCACGGGTATAGGCTCTGCTATCGCGCTAGTCATCGCGGAAGGGGCGCGGGATCCATACCTCACTCGATTCTACGGCAGTCTTGCAGGAGCCATGGCCCTCACAACCATCATTTTTTACGTCATGTTCCGCAACAAAGACAATGACAACGTTGCCTCATCGCTACATGGTCCCACAGACGTGGAAAAGGGAAAGAGAGACGTCACCTCTACACCAACCTTGACAGCTTCGCCGTTTCGATCACGCGAATCCTACCTGAGCGTTCCTACCACGGGTAGAGACAAGGGCATTGAGTTAAGAGTTATTCCACCTTGCCGACTACGACAATAAGTGAGCGACAAATTACCACTGTACCATAATCAGGCGACGAAGCATACATTGCCCAAAAATTGCGTATTGGGTAGCACTAAGTAACGCGACGTGTCGTTACGATTGTATATAAGTAAGTACAGTGGTGGCTCGGATGAGGATACAAGCATAGCAAATATGCGATGAGGATGTTGCTGTGGAACGCCAGCCAAGGTTGGATTCCAGGCAACCATTGCGTCCCTAAGATTACATGAAGCCATTGACATGGACATCTTTGCTTTGCTTACACTCGGCGGCTCAATGGGTCAGGCACGGAATAACGGCATCGGCTGTGTAGTCTAAAGGATGTCTGTTCTGATCTTACGCGGTTCGTTTGAATGTGCCTATCTGCCGTTTAGAATGAAGATGCGTGTCCACCAAGCTACCGTATGGTGAAACGCAGAACTATCATGTCAAGTGTACACAATACGAAAGCTTAAATTACGGAACGCATACAAGCAAGCGAGTGCGATATGCAATAGCTAGTCAACTTGGCGGTCTAGATCTGGGACTTGAGATCTCTGGAGTCTACACAGCGTTGTGTTTTATAGAGATCTTCTCTTATTCTTGTCGTCTAACTGTCACATCTCTTCATAATCCGGCACATCTCTCTTGCTTCATAAAGCCCGGTTATTGGTCAATCAATGGGCTTCTCTAGCCGAATCACACTTGTCCTCCTTTATGGTTCGTCAGTGGTGTCCAATCCATGCCCAGAATGCTTCCGCGGAACGATACTCCCATATCGAGTGACTTGGAGAGCTGGCGAAGATGTAACAGCCCAGGTTTGTGGAGTGTGCTGCTTTTATGGTGGCGTGTCTATCTTGTCGAGATACGGCCATGCTTGGCGTGAAAGCCGCGCTCCTCTTTTCGCCTCCTCAATCTGACTATTGTCCAACCCTCTTCATTCCAATTAGTCTCAGCGGCTGTCCCATGATCACGTTCTGCCTCGCCGCACATGTGCGCTGATATCGCAATAGGTCCAACGCCCGCATGAAGTCGCTCGCCGCGATCCTGGGTCGGTGGGACAGCCTTGATCGTAGGAATATTTCCTGTGGAAGAGTCTGGAATACCGGTAGTCCCGCTTGCGGGGCGAGTAGCAAGGTTACACATGCTGTCAGCGGCCAGCTCGTTCTCGTCCTCTGCGTTCACAAGTGCAGTTGAATCCTGGGTATCACCTCCACTCTGGTCCCCGTCTTCATCAGAGCTCGTGTCGTCGCTGTCGTCGTCGCCTAATGCATAATCATGCAGCGCTGCCAGTTTCCCTTCTCTAAACGCGTTCAGCTCGTCCAACTTGGTGCGCAGAAGCTCCAGTCCCTCGAGCGAGCTCGCGTCCTGCATTGCTTTCGCTTGACCCAAAGTCGTCGTGTAGGACTCCTCCGTAGTTCGTCTCCAGACGATAGCGTCACCCAAATCGCCTATGGAATCAGCGAAGAGAATTCCCTTCTTGATGAAATATTAGGGGGGAAGGTTACGATCGCTGTACGCTTCCTGTTAGTTGTCGCCGCCGCCGAGACTTCTGGAATTGGTCCTTACATTACGTTATGTTTTGCCTCTCTGATATAGTCTCCTGCCTTTTTCCCGTCAGGAAGTTTTGATGCTTCCTGGCATTACTTTTAGTAGAGTCGCGGTAGGTAAGAGTCGCTCTACAGCGCAGTTGTAGGTGTACCTTCTCGAGATCTCACCCCATTCCACGAGAGAAGTGGACATGGACCTCCCACAAAGTTTAAGAAAAGGACTCTAAAAAGCCTACACTGCCTTAAAATATTGCAGACTTTTGTTTTAGTACCCACCTAGGCTTTGACGCACATGTTCAACTTCTCCCTTATCTGAGGTGTGTTTTGAAGGAGCGTTGTGAACTTCGGAGCCGGCAACTCCTTCACTTGTATAGCTATCACTGGTATGCACTCCTACTCAGACCTCAGCAAGTTTTACCATTACATTTAGCCCTATTGAAAGCTATCCTGATCAATGTTTGCAGACAATGCACACCGAACGCCATACGGGAAGCCTACGAAAGCGAGTGCGTCTATCCAGGCCGAAGCACCCCAAAAAGTCGTGAGGAGGGCAAAGTCTCGCGAGCAAGTTTAGCAAACCGCTTCAATGGAGCTATATGTTAAGGCACAAGTGGAATTAGCATGTTGCGTAGGGAGCGTCTGAAGCGAAAACGTAGGGGATGACATCATATCCTTGCGACGCGTAACAGCATCAGCAGTGCTTTCTAGCTTCAATCTTTCATTATTTCCGGCCTTTTCTCTCTAATTTTACCAAAGAACAGATTTGATTGAACTGATAAAGGTGGTTCAAATTGGCATCGTTGCTCATAGCCCCCGTAGATCTAGTTTTGCAACCCGTCCGCCAGACCCGCTGGCCCAGCAAACGTCTCGCTCAACGCACTCGACAGCGTCGAACGTTCCATTACCGACAGCCAGCCAATTTCTCCCTGCGTCGATAGTGACATCGGATCCACTGGTTCCAACTGCAACGGCTGTTTGTCTCCTCCCCGGCACCCAACTGACGCCCGATCTATATCCGCGCGGAAATGAGTCAGCCTTTCGCCAGCTCATGCCGCCATCGTTCGACCAAGACGCCGTGTTGTTGCTGGCTGTGGGTTTCTCATAGTCTCCGCCGACTGCGATACCGTGACGCGTATCGCGAAAACGTACTGAGAACACACCGGCAGCGGCACCACCAGAGATGGACGAGTTCGCGACCTGCCAGCCATGACTGACGCTATCGGAACTTGTGTAGAAGATTCTTCCAGGATCCACGCCGCCGCTTGCGATGTACCATCGGCCCGCCGCAGCTTCAATGCACGTTCCGCTTGCTGCGAAGCCAAATTCGCCGTCCAGCGCAGGCGGCATCGTGTTGTTCGAAACAATAGACCAATGCGCACCTCCATCCCACGTTTCTAGTAGACGGAATTTGCCATCGACAGGATCGCTCATTGCAACGCCATGACCTTCTCTGCCTCTTTTTGTCTCGAATGCCATGCAGTCGTAGAATGCAGTCTTTTCCTCGTTGATAAATGTGGGTCTCCAACTTTTTCCGCTGGACATTGGCGCGCGAAGTCAGTATACCTCTTGCATGCAATTTGTACCAGGCAACTCACCCATTGTCCGTTTTGTAGATGCGTGACAAGTTCCCTTCACCGATCGATAAAGCAACGGCATTGTCCTTGGAGAAAGCTTGGATATCGCGGAACTGGAAGTCTGAAGCATTCTCGGACGCAAATTGTGGGGACACGTCAATCCATGTTCTCCCGGAGTTGGTGGTACGTAGGACGGTGCCAGACGTACCGGACACCCACAGCACCTTCTCGTCAACAGGCGAGAGGCCGCGGAACTGTTGCGTACTGTTTGTGGGTGTGAGGGTCCATGAGAGAGGCTTTGTAGGCCTTGGATGCGCGAATGTGAACGGAGCGATCGAGAACAGAATGGCTAGTGTCTTCATGATGCATGTACTCAGGAACATGGGAATATACAACAGTCATCTCAGAATCAAGGAGATGATGCTGGAGAGATTAAGTACCTAATCAAGCGCAGCTATCGTGCCCCGCAACGGCCTTTAGCCTTGATAGGCAGGTGCGACATTCGCCACACCAAAGTAGGGGCATTGAGTCCAACATTGAAGACTTCATAAATACATATCTTTAGTAATATAATTGAGGATCTGGGCGAAGTACGCAACTTTATGTTCCGGCCTCGAACGATGTTGAATTTGATGTTGCTTGCACAATTTATATGTACCGCAATCTAGGTTTCGGACCGAGATCGGCCCAGACGCCTAATGTGTAGCAATGTCAGGTTTAAGGTGTGGAGGGGACCTTGCCATCATGATTTATATATCTGCATCCGCGTATCTGGTTCTGGACATGGCATGTGGACGCGGAAGGGTTGTTTGCTCTGACTACTTGCAACAGTTATCTAACTACCGGAAACATGCGGCCAATATTGAGTATCGGTATCCTACATCTTCCGCATAGCCAGGCAAACTCCTTACAAGACTGCATTGAGAGGTGTCAGCGGGTAGAATTTGGAAGTTGAGAGTTTGAATCACGCGAAGCTTGGAGAACCTCAATCATGCCTACGACGGCGAGCAGATTCAACCATGCATGTATCGAACATCTTGCAATTTAGAGCTAGGTGATAGAAGAATTCGAAGAGGAAAGACGCAACACGCGTGCTCATTGATCGATCGCAGCTTCGGTAGCTTTTAAAGCTCCAACAACAGCGAAGCATATCATGGGTGTGACTGCGTAACTGATCTGCCAGTGGATTAGTGGCTGCTACCCGCTAACAGTATCTGATGATTCCTTACAGTTAAGAATTTTGCAACAGTCATCTTCATCGACTCCGCTGCACCTGTGACATCCGCTAGCGCTACTAATATCATAGCCGGCGGACCAGTCGGCATGAGCATCATCGAGAACCAAAGCATAGGGTCTGCATCTAGAAGTTTCGTCTTCGAGGCGATTGCGTAGATCAACGGTATGCTTATTCTGTTGTCGATTAGCCGAAATTTCCTCCATGTAGCCGGTAAAGAATCTTACAAGGGCCAGATGATGAATCTAATCAAGGTAACGGTGGCCAGACTGCCCTTGTGCACTTCCCCACTGTGCTCTCCGCGCTTCATGCGCAACAGGCTCTTGCTGAGCTTTACCCCAACAACAATAATCTGCAACGAAGCAAATAGCTCGCCGATATTCTTTATCGCCGCCGTGATCGACGCGTTGAGATAACCGCCCTCGTTACTAGGACTGAAAAAGATTCGATGGAGCGCAGGCGTCAATCCAATTACTGCTCCGACGATAGCACCAATCAAGGGAGCGTTGGCAAAATGCCATGTGATTTCCAGTGTCTCTTGCAGCCACGGAGATAGGTTGTTGAACCATGCTCTTGTCTTTAAATATCCCTTCATCTCCACGCGATTCGCGGGCTTGGTCAACTGTTGTGGGAGCAGCGACGTCTCCTCGTCGACGATCCCATCAGGACCTCGCTCCATGTCACTACTCTCGCCGTCTCCATTTGCGTCGCCGTTCTCCGAATCATCGTCCTCTCCGTGCGGTTCATTGGATGCGTCCTCGTCTCCTGGTCTTAACAAGCGCGGCCCAAGAGCAAAGGTAAGCGAGTTGCTAACCATTGCATTCACCAGGAAGTATGATTCGGCTCGATCCATGGCCTCACTGCCAGACTCGCCGCCAATGAGTATGGCATCGAGGACTTGGGTTTGCTTGAGAGACTGTATAAGGAGGAGGGGAAGAGAGGTCGTGTTATTGAAGGCGATTGCTGGTGCGACCCAAGCTGGTAATTTGAAGATGCGCGTAAGGATGCGGCCGACGAGGACGGAAAGAAGTGTATAGGATATCGACCATACTAGCAACTGTGGTGAGCATGTATTTGACACGGTTGTTCAATAGAGCAGACTTACTAAGAACGGGCACATATCGTACTCCTGTGTCCTGATGCAGATTGGAGCCAATTTTGTAGATCAACAAAGCTGGCAGAAACATGCGCACGCATAGCTTCGACACCTCTTTCGCCGCGTTGGGCGAGAGTAAGTTACATTGTGCTGCGACAACACCAAAAGCAATGGTCAGGAGCACTGAGAAGGCAGCTTGAATGGCGCCAGTGAAGGGTACAATGAGTTCGCCTGCAGCCACACCCATGATTGGAAGAGACGTGTATCGGTCGGTACTGGAGGGAAGTCCGCGTCGATCGTGTGGTAGCGGAGGTCAAAATAATGTAAAGCTTCGACTAGCTTTCAAGTACGAACCTAGGAAGACAGACTTTGGCATCGTCGTTGTCGCGCACGCGACCTGGGCCGCGTTCCTGGACCATGACGTCAGTGTAGCGGGTCGCCGGTGGAGACGCCAATCCCACGCCGCGGCGCTATCAGGCGGATTAGTCCATCCATTGCATCTCTCCGGGCGTCCATTGAAGGAAGAACGCAGGCGCCCCGCGATTCAGGTACGTGGTGCATCAAATTGAAGATAGGTATACTGCGAGCTGTACGGTGGGCTAGAGCGCTCTTGGAGACACAGCAGAGCTGGCATGCAAGGCGCGTCCGCGAATGCGTGTTCTTTGATCGAAGTTAGTAAGAGGGACACATAAGATAACTAAGCTACTACAAGTAGTCTTATCCTATCTATGCAGAAGATGCGTTCCGTCGCCAGAAACCAGGCGCCCTTTTGAAATCTTCCTCCCAACGCATGAGCGGGGGCCTTACATACAATTCCGGCCAGAAATCATCCTCCTGCAATTGATCCTGAACATCAACGTAGTCACTGGTGTCGACGTACATCCAACCAACATCTTCATGGTCATCATTTGTTTCCCCGCCCTCCCAGTCAAACTTCTCGTCTTCTTCGTCTGCCTCGGCTTCGTCTTCTTCGCTATCGGGCGCCCATTCTCTCTTGACGAGCTTGAACACGGGCTGGCCCATCATCTCGATTGATTCGAGGCAGATGTCGTCAACAAGAAGACAAAAATTGTAGCGAGATCCAGCATGGTGTAGATAATCCGTGCTGCCGGCTGCGCCAATTATTCCGTCCCCGGTCGCGGGCTCGCGGTCGGCACGCCAATTACGTTGTAGCTCCTCTACGGCCCAGCTGTGGAAATGCTCGCGGATCTTCTCAGGACCTGCTCCTTCGAATTTGGACTGATCATCCATTACGACCAACTCGTGTCTTGCGAGAAGGCCTGGTTGAGCCTGATATACTGCTAGTGATGACTTGATATCTCGGCGGAGCACAGAGAGTATACGATGCCAAGCCACATCGTCGTTGTACGAGGCACGGTACACAGCCAGACCCCAAGGCGCATCTGGTTTGAGGATATTGAATAAGTCGTTTAACACCCTCAGGGAGTCAGCCACTTCTGTCAGGACCTCTGCGCTATAAGCCTGGAACAGTTCCTTGCTAACGGGATACGCCCTGGCAGCCGCCTCGTGGACAGCATTGAGATCGTCGGGATCGAACTCTGAATTTATGATAACTGCCATAGCCTTGTCGAGGTGATTCATGTGAGCCCGAAAGCGGGCTCTTTCTGCGTCTGTAAGTGGTTACGCCATGGCAGGGGCTGTCTGAGTAGACCGGGCACAATGATGAGATGCTAGATTAGTCATCGGATTTCGCCTAGCTCTGGGCGTCTCCTTGAGCCTCACCGGCATGATAGGTCCACGCGTTTCGCCAAGAGACAGTGGCATTGTTACAAGATATATGAAATCTGAATTACGCCACCCATGCACAGCGCCTGCACAGACTCTCCAATGACTCTCGTCTTCGCCGCAACATTACCGACTCGTCCGTCTCGCATCTCATCCTATCTCACAACACGACGCCCCTCTACGCCGCCTTCTTTGTAGCCTTGGTCCTCAACTTCATCATGAAGTACACCAGTGTATAACTGCTCACCGAGAACAACACGACAATGCCAGCGTTTCTCCAACCATAATATTCTTCCGCAAGGTTCAAGGTCCGGAGAAAGTCCGCTCCGCTCTTGTACTGGCACACGCGGCAGTCGGCGGTGGCATTGGGGTTGAGCAGGTTGGTACCGGCGCCCATACCCTGCTGGTAGACTGAGAGGTATTCGCCGCAGGTCTGGTTGGCAGCAGGGTCAAAGATGGCGAGCTCGCTCGATTTGCAGTCTACATTCGCAGACCAGGTGGTGAACACTAAGAGAGAGGACATCAGGTAGTTGAACGGGTCCAGATAGTAAAGCCAGTACCTCCAAAACGGCTCGAGTTGACTGTAGGGAACCAGAACTCCGCAGAAAGACACCAGTGTCGTGACGAAAAGAGGGTTGACGAGCGAGGCGAATACGGCGTTGGGAGAGTAGGCGGCAATCATCTGCCCGATGCCAGTGTAGAGGAACTCGTAAACAAGCTGCGATATGTCAGATTCTGCACCGCCGATGCTTCCATAAGAGGGGGATTGCCTACCACAACGAAAAATGTGCTGCCGGCGTACTTTGCTGCACCAGGCAATCCTGCCGTAAAGTACCAACACACATAGTACATGACCGCGCACACGACCAAATACGGAAGCTCCGAAACGATCAGGCCTGTCACGAATGGCGCCCAGTGGTATGTCTTGCTCTTCTTCTCGCGTGTCTCGTAAACATCGCGGCGTTGAATGAACAGTGGTTGTAGCTGGGAGATGACGCCAGGGGCCACGAAAATGAAGCTGAATACAGTGAACAGTCGCAACTGTAAGTCCTGAAGACTATCGCCAATCATCCAGAAGGTGAAGCCGTTTAGTAAAGCCAAAAGGATGTGCATAATCACCTTGTTGTTGACGTAATCGGTGTTGCGGAATAGCGAGACGTTCATACGATGCGTGACTATTTTCACTTGTTCCCACATGGGCGAGGCAAACGCATAGCCATCATCGACGGTACCCGGTGGACGAGCGGCGGCTTCTGCAACGATCCTGTCAAGCTCTTTGGTCACATCCTTGTACTGTTGGGATTCAAGCCAAACTCTGTTCC